GTCACAAGCCTCCATTCATCTCTCTGGTTGGCCTTCTCTTTCCAGTTGGTGACACCAAGTGTTTGCAGGTCTGTCTGGACATTATCTCTCCATCGTCTTCTTGGTCTGCCTCATGGTCTACGACCATTCATCTCCCTTGTGTATTCAGTTTTTACTTCTCTGTCATCTGACATTCTTTCAACATGCCCCAGCCATTTCAGTCTATAAGATCTCATGATGCCAGTTATCAGTGTTGATTTAAACAGATTATGAATTTAATTGTTACTTCTCACTTTCCATTACCCGCTATTTGCATCTTTGTTGGGTCCAAAGATTCATTGTAAGACTCTGTTTTATAGTTTATAGCTAGGCTGTGATATTTGTGTCTTTCACCCTAGCACATCCAGCTTCAGCAAATCCTTCTTTAGTCACCTTTCATGACATGCTTGTAGGAAAGGGGGCGGCAGTAAGTCTTTACACACACCCCCCCCCCCCCCCCCCCCATGGGAATTATTACAGGCGGAATTATTATTCTTAAGTTTAATCATTCTTATTTTGCTACTCAAATTTGTCAGCTTTTTTATTTGCCAGTTTCTGTTCAGAGAATGTTTGTTTGTTTAGTCAAAGTCCCAGCTGAACTTTTGAAATAGGAGGGAGAACGCGTAACTAAGGTGGTGACAGCAGTGTGCCAGAGAATTTGGGTCACAAACTAGTGGCCTACTGAATGGACACAATCATTGGTGATACGACTGTCAAAGAAAGGAGGTCTAAAACACTGAGTTCAACAATAATGGAACTATTTGTCTTATCACCCATGCTAGCAAAATAATGCTAAAGATACTGCTGAACAGAATGATAGCAAAATCTGAAGATATATTAGCCGAAGAACAGGTGGGTTTCGAGAAAAATAGAAGAAAACAAATCTTCAACATCAGAACAACGATAGAAAAACACTTATAACATCAACGTGACCTATTCCATAACTTCATCAACTTCAGGAAGGCATTTGACGTTGTGTGGCGTGCTGGGCTGTAGCACATAATTATAAATTTCAACTTCGATAAGAGAACCATAGACACCATTGAAGCTCTTTATATAGATGCAATCAGTGCAGTACTCATTCAAAATGACGTAGGCAAATTTTTCCAAACCAGTGTGGGAGTGAGACAAGGTTGCATACTATCCTCTGTCCTTTTCAATTTGTATTTGGAACACATCATGAGAGCACTAGAAAATCATGAAACATTTATATCCATTAGCAAAAGATAACTATGTAATTTACATTTTGCAGATGACATTGATCTCATGGCTGGTTTCAAAACAGGACTCCAAGAACTTACTACACAATTAGAGACACTATGTTGCAAATATGGCATGGAAATGAATGCAGAGAAAAGCAAGATTCTGGTAGATAGCCACAATAATCAAGTACCTACCAGCATACATATAAAAGGGGGGGGGGGGGGATAGAAAAAGATGAAACCTTCAAATATCTTGGCTCCCACATATGCTACGATGGCAGCGACAGGTTTTACGTGCTAGTGCTTCCATCAGTACACCTCCACGACCCTAATGGGTCGAAGGTTATGTTATGTTTTTATGTGAGTGAGTGAGTGAGTGAAAGTTCAGCTGTTTTTACTAATATCATTAACCCCCAAACTGCACATACTGCAGTAATTTGTTACTAGACAGTCTTAAATAGTATTCATGTTTTGTTATTGGAATTTTATGAACTTCTTTTGTTTAACACGTCTCAGAAGGTCATGCTACATTGAAACGAGGAGCTTCTACTAAAAACAGAGAGCCAGCAAAAACAACTGAAGAGCCTAAGAAAGAGGAAAAGAACAAGCTTGATGCTGCTGCCAAAGAAGAGGAGACTTTAGGGAATGACTCATCCTTGGCACATCAGTCATTTATTAGAACCAGGTTCAAGCAGAGTAAGTATACTTTAACTTCAAATTGTGAGACTCCCTTAAACTATTTACCTTGTGCTTTAAAGGTTATGGGTTAACTTTTGGACTCCATCATTCAGTTTGTGATTGCAGGTGTTGAGATTGTCACTGGAGCTTTGGAGTTTCATGCTTTATGCAGTGCTCTCAGTGGCAACCGATCTGCTATTGTGACTGGAGCTTTGGAGTTGAGTTATTAGTTAGATTATCTTCACTCCGGACACATCCATAGGCGCTCAGATTCCCCTTTCAACATATTCATCAGCGTCGTGCAGTTAACTGTACCAGTCCTGTGTAGAGTAACAGAACTTCTTTTGCGTCCAGTGTGCTTCTCATGCTTGGCTGTACCCATCTTTCTCCCAATTCGCGTATTCTTAGAAGTGATGTGGACACGTTGCTTTCAAAATCCTCAGAACGTCCTATCTCTCTCAGGGCAGTGACAATGTCTGCGTGATCTGTGGGCCAGCCATCTTCAATTAATGCAGCACCTGCCAGTTTGTCAGCTCTCTCATTACCAACAACGCCTGCATTCCCTGGGATGCATATGAAAGTAACTGCACACACAGGAGAATTTTGCAATGACTTGAGCCACTGTCTGCGTAACCATGACCCGCCGGATCATGCTGAAAGAATCACTCAGCACTCACATGCTGGAATAGTCCTGTGATCCCAGCCACATGAAAGCCTGTTTAACCGCCATCAACTCCATCATCATGCTGCTGGGGGTTATGGAGAAGGCACCGCTGGCTTCTGTTCTGCCTGAAGAGCAAGCTGTAAATGCCCATGAACTCTTTATGTTCTCTTATAATGTCCTCGGGGCTTTGGAGTTTCATGCTTTGTGCTGCATTCTCTGTGGCAACCTATTTGCTTGGTGAGGATAAGCCTAGCCATATGGGATAAAACCTGGTGTAAATAGGCCTATCCTCCTAGCTTTAAATTTGCAGTTGCAAATGTCAATGTTCTTCAGACTTGTTTATGGGTAATTGTGACAAAGAGACACCAGATAGATCATCTGCCCAGGCCATGCAGAGTGTGTGGTAATGAGCAAGATGAGCTGGTTTTGTTGGCTTCATGGCACCAGTCATTAGGACACTGACAATAGGCAGCGAGCTTATGACATTTGATAGTTCATCAGGAGTTCATGAATCAACTAGACCAAGACTTGTCATTTGACATTATTTCTTGCAGCACCAGACATAATAATAGGACCAGCTGACAGAGATACATTCATTATCAGTGATAGTAGTATGATAGGATGTCATGTTTCTTTAGTGAATTGTGAGAACAGTATCTTCCTGACACTACAGCACTAGGTGGGAGAGACAGAACACTTGCAAGGGAAAAGAAATGTTGATCATCTAGTTCTGTGTATGACAAAAGTAATTACAATTGACTTAGTTTTGTTTACGAGGATGAACAAATGTTATGGGCATAGATTTGATAAAGCTTTGGAAATGTAATGAATGAAAGTAAAATTAGAGAATCAGCTTTAGGATCATAACAAACAATATCACCAATGACACACACAAACTGAATTAACTGCACTAACCCCCTGACTACCTAGATCGCACATTATGCGATCTGCCGACATTTACACTGGGCTACTATGATCACAACCCCTGCAATAGTAAATTTGGACACTCGCCGCCAAGTTAAAATTGCAACTTTTGCGATAAATGTAGTTGAAGCTGTTAGTCCTTTAATTTCTTTATGATTTTGTAAAGGACCCAGTTTGGATGTGCTTAAAGGAAAATTCCCTTGAAAATTTTTTGTGAGCTTCCATGTCGATTACGTATTAGGCGCATGTTTTAAAATGGTTCTGCTCGTTAGGGCCGGCATGTTGGAACAGTATAAAGAATATTTATGATGGCATATCGTCTTGATTGTTTTTAATTGGAAAATGAAAATGAAGATGTTTCTGAATAGTTTGATGACTGTGACTTAGATAATTCTAATGATAATGAACTACCATAAAATACTTAGTTGAAACTGGAAGACAACATTTAGATTACAGAAGTGGTATGGCAGTCAGGGGTAGGTGAGTTGTGTTACATTAGTTTCTGTATATTGTTTCATTTATGTGCTTCAGGTGTGTAGTGTTACATTAATTTGTTAATATAGATTGTGTATATTACAGTTCTCTGGCTTAGAGTTTAGCGAAAATCGTTTTACAATGCAGTCCTTGACATTTACCAAGGTGCCATTCCTGCAGTGGATGTTTTAGGAAAAGATAGTTTTTGTGGCTTTTTGAGTTTGACAATTCAGTCATATTGTAATGGAAGTGCCTGGTGCAAAATGGCAAACAGCCACTGAACTTGCAGAATTAATTTACTCTTTGGCAGAGCTCTCATCCTGGATTATTTTAATACAAAACCTCCAAAATGTACTTTTATTGGTGTCAGAAGATTTTGTGGTTGCTATTTTTTGCACAAAGTTACAGCCCCATGATGATGATGTAAAACCAAATTATGCAAAAAAAATTTATGTTCCTGAAGATTTTTGCAAAAATCCAAAGTATTACGAGTTTATGTTAAATGGTCATGAAGCTATGTCATTTTTAAAGTCTATATTGCTATCAGAAAAAAAAAGGTTATGTAGTTACCAAGTTTTTTTTTGGGCACCAATTTACAGCTATATTGTGATGAGGTACAACAAGATTACACTATTTTTGTAAAAACTTTTTTTGGAATTTTTTCCCCGTTCAAAGTGGTGCAAAACTGCCAAATATGAGTTTTTATTGAAAAGTCATAAAAGGCATGTTTGTTAATATTTATTGCTGTCAGCAAAAAAAGACTTTTCGTTTGCCATTTTGCACCAATGTACAGCCGCATGATGATGATGTCAAACAAGATTAGGAAAGTGCAAGGGTTAAGGGGCTTGGTAGTCAGTGGGTTAAGGCATAGTACTGTGATATATAATATTGAAAAGAATTATAATGAATTTAAGACACTTCTGTGAGGGGGGGGGGGGGGGGGGGGATGAGGGAGGAGAGCATGGGGTGCTGTAGATAGTACTTGGTTATGTAGAGCTCATTGGAATAATTGGTGCTTATAGTATCTGCACTTTCTACAGGTATTTATGTTGGAGAAAGCATTCCTCTGATTGTCTATGGCATTGTGAAGGTGGAGAAGTTCATGATCAGTGCAGAACTGAGCGGGCTGAGACTTGAAGCCATCACAACCAAGGTGCATGCCAGTGGCACTTACAAAAAGAAAGTTAAAGGTACAGATATTTTCTTCTTCTTTGCATTCACCAGCTGTGAACTCCAGCGGACAGTTCTGGTTGTTCATCCACCTCTGGACTTTAGACTTTTTCCAGAACCTGATTGTTGCATGCTCATCCGTTTTACAAATGTGACTTATTTGTATGCAGAACTGATGGTTCCTTGCCTCTCACACAGATGCTCTCTGACTTCCAATGAAACCCCCAGTTAGTTAACTTTTACGACAGTTTGGGAGGCAGCGGGTCTATTCTTGTTTTCCCCTCAATGGGACCTCGGAACCCACAAAGGAGGATACAGTATAACAGAAGCAGTTTTTATCTTTAGCTTGTTGCCATAATGCAGTTTTGAGGCTTGTCACATATCAGTCATGATAGTGTTAATGAATATGAAACATTGACCTGCAGTGACCAGTTGAAGCACTCAAGTCTTTATTTTGGACACACAACTTAAACATTAGGAAAAGTCCTCCCTGACACCGGATAACCTCTGTCGATCCCTACTGTAAGTCTGTATCTGGACTCGATGGTCTGTATACCAGTGCAGGGTAAAAGAAAACAGACTTTCCTTACTGCCTGTATTTACCACTTTTATAGACCTTTATAATCATGAGGAAGTACACACATCAGGAGAAGTAATCGATTCACCAACATTAAACGAACTATTATTTGCTGATGACCAGTGCTTGTTCTACCCTGAAGAACATAGACTGCAAGACCACATTAACAGGTTAAACTCAGCATGCAGTAAATACAACATGAAGATCAGTGTAAACAAAACCGAAACAATGCAAGTTAGTAGAACCCCTGCTCCACTACACATACAGCTGAATAGTTCTGCCCTGAATCAAGTTAGGGAGTTTGAATATCTAGGAAGTATAATCACAGAAGATGGTAGAATTGACAGAGAAATAGAAACCAGATGCCAGAAAGCAAGTGCACATATATACCAATTGTCATCATTATTAAGACATCCAAGCATAACTATGAGTGCACAGAGACAGATTATTAATAGCATATTCATTCCAACATTAAGCTACCAGTGCCAAACTTGGACACTATCTAAAGCCCATATTTGCAAAATCACCACCTACGAGATGAGGTGCCTGAGAAAAGCAGCCAACCTAACCTTACGAGATTGAGTGAATAATGAAACAATCAGGCAAATTGTGGGAACGGCATCTTGTACTAGATTCATCGAGAAACAGCAGATCAAGTGGTTTGGCCAACTTGCTAGAATGCAGCAAGATCAAATATCATCACAAGCACTACATCTCAGAAGATCAGCTACAAAAGCAAGAGGATGGCCGTGGAAAACATGGATCGACAACATTAAAGACACTACGCCTTCACGGCATGACAAAAGCCAGTGGCAGCCAACGTGCACTGGATCGCAAATTATTCCTCCCTACGACGCTTAACGGCAGAAGTGGTTTATGATGATAATGATGATAGACAGTGAAGGAGAGGTCTTGTGTCTAAGGATTTAAGACCAGGTGGCTAGTATTTTTTGTCCCTGAGAGGGAAAAACATTTATCACCTTACTGAGGATTTCTTCCTCATCTTCTTTTTTGTTTATCTGAGTAACTTATTATGTTGTGCCTGTTTACAGCATAGCTGCAATATTTGGACCTTTTGGCTGACACATCCAACTTTATTGAGCATTTTGACCAGACTAACTTTCTAGTTAGTTTTGTGGGACTAACATAGCCTTATTTGTGTGGTATCCTCTTTATCCTCCTCTCGACAGGCGTTGCTCTTGAAGAACCTGTACAAGACAACCACATGTAGACCGGTCAGCCCTCATGGGAAGACAGGGGCAGACCATGGGCATTCTCCACCATCCAAAGCAGCTTCCATAAATGCAAAGCCAATACATGTCACTCCAGTCCTTTACTTACCCAAGGTATCGTCATGTCCTGCACATGACTGCTTAATGTGAGATTTGTGTATTGAGCTACCCACTCATCTCTGGTTTCCCCCGTTTAGAGATCAGCAGGGAGCAGCCCACAGGTCTGGGACTTTAATGACCTGAACACATAGGCATAATCTATTTCAGCACCTTAGGCACATTGAACTTTGTTGCATTGGGACAACTAGCACAACAGTATAGGAAAAGCTTGCATCATTCATGGCTTCCGCTTTTGATCCCGCATTCTAACAAGTGAGGCCACTGGTTATTGACATTTGAGCTTTGCCTATCACACGATCTGACATTTAAAACTGTTGTTGTGCCTTAAAACAGAACTATGAGATACTGCCCACAGGAGATGTTGCTTGTCTAAGTTGTGAGCAAACTTCTTGGTCTAGGTTTGAGTCTCAGCCTTAATGAGGTGGTCGCTCAGTTGATTATGCCACTCTGACACCCAACTGGCAGACATTTGAGCCTAATCAGAAGTTTGAAACAAAGGTTAAGTGATATCTTAGGCTACTGGGCTTTACTAATGTATCAAATCAGTTTTAATAGACATTATCATCCTTACATTGACGGTTGGCTCATGAGAACCACAGGATTTCTGGGCTCTGTGTGTTTGTGTGTGTGTGTGTGTGTGTGATTCCCCCCCCCCCCCCACACTCCCTTCCCAGATGGAACCCACACAGAGCAAACATTCTTTCAGTATTGGTAGTTGTTATCAACATAAAGAGATCAGCACAATCAAGTTAGAATTCTGCATTATTAAGTAAGGTACATTTCTTTTTTTTTTGTTTTTACTTTAACACTCGTATTTATGATTGTATTGTCCTTCAACAGGTTTCCAGCACAGGGTTTCCTCAGATTCCTCATACACAGCACATGTGGGTCACTCCATGATACATCTGAGAGAGGGCATACCTCCTGAACTGCAGTATGAATTTGTCCTCACTGTTCTTTAGTACACATCATCATCATCATCATGGTCATCATCATTATCAAATGACAACTTTGATGAACAGCAATGTCTTTTCCACATGTAGCAATCTCTATGATCATGTATAAAGAAAACAGAGTCAGTTGTAGTTATGCTGTGGAAGTGTAAACAGGTGGACAAGAGGAAGTGTAGGTCAGCTTTAAAAAATGTATTTCTTTCTTCTTTTGTCCTACTGCCTCATGTAGAAAGGAGTTACATATAGTTTGCTGTCTTCTACTAGCTTGTATTAATACTTGCATTTCTTTAGTATCTCCTTCACTCCATCCATTCACTGTATCTCCTTCACTCCATTTATTCATCTCTTTCTTGGTCGGCCTGTTGCCTTGTAGCCTGCTGTTCTTATTTAGTATGCTCTGGCTGCTGACTGATTTTGTTCCATTTGATTCTTTGATGTTCTTTGCGATCATTTACAGGTAGCATGCTTACCATTGTTCTTAGTACATTGTTGATGACTCTGTCTCTTCTTGTTTCCCCCTGCAATCTTTCAGATACATCCCATCTCGCATGTTTAGATTTTGTGTTTATGTTTTAAACAATTTTATTGCTTTTTTACCCCCAGCATTTTTCTGAAATTTTAGTGCTTCGTAATGTCGGAGTGCCGGGTTTGATCCCAGCTGCAGGCCATTTGTCTTGCGTTGGTTTGAACAGTGGTACTGAAAGCTGACAGTTCAGAAGCAGTGGCAAATTTACTGAATGTAAAGTTTGTCTAGAAAAACCTCAACTGCCCAAAAATGCTGGGGTTCATTCTGCAGCATCCTGTAAAGGATACACAACTAACAAATGTTTAGTGTTTTTATTTGTGTTACATGAGAGAGAAATGGAGAGTCATGAGATTGTGTATGATTTATTAAAGCTGTCACAGAAAGAAAGTTTTGTTTATTTCTGCTTCTGATATCATTTGTATGTTAGTTTAAATAAAAACTTATTTAATTCATGAAACATTTTTCTGGAACCTCAGAACTGTGGTGACTATAAATATCAACAAGTCGCAGAGCCTGCTGACTTCAGTCATGCGCCGCAACAAGGAGCACAATTCAATCCTGGTCTCTATTGGAGTCATTGATGTGGACATCCCTCAGCACCCTGTGATTTTACATGACATGATGTCCAGAAGCTCGAAGAAAATCACAGCCACCCTACAGGAACTTCGATGGCCAGCTCAGAACATAAAGTATGACTGTCTTACAATTTACTTCTCAATGAGAGTTCCAGAACTCTGTTTTGTGAACAAAGAATAGATCCACTGCCCCTGTAGCAAGCATGTTGAAAAAGCTGACTAATTGGGGCTGTTTCCTTCAAACTCAGAGTGCATCTGCCTAAGAATCCAGAAACCAGTAGTCTGGCTACAAATAAGGTAGATCTGTATATACGCACACAAACCTGATTTTCTGGAACAAGACTATAGTAAAGTCCAGAAGTGAACACACAATCAGTGGTTTCCATTGGAGTTTACAGCTAGTGAACATGAAGAAGAAGAAAAACAACAATTCTAATGAGTCATGTGGTTTTCCTTAGCTGTTCTGGATCCTCATTCGCTTATAGACTTGTCTAGGATGGAATGAAAATTTCTACTGATAATATAATAGTGAAGGTCTCTGTGGAAAAGTATTAACCTGTTTGCCTCTCTCTGCGGAAGTCATTGATTTGTTTTACGGACAGTGTTGTTGAGTCATGGGTGCAGTTATTAAGAAGATCCCATTGCTGGAGCTGCAGAGTTAATTAATGCTTTGTGTGATGTTCTCGGCAGGTGGCTAACCATTCTTTATAGAAAGATTGAGCCATATGGATAAAATTCATTGCATAGAAATTGATCCTTTCAACTTGGAACTTTGAATAATTTAATAGTTTTCACATAATCTTTAACTTTTACTTTGTAAATGGAAACATGTAGGTTAACTTAGGACTTATATTGAAATTTGTTAAGTTAAAAAAAAATTCCTCGATTTATTGTGAATTAAGGTATATTTTTATGTAAAATGAAAGGTGACCTTTTTTTTGTTTACATTCTCAGCCGCCCACATGTGCCCACTGAAGCCAATCTTAATCAGTCTGCTGCTGCCACTGCAGGCATCCCCAGCAAAGTGCCATCAGAGAAACCCATGGAGAAAGTAGTTCGCAAGCACCTTCACATTAAATCTGTTATGCAAGGCCTTGTTATTGGTGCTTCTATCTTACCATCGCTGAAGGCCCAGTACAAAACTGAGGCTATCACTTTATCAGGTGTGCTGGGCAGGAAAGCACATTTCACAGTGACTCTACCAACTCATTTACTGAGTTTCAAGTCTAAGGTACGCTTCACTTTGTACGTGTGAACAGTGTATAAAATTAATGTTGTATTGTGGGGACATAACATAGTGATAGTTTTATGTCTAAGGTACGCTTCACTTTGTACATGGGAACAGTGTATAAAATTAATGTTGTATTGTGGAGAATTAACATAATGATAGTTTTATGTCTAAGGTACGCTTCCCTTTGTACATGTAAACAGTGTATAAAATTTATTTATTTTTGGGACATAACATAATGATAGTTTAATGTCTAAGGTACACTTCACTTTGTGAACAAGGCGTAATATTCCTTTTTTTTTCACCTTTGTCGTCATAATCAGCTTCCACTATTGCCCTTAAAAATTTTGCTGTGTAATGCTTGATGGGTAGCACCAGCTATTGTCATTCTGAGTGGATGTAAAATATCATCAGTCCATCATCTCCTTGGGCGCCCTCTTTCTTTCACATAAAATGATTGTAGGGGTAGCGCCTGGGTTGGTAGGTGTTGTGTCAGTATTCTAATGAGGTGACTGAACAGTTTGATCTTCTGCTTCTCAGTGAATTTGGTACAAGGTGGTGTTCCTGCAGTGTGTACGATAGTACCGTATCTCACTCAACCTTGAATGGTTAAGTTGGCAGTATTTCTCAGGCATCTCATCTCACAGGTTTTAATTTTACTTAGGTGAGCCTTTGATAGTGTCCGAGTTTGGCACTGTTGTAGTATAAATTGGCTGTTTATAATCTGTTTCTTGGTGGTCATATTTAATTATGTGTCATGGAAATGTGACATTTAATGACAGTTTGTAGTTCATCAACTGTGTACATATAAACATTAAGATTGTAAAGATCTGAAACTTCGGGTTCTCCATGGAGGTTTTATTTTATTAAACATTGTACCAGACTTCTTGAACAGATATTACTAAACAGCAGCAAAGAAGAAACTGATAATAAATATGTTCCTTTTCTGCTTCCATTTCTTAGATAACCGCAGCAGCTGTTCTTGCGGACTCACTCATTCCATCAGCAGCAAGCATTGAACTTCCTCCAATTCAAGTGATTGCAGACTACAGAGTGCAGAAACCAGGCACTCTGCCAGTTGACCACCATGAGATGGAGCTGGGGGATGACCTGCAGCTGCTTGAAGGAAACTACCTCTATGCTGTGGCTGAGGTTGGCATGCTTGAGCACAGCTTGACCACAGACCTGCTGAACCATCTGGTGTTTGTGCAGAAAGTTTTCATGAAGGTGATAGTTACAGCTTGTTGTCTTTAATAGAACACATACATTCTGATGAATAAATCTAACATATTATATAAATATTTTTATTCTTTTAATCCCATACAGTGCTACTGAAGCACAATCTGAACTATTCAGTCATTACTGTAAACATATGCAATTTGAGTCTAAAAATATATAAATAATAACCTTATGGACAGAAGTGGTTGGTTAAAATTACAACTGTCCTCATCATCATCAGTCAGCAGATCCTTTACAGAATGTTGCTCTTTTCATGGCACGTGTGGAACTCTCTCTTTCCAATTTTCCAGCCCTCTGCTTTACAGAAAAAAACCAATGCATCTTCAGTGTCTTTGATACTTATTCGCAGACGACTGCCTTATTTTCCAGAAACTGGACTCTTCATCACCGTTCTCTCCAGGCCACTGTGTCATTTAACACGGCCAAAGTACTTCAGCTCTGAGGGCAGGATGCTGTTTACAAGCCAATTGTCATTGATGCTCAGACATAGAGGGGGTTAATGTAACACATAGACTGACAAAAAAAGAGTCATGCTAGTGATAATGAATGAATGAATCAAGAATTGACATCATTGCACCTTTGACATTCCCACACGTGCTCTGTCCCCTTCTTCAGCAACCAACGAAGAGTTGACATGCTAATAGTACCACTTGCAACCTGATTAAAAGTCCTTCATTTTAGCTGTCAGTGTTAAATATCTTCCAAAAACGTCTACTTACCCCCCCCCCCCCCCCCCCCCCCCACCCTTATTGAGTTAATCTTTCAGTGTATGGATTCCCTTTCTGTTCTTTTACACTGTCCGTTTAATCTCATAGATAGAGCCTTCACCACATCTTCTTTTTCGTATTTAGTAGCTAACCACCAGGAGGAGTGGTAATAATAAGTGAACATTGATACTGAATGAGTTAAAATCTGCTTCCTATTGGCAGAGTGGTCTGGGTTTGTCCTAGTGAAGGCAGCATTTTGTCTGATCAGTAATGTTTTCAGACTGTTTCAGCTTTGATCATTTCTATGACTGTTGTGCTAGTAAGCTAGTCATCTCACGTCATCAATCGTGACTTAGTATTTGTGAAGGCTCAACACTTCTATGATAGTACTGCTGTGGAATTACATTTTCCTATTTACTGCGATGATGTGTTGGTGGATGCTGCACTAGCCAACAGCAGGGGTTCTGTGGTTTAAAGTTTTAGTAAATGCATTTCACAACCCTCGAAGTACTGTTTCTTCTATTTTTCTTCTTTGTGTTCAGTTTTTGTATGCTCAGGTCAGATCCTCAGGAGGGCTGCCTCTATGAATTCACAGGTCATTTGCATGTCTTTTGTGGGTTCCCCATAGCTTTTTATGCACACTTTGTTTTTGAGGTCAGGTTTCTCTTTGTAGCTGTAAGTATATTGGGCAGACCTGCAGAATATGCTTGTTTCTTTGTGGCCCCATCTAACATGACATTGTGGGAACTGTACGTTTTTTTTTTTTCCAAATGAATGTTGTAGTTGAGCTTGCATTTTTCTGTTCTTAGATGCAAAAATGTTGTATACTGTTTTCTGTTGGGTCTGTTGGTGGGGTGTTGTAGACGTTTACTGTTGGTTTGTTCTCTCCACAATTCTGTGTATTGTTCCTTGATAAATGTTTTAATTTGTGGTAATGACAGTGTACCAGCATTTTATTTCTGTGATGGACAGTTTATTTTGTTAAAAATAGACCATTCTCTCAGCTTTCAGACAACTGTACGATAGTTGCATTTTGGAAGAAATTTCGGTCTTATCACACAATACTCCCAAAGGAAGCAGTGGGCTGTGGCCAGCCTTCATTACGGTGATTGCACACAATTTATTGTACACGGTCTCAGCTACAGTTTTCCGGTCATGATACGTTTGTTTCTAAATGCACTCAGCTTTGACGAAGATAGTGGTTCTGAAATAATTTTACATTAAATAGAAACTATTAGATCTGGCTTCATCACCTGTATCTTCATCATCATCAGATTTGTCATTCTTAAACTGGTGTTGTATTTACCTGATAGTATGTCTCATTCTCCCTTTTCTTCTTCTTTTACTTCTGCTCCTCCTGCTGCTGTTGCTCATCCAACTTTTAAAAGTGTCTTGCTAATTAGCTTGAATAAGCTTGGCAGTGACATCAGTAATGTTTTTAAATGTCTTTCTAAGTTCACAGTTTATAATGTGAAAGATACAATAACTGAATATTAAAAAAGTTGTATATTATGTAAACTAGGAAATCAACGAAGTTGTGCAGAAGGTCTCTGGAAGTGGCGGTGGGCATGAAATCAGATTCAAAATAGATCAGAACATCTCACACAGAAACCCTCTGTTATATTCTGTGTCCGTGAGGCTGAAGGTATGTTTTAATGAAGATTAATTGCATGTGAACATGTCCAGACAGACTCTCTCTCTCTCATTTCCTTAATCTTCCAAGGTTTACACAGACTCTTATTTCCTCCATCTTCAAAAAAATCTATAATATTCATAATATGCATAACATCATATGATCATAACATGCTTTATTAGTAAAATACAACTGCTGTGCGAAAGATGGTTGACTGGAAGGGCCGAATGTAAGACGGGCCTGCGTGCCCAATTTGTGACCCTTTGAAAATAAAGTTCGTTCGTTCTTTTGTTCATTCTCTCTCTCTCTCTCTGTCTCTCTGTTTCTCTCTCTCTCTCTCTCTCTCTCTCTCTCTCTCTCTCTCTCTCTCTCTCTCTCTCTCTCTCTCTCTTTCTCTCTCTCTCTCTCTCTCACACTATCTTTCTCTTCCAGGCTGACAGAGACTCTCACTTTCTCAGTCCCCCAAGGTACACACCGACTATGTCACCCATTATAAATCAGGTGTGTCTGTGTCTCATTATCTTATATCTAATTCTGTCTCTTTCTTAGATTTTTTGGACATCACTGTTATCAGTATCCTCACTGACTTTAGTTGACATTCATTTCTCTGCAGAATCCTTTGTCTTCTAGTACTTTAACTAATCATGTTCTTTCCTTCTTGATCTGATACAGATATGTTATTTGTTTCTCTTTCATTTTAAAATATTTTTAGTAAATTGTCCCTTAGAGTTATCACTGTGGGGGAAAATGAAAACCCCTGTCTCCCTAACAAACTAGTATAAGTTAACTAATTCCTTTAAGTTGCAGTGCATCTGCTTGAGAGGTGAGAAAGCAACAGTCTACCTACAAATAAGCAGATCTGTAACATGGACCTTCTGGAACAAGACTAAAGTCCAGAAATGCACAAGCTACCAGAACTTTCTGCCTGAGTTTACAGTCAGTGAACGTGAACAAAATAAGATCAATCTTATTATACACATATATATATGGTGATCACAAAACTTTCCTCCCATCTGCTAACATTCTTGTCATTTACGTAGGGCATTCAAGTGACCGCTACAACTCCAACATCTAATGCTGTCAGATTTGAAACAGGAGCCATAACCCTGGACCTTTCAAACAGATTTCACCTACCAAAGAAGGAGGATCCAAAGAGAGATAAGTCAGCTGAGGAGCATGGTAAGTTATGTTGACAGCTGTTACTTCAAGAAGAGTTATTCAGGAAATCATGTGTTATAATCACAGATACAACAGTTCACTAACTTTAGAGTTGTTCTTCTGTTTGGGTACAAAATGTGAACAATGAGTAATGAAATAGGGTAAATTAGAGGTTTTTGAGAAATGGTTTGTGGAGAGAAAAAAACAAACATCTGAGACTCTCGTGGGCAGAGAAGAAACATTTTAATAATGAAAACTAAGTTTTTGTAGAACATTCATCAAAACCATCAGGAATAGGAAAATTAAATTCATAAGGTAAATCAGCAGATGAGGTTGAAAGGCAAGAAAGACAAAGACAGGTAGAGGAAGATGAATATGGAAAGCTTAAGTAGTTTGGAAAGAAATATTAAAATAAGTGATGCTGATTTCATTAAAATGTCACATTCCAAAATGAGAGGATTGGAGAGTCAGTAAAACCATGTCTGTTCCAGGTAGGACACCTAAAGAAAACAGAGAAAGAGGTGAAGAAAAAGGGGGAGAAAGAAGAAGAGTAGAAAGGAATTGAAGGAGGAGACAAAGAAATAACTCTAGTGCAATGTTTCCCTGAATATAAGACCAGGTTTTAGATTAATTGTTTTGCTTTAAAAACTGCATTAAGCTTAATTAATTGTTTTGCTTTAAAAACTGCATTAAGCTTAGTTTTGGAGATATCTTATTATTTTATTTTTTAAATAAAAAAAAAACACATTATTCGTGTAGAGAGTTCTCAATTTATTAAACTTAAAATCATCCTGAAAAATTGTGCTAGGGCTTATATTTGTGTATATCCTATTTTCAGGGAAACAGGGTAATAATGTAATAAAAACATGATTTTCAGTAGTTCACACGTAATGTAAAGTAATTCTTTTGGAGACTCTAGGGTCGAACAACAAAGCGATGTACCATCTTGTATTTTTTAACTATAAATTCTACAGAACAATTGTTGACATTAAAACTGCTTACGTGAGCACACAGAATCACACTTGTGCAACACATGCAGGTAGTCATTATTAACTGTGTATACAATCCTTTCTCCTGTCAACAGACAAATATGTCAGCAGTCAGAAGATGTTTGTGCAAGCCGTAGTTGATCTCAATCTGGCCCTGGGTCAGCTTATTAAGGTAACAGCAGTTCTTGATGTCAAAATTTAATTATTGTCATTCCTTGATTGCTTTCTAGCATCAACTGTTTGTTTGGTTTTGAGTAGAAGAAGCATCTTCATCCTGTACTGTGCCAATAAGTTAGTTAGTTAGTTAATCGAAATGTTATCCTCATTGCACATCAGACAAGTCCATAAGCACTCTGATCCCATCTTCAGTATATCCCCCAGCCTGTGGCGACTGATAACACCAGTTCTGTCTTGGTTTACTATTCTTTTTTGGCTACCTCTATTGTGTTCATGTTTGGTGACACCTCTTTTGACCTGAAGTTCTTGTAGTATTTTGAGTGTTGCCGATTCAAAGTCATCTCCTGAATCATCTTCCTGTCCTGCCTCCTTGAGAGTATTGAGAATTTTGACTCGGTCCATTGATTTTCTTGCACCTACCATGGCCTAGCCATCAAGGCAATCCGCTAATTCACTCTGTCTTACCCCAGAGTGTCCTGGCACAAAAATGAAACTAATTCCTTTAGGACGAGATTTCATCAGTGACTCCAACCAATTTCTTCCTTCAAATCCGACTTGTCTTTGTCTTCTTAAGCATGCTCATGGACTGAGGCCCTGTTAGGGTATATTTTCAGCCTCGATAATTTGGGACTGTTATTCGGAAGATAGTCTAATTTTCTAATGAAACTACATTTCCACTGCGATTAAATGTTTTCAGCTTGTCTGTTTATTGTCCATATATTGGTAACATACTTAAAAATAAAATAATGTTATATGTCATTGTATGTTTATTTAACTAACACATCAGAACCCAGCTGTAATGTATTTGTTAGTATCTTTTGCTGCTGTATGTTGTGTACATATATTAGGTAATTTGTTCCACAGAATCCTGTGTTTGAAGAAGCGGAGCCTGAGTTCCACACCATGGCATTCTTCAAGACAACAATCAAGATCAGAAATGCTCTTCAGGTATTCATAGTTTTGACAGTTGCGAATGATGATTACCATATGATGCAGGAACAGCAGTAGGCAACTAGACCTGGTAGAATTGAATATTGCTTGTATACATCAGGTATTCAGGTTGATTATTGTGTCTCACTCCCTGCTTGAGAACATTCAGAAGGGTGGCTTTGATGTAATGGTTTTCACATGTAGGGTACTGCATCTGAATATCTCTTTTTCTCTAGCCGATTCTCCATCGCTGTGTGCTTTCATAGCCTGTGCGTCTTCAATATCTTGTATCCACTTTGGTAGAGGTCTGCCTCTGCTTGTTTTCCAGAAACTGTAACCTTGATAACCATTCTCTCTGTGCAACAATAATGTTTAGGCAAGGCGAAATTGCCTTGGCTTTCAGGACTGGATTCTGTTTATGACTCAGTTCTCCTCAGTGCTTAGATCATACAGGATGTCAGTGTTTTTCTTCTTTTTAACTAGTATTCTGAGAATTAATTTGTACCACATACACGTGTAAATTACTGAGGAAAACTCCAAACCATTGAAACAGCGTGATACAAGGCATATGTGGTCAAGGCCCTTTGGAAACAATCAACAGAATCAGTAGAGAAACAAAATTATTTTGGCCTGGAAAGAATGAGGCATCTTGGTGTATCTAGAGGGTCTGACCGGCTCACTACACTCAGAGAAAAAGCAAGATGGACATATAACCAGATTGTGACTGGTACCATCAGTATTGGAACTCTGCGCTGACTGCTGAAGATGAGGACGGAGCACGAATGTGAATGCCCGAAGTGCTGTGATATCAGATCTTGGCTCAACTCAATTCAACTCCAACAGCATGATAAACAAATTAATATGTGTTAATGCAGAAAGAATGCGGCGTCAGTGGCTAAGGCGTTGCGAGTCCGACTCGTAAGCCAGCATACCGCGATCGAAACCCACTGCAGGCTGCGTGGATTTTTGTCGTGGTATGGGACGTCGCAGGATGGGCTGTCCTGGGAAAGTAAAGACAGCCGGCGTAATGCTGACCACATTACCCACAGAGTGCTGACGGTCTGTAAAAATATGGGACGCTCTGCCCATATGCCCGTTGCGCCGAAATGCGTAAAAAGGGAACTTTTTTTTTTAATGCAGAAAGAAGAAGTACAGCTAGGAGGATACCAGTTGAGTTGACAGGATTTTAAGAAATCACGAAACACAGTTCATAGTGTTTTGTCTGTTAAAATTTCACAACCACTAAACATTTGCAGAAACTTTTTAGAATGCCATAAATTAAGAAGAGGTCTTCTGCATTTGCTCTTAAAAAGCCAGTTGACACATTATATTGTAGTTTACAGCTAGTGCAGTATGTGCACCTTTTAGCTCAACACATCCAACTTCAACAAAATCCTGATTAGTCACCATTTATGATATGCTGCTTGTTGGAGGTGGGTTGGTTGGGGGGGGGGGGGGGGGGGTGTTGCAATATGCCCCTTCTTCCCTTTGAAAGTAGCTAGGCACAAATATAACATCACAGACATCTGAAAGAGGAAGTTTGTTTTTTAACCACTTTATGAGAAGGGAAAATTTGGAACATATTGTTCCAACTGGAAACATTAAGGAAACAAAGATAGAGGGAAATATCTTTTTCGTCCTTATAAGGACGAAATTTTTCGTTATTTGAAGCCCTACCCTGGCTTTTGCCAGGGGCCGCAATATAGGCAGGTCATAAATATGGCCAATTGTCTGAACGCGGTTTCTGGTACCTCTCCACGGCGATCCTCATCCACATGGTGGCACTTTGTGTCAACGGGTGTTTATCGCTTGTGTGATGTCCTGGTGGGGTAGAAATTCAGTCAGTCAGTCAGATAGAGGGAGATAATGACAGCTAATTCTTGATCTTTTTATCAGTATGGGGGGAAAATGTCACACAGATTGATACATGCTGTTGGGGGTTGACATATGCTATGGAGATCATGAGATATGAAGAAATATTATCATTCCTACTAGTCAACAAGCTACAGGTTTACCATCTCATATCATCATTCTTGGATAAGATCTGTGTTCTTGTACTAGTTGTGTCGTGCGGCCAAGCTATCCACCTGGTATTTATCTCATGTGTATGTCTGTATGTCTCTCTGTCTGTTTCTTTTTCTCCCCACCTCTCTCTCTGTCTCTATATATCTCTCTCTCATTCTCTCTCTCTCTTTCTCTTTCTCTCTTTTCATAAACAATAGATCTGAGATTGTACTATGTTGTAATAAATCAGTTTTTAATCAATTTTTTAGCATGAGATGATACCAAATCTGTCACATGACCAGGAAGCATTGCTTATACATTTGTCACGACCAATCATATTGGCTCAGCCATTAGCCTTTGACAAAGGTGGGTGAAGTTCATTGACCATAGAATTTAAATAGAATACCATGTTTGACTTGCTGTTTATCAGTATTTTGATTGAGGTTTAACACTTACACATTGCTATTATATAGAATACCTTGTTTGACTTGCTGTTTATCAGTATTTTGATTGAGGTTTTACATGTACTCATTGTTATTATTTTAAAAAGGGACATGGTTGTAAAGAAAATAGAAGCAGTTCCATAGGGGAACTAGAAAATTTAGAAGTACAGTCTGCTAACAAAACAAAAAAAAAGATTGACACATTTTAGCACAAGAAAATCTTGTTTGACACTTTCAGTCACAAGGAATGCATCATACGGTCTTAGGTTCCACCTAGAAGCCCAATGAACGCAAGATGTGCTGATTTTACATCTCTTTACCACCCCTTGGGTCTCTGTTTGCTAAACCCTCTGGGACTGAGAGAGCTAACAATTGCAATAATAAATCATACAAGCAAAGTGAATTTAGGACTGGTTATTTTGACGTCTGCAGTTGCGTGATAGTTTATTTTGGCATATTACCCTTGTTTCATCATCATCAGGTGCTACATTGATTGGTATAAGCGATGATGATTCTCCAAATGCTGCAGTCTACAAGAATAGGTTTTAGTGAATGTGAGTTAGTGATGGAGCCTTTTCCCAACATGGGCACATCAGGCATATGAGAGCTAGACCCCTATTTATATAGACAGTCTGGCACTCATCTTTACTTCCCATGAGATTTACTGGTGCCCATTATAGCCTGGATGATCCTCAAAGTTCAGAGTATTCATAAAATAAAATCTGCTAACAGTTCATGGAATGAAACCTTTCCATAGAATGATAAATGACTGTCAAGGATTCTACCTCATATCTCCTTCCTCATATCTCCTTCTATCTGTCAATCCATAAATCTAATGTAATGTCTCACCTTGTTCTATCAGTTTTCTAGGGCCAATTTTCTCTTTTTGATGTTTGTCTTTGTGTGTTAGCCTTTTTCCTTACATTTACTTACCTTGGCTATCCAGGGTTATTTCATAATTCTTCTATACAAATCACTTTTCTAAGGCCTCTTGAAAAGTTTGAATTGTTGATCATTTGTAACCATATGGTAAATCTGATTATAAGTAATATGCAAAAATGTTGTTTTTTCCTAACCTGTAATGATGAGGATTTATTGCATAAGTTATTCTTCATGTTTTAAAATGCAGTTGTTTTCTGTCCTTTTCTGTTCTTCATATTCCTGATGCATCTTCCATCTGATGTGATCCATGGCCCTAGACACTTGAACTTTGGTACTTGTCCCAAATTAATGTCATTTTCCTTGTATGTATCATGTCATTGTTTGTTGCAGCTGTGCTTGTTTGGCTCAACTACAAAAATGCTTATGAGTATTGGACTGAACAAAGGATGGCATTGAACAAAGAAGTAAGTAATAAATATTTGGTACAGATTTCTGTCTTGTCAAAGTTTTAAATAAATACTAGAATCCATACCCTGAAATTACTTCTTTAAGAAAACAAAGTTGACCACATTCAACCATGCTGTAGGTTGAATAGTTATATTTGTATGGTCTGGTTCTATGTGTGCCATGTTTAATAGCTCAAGTGGTGTGTTTTGCTAGTTGTTATAGCTACACATCCCTAACTGTATTTGACGTTTTTCCCGTCTGAGCATGTGTGGGTCTTTTATGTTGCTCTTGTGTGGGTTCTGTTATGCATGTCCATCTTCCTGGCTGTGCTTTTTATGATCTGAGTTTGACTTATTTATGTTTGGGAGGTAGCTCTATGTTCCTGAGTTATTGTTATTGTTTTGATTGTCTGTGTCTCCTGTTGTGTTATCTTTAAATGGTTTAGTCCTGTTAATGATAAAGAGTAGTGTAATGTTATTTTGTGCACCTGTGTAACTGTTATTTTGGAATGTGAACGTTTAAAATTGAAATTATCTTGCACTCAGTTTTATGAGGCTGGTTCAACCCCAGATTGCTAAGAAAAAACATAACTCTGCCTCTTCTAGAGATTGAACCTGAACTTGTATGTATGAACTTGACATGTATGTATGTGTACGAGATTGAACCTGAACTTGTATGTATGAACTTGAAATGTATGTATGTGTATGAGATTGAACCTGAACTTGTATGTATGAACTTGACATGTATGTATGTGTACGAGATTGAACCTGAACTTGTATGTATGAACTTGGCATGTATGTATATGTACAAGATTGAACCTGAACTTGTATATATGAACTTGTCATGTATGTATGTATGTGTACAAGATTAAACCTGAACATGTATGTATGAACTTTTCATGTATGTATGTGTGTACAAGATTGAACCTGAACTTGTTTGTATGAACTTGTCATATCTGTATGTGTACAAGATTGAACCTGAACTTGAATATATAAACTTGTCATGTATGTATGTGTATGAGATTGAACCTGAACTTGTATGAACTTGTCATGTACGTATGTGTACAAGATTGAACCTAAACTTGTTTGTGTGAACTTGTCATGTATGTATGTGTACGAGATTGAACCTGAACTTACATGTATGAACTTGGCATGTATGTATGTGTACGAGATAGAACCTGAACTTGTATGTATGAACTTGACATGTATGTATGTGTACGAGATTGAACCTGAACTTACATGTATGAACTTGGCATGTATGTATGTGTACGAGATTGAACCTGAACTTGTATGTATGAACTTGGCATGTATGTATGTGTACGAGATAGAACCTGAACTTGTATGTATGAACTTGGCATGTATGTGTGTGTGTACGAGATAGAACCTGAACTTGTATGTATGAACTTGTCATGAATGTATGTGTACGAGATAGAACCTGAACTTGTATGTATGAACTTGGCATGTATGTATGTGTACGAGATTGAACCTGAACTTACATGTATGAACTTGGCATGTATGTATGTGTACGAGATAGAACCTGAACTTGTATGTATGAACTTGGCATGTATGTATGTGTACGAGATAGAACCTGAACTTGTATGTATGAACTTGTCATGTATGTATGTGTACGAGATGGAACCTGAACTTGTATGTATGAACTTGGCATGTATGTATGTGTACGAGATTGAACCTGAACTTGTATGTATGAACTTGGCATGTATGTATGTGTACGAGATGGAACCTGAACTTGTATGTATGAACTTGTCATGTATGTATGTGTACGAGATGGAACCTGAACTTGTATGTATGAACTTGTCATGTATGTGTGTGTGTACGAGATAGAACCTGAACTTGTATGTATGAACTTGGCATGTATGTATGTGTACGAGATGGAACCTGAACTTGTATGTATGAACTTGACATGTATGTGTGTGTGTACGAGATGGAACCTGAACTTGAATGTATGAACTTGGCATGTATGTATGTGTACGAGATTGAACCTGAACTTGTATGTATGAACTTGACATGTATGTATGTGTACGAGATGGAACCTGAACTTGAATGTATGAACTTGGCATGTATGTATGTGTACGAGATGGAACCTTAACTTGAATGTATGAACTTGGCATGTATGTATGTGTGTACGAGATAGAACCTGAACTTGTATGTATGAACTTGGCATGTATGTATGTGTACGAGATAGAACCTGAACTTGTATGTATGAACTTGGCATGTATGTGTGTGTGTACAAGATAGAACCTGAACTTGTATGTATGAACTTGGCATGTATGTATGTGTACGAGATGGAACCTGAACTTGAATGTATGAACTTGGCATGTATGTATGTGTGTACGAGATAGAACCTGAACTTGTATGTATGAACTTGGCATGTATGTATGTGTACGAGATAGAACCTGAACTTGTATGTATGAACTTGGCATGTATGTGTGTGTACGAGATTGAACCTGAACTTGTATGTATGAACTTGGCATGTATGTGTGTATGTGTACGAGATAGAACCTGAACTTGTATGTATGAACTTGGCATGTATGTATGTGTGTACGAGATAGAACCTGAACTTGTAAGTATGAACTTGGCATGTATGTATGTGTGTACGAGATAGAACCTGAACTTGTATGTATGAACTTGTCATGTATGTATGTGTACAAGATGGAACCTGAACTTGTATGTATGAACTTGGCATGTATGTATGTGTACGAGATAGAACCTGAACTTGTATGTATAAACTTGTCATGTATGTATGTGTACAAGATGGAACCTGAACTTGTATGTATGAACTTGGCATGTATGTATGTGTGTACGAGATAGAACCTGAACTTGTATGTATGAACTTGTCATGTATGTATGTGTACAAGATGGAACCTGAACTTGTATGTATGAACTTGGCATGTATGTATGTGTACAAGATAGAACCTGAACTTGTATGTATGAACTTGGCATGTATGTATGTGTACGAGATAGAACCTGAACTTGTATGTATCAACTTGGCATGTATGTTTGTGTACGAGATGGAACCTGAACTTGTATGTATGAACTTGGCATGTATGTATGTGTACGAGATAGAACCTGAACTTGTATGTATAAACTTGTCACGTATGTATGTGTACAAGATGGAACCTGAACTTGTATGTATGAACTTGGCATGTATGTATGTGTGTACGAGATAAAACCTGAACTTGTATGTATGAACTTGTCATGTATGTATGTGTACAAGATGGAACCTGAACTTGTATGTATGAACTTGGCATGTATGTATGTGTACAAGATAGAACCTGAACTTGTATGTATGAACTTGGCATGTATGTATGTGTACGAGATAGAACCTGAACTTGTATGTATAAACTTGTCATGTATGTATGTGTACAAGATGGAACCTGAACTTGTATGTATGAACTTGGCATGTATGTATGTGTGTACGAGATAGAACCTGAACTTGTATGTATGAACTTGTCATGTATGTATGTGTACAAGATGGAACCTGAACTTGTATGTATGAACTTGGCATGTATGTATGTGTACAAGATAGAACCTGAACTTGTATGTATGAACTTGGCATGTATGTATGTGTACGAGATAGAACCTGAACTTGTATGTATCAACTTGGCATGTATGTATGTGTACAAGATTGAACCTGAACTTGTATGTATGAACTTGTCATGTATGTATGTGTACCAGATAGAACCTGAACTTGTATGTATGAACTTGGCATGTATGTATGTGTACCAGATAGAACCTGAACTTGTATGTATGTGTACACATATTGTTGCTCTTCAGGTGCTGACTGCCACCCGTCAGGTGATGGACAAACTTCCACAGATAGCCCCCACTTCATCCCCATCCATCACCACACTGTTCCTGCAGCTGACTGTGGATGATATGGGCATTTGTGTCCCCTTGTTGTCTTCACCTTACCAGGTCAGTTTCTGATTCTTGCCTACAGTAGCAGTGAACATTTGCAGATTATTAGCATTCACTTTACTCATTCTTGTATGGTTTTTTTTTTTAAAATTTAATGTGATAAAGATATTAAGTGTTGTTGTATTTTGATAAATATTTGATGTTGACATACAGCGTATTGCCTGAATAATGCTGTATAAGATATTTTGCTCACACAAATTAGACATGCGCCAATGTGTTGCCAGAGATCCCATGTAAAGCAAAGAAATGTAACGCTGCCGCTCCTCTTGCATGTTGTAGGAGGTCACTAAGAATGGCTGACATGAGACTAACCACCTATGCTTGCAGTCTGGTCAAGGTCAAGTCTTAGTTCACAGCCATCACTTGCTTCTTTTATTGATTTCACTTTGTCTTACAGAGCTCATTAAATTATTCCAGTCCACAACTCATCTGTGTTTCACAATATCTCCACCAGCAAACGGATTCACCAGTTTGTTTCCTCTTACTGCTGCATCCTGTGACATAATTATTTTCTATGTCAACCCTTAAAAGGGTGATTGACATATTGTGGTTTACAGCAAGGCTGCAGTATCTAAGCTTTTTAGTCCAGTACATTTGATTTCTGCAAACCAATAATTAATCACCTTTTACAACAGACTTCTCATGGGGTGGTGGTCTTTTTTTTTTTTAAACCAAACATTGGGCCCCGGAGTGCACATGTCATCTCTGAGATAAAAATGAAACTGAATTTTTATCAGCATAACCTCCTTGAAGACTCAAACCACTCTTAAGGCAGCTCATCTGGCAAGTTTAACACAAGTGTCAGCTGTTGTTTGTTGTTAGACATACTGCCAAATGTAAGCATTTGTAACCAGCATGAACTTTCTCTCCAGCCTGTACCAAATCCTGGACCAGGCCTGCAGTCACCCAGAGTGACAGAAGCTGAACAAGGCTCGGCTCTTGTGCTGACTGTGGAAAGTACTCAGATTTCAGCTTGTTCATCTGGCTCCCTTGTTAGCAAGGGCAAGTTCAAAAGTAAGAAGCTGACTGATGTGTCCTGTAATTTGTTAACGAATGCAGTATTTTGTTTTAGGCGATGAATGGTTGGTCTTGTATGACTCATAAGAACAAGTTCATAAGATATGTCACTAGTAGTAAGAACTCATTGGAAGAGTGAACCCAGCAGGAGGCTTTTGATCATCAGAAGCAGCTTCCCCTTTGGCAGATCCACACCTTTTTTCTGCTGGACCCTGAAGACATGTTTCTTTATTAATAACTGTTGAAATTCTTGCCCATAGATACAAAGGGAAGTATTTGAAACTGAAGTAAAAGCCCTGTCTCCACACTTCGAGACACATTGAGAAAAAGGCATTAATTCCATATTTTGTTATACTGATCAGTACTCGATGGGGGATGTAGTCTATTATCCCAGTCACTTTTACTTCTCATAACATTTTATTTACTCAATTTAGGAACTGAGGTCTGTTATAAAACATGCTTTCTATCTAATGCCAGCATCTTTTCTTCATCTCTTCATTCACTGAAATTTGCTTAGTTCTCTCCCAAGTTCCACATTTGGGACCTCGTCATACCATTAAATACTCTCTATTCTGCACGGACACCAGTTAATAAATATTTGTAGTTTATTAATAATTGATTAGTTGTTCTCCATGTTTCAGCTTCACACAGCAGTACTGATCTGACATTTTAGCAAACTGTTTCAAGTTTAATACTAGTTTCAATTTTTGTTGACTTCCGTAAATTTCCAAGAGCTATTGAAACTCTTCTTGTTTTGTTGTTGTTGCTTACTGCTGATGTATCCTGCCACTGGCTGCTGTTTTGTGCCTAGATTTCTGCCTGAGGTTTGCTGATGATTTTGGCACCTCCTGGGATGACTGGAAGCCCAGAGCTACAGACTGTGGTGCTGTAATGAATCAGTGTAATGTGCCGTCAGGCACATACGAGGTCTGCTCTAGAACTATCAACAAGCAAGGTAAGCACAGATCATGTGCACTATGCCAGACCTTTTTTGTCATTGTAGGCTGAAAGTTTGAAGGATAAGAGTTTTGTAAAAAAAAATTTTGTTTTTTTGTTTTCAGTCACATCCATGCTGTTGAGTGAAGAATTATGTGCATCTGACATAAAAAAATACAAAGCAGATATAATATATAAGTAAAAATAAATATGTACAGAGGCCACCAAAAAAAACCAGTTCTGTTAGAAAACATTGTCACTTATTATGACTTTCTTGAAAAATAAAAACAATGGAGCAGAGAAGGGAAAGTCAAAGCGAGAATTGTGAAGTGAAGTTCTTTAGAAGAAGAAGTAGCCCTATCACTCTATCGTTATTCACATCACTGAGCATAGGAACATTGGAAAACTCTTGAGTGTTGATGCTTCCTTCTTTCATTAAACCCCAGAATCACATAACATAAGGCTTTTTCTGTCACATCATTGGTAACATGTTTTCATTTTGAAATAAGCAAAGTGTGTTTAGTATAGATCAGTAACAGACCATAGACACTGGATGGATTATAGACAAATCACTTATTTCTCATAGCTATTGAATGAGATCACTGTACTCTGGAGGCTAGATGCTTGTCTGCCAGCCAGAAAGTTTTAGTTTGAATCCACATTGGACTGTTACAGACTTGCAGTGAAACTGAAATAATATGCTGTCACAGACTTGCAGTGAAACTGAAATAATATGCTGTCTCAGACTTGCAGTGAAACTGGAATAATGTGCTATCACAGACTTATAGTGAAACTGAAATAATATGCTGTTACAGACTTGCAGTGAAACTGAAATAATATGCTGTCACAGACTTGCAGTGAAACTGAAATAATATGCTGTCACAGACTTATAGTGAAACTGAAATAATGTGCTGTCACAGACTTGCAGTGAAACTGAAATAATATGCTGTCACAGACTTGCAGTGAAACTGAAATAATATGCTGTCACAGACTTGCAGTGAAACTGGAATAATGTGCTGTCACAGACTTATAGTGAAACTGAAATAATATGCTGTTACAGACTTGCAGTGAAACTGAAATAATATGCTGTCACAGACTTGCAGTGAAACTGAAATAATATGCTGTCACAGACTTGCAGTGAAACTGAAATAATATGCTGTCACAGACTTATAGTGAAACTGAAATAATGTGCTGTCACAGACTTATAGTGAAACTGAAATAATGTGCTGTCACAGACTTGCAGTGAAACTGAAATAATATGCTGTCACAGACTTGCAGTGAAACTGAAATAATATGCTGTCACAGACTTGCAGTGAAACTGAAATAATATGCTGTCACAGACTTATAGTGAAACTGAAATAATGTGCTGTCACAGACTTGCAGTGAAACTGAAATAATATGCTGTCACAGACTTGCAGTGAAACTGAAGTAATATGCTGTTACAGACTTGCAGTGAAACTGAAATAATATGCTGTCACAGACTTGCAGTGAAACTGAAATAATATGCTGTCACAGACTTATAGTGAAACTGAAATAATATGCTGTTACAGACTTGCAGTAAAACTGAAATAATATGCTGTCACAGACTTGCAGTGAAACTGGAATAATGTGCTGTCACAGACTTATAGTGAAACTGAAATAATATGCTGTTACAGACTTGCAGTAAAACTGAAATAATGTGCTGTCACAGACTTATAGTGAAACTGAAATAATATGCTGTCACAGACTTATAGTGAAACTGAAATAATATGCTGTCACAGACTTGCAGTAAAACTGAAATAATGTTCTCTGAAATGTGTCCACAGATACCAACAGCGGAAATGCCAAATGGATACTCAATGTCCAGTGGGATATGAAGGGCATAGATGTGCACCTCGATACTGATATAGGCAAGAGGTTTACTTTACTGGGCCACACTCTCACCTTGCTGGCGGGCGATGCTGCAGAATCTCTGGCGGACGTCACACATCCCACAAAGCATGCAGATGATGAGAATGGAGACTTTTATGAAGACGACGAAGATGCAGTTGACCTGAGCAGTCCAGGTACCCTGGACAACAGTCAAGAGGTAGGTCAGTTATTTAAACCAGCACTAAGTTGCTTTCACATGAGCATTGCATCTGTGTATATACCAGTGACACAAGTGCTTACAGAAATAGCTCACTTCATGACATTCTAGAATGTTGTCATAAACTAATGTTGATATAATCCACTTTCTCTTACTTGCCAATAAGACAGAAGTCATGAACACACTTACAGTGCTAGATGCTGTAGCAACCTGGTTATCATGTTATAGAACAATGTCAGCCTAACTCTACTGGAGCCCAGTATTTCTGGTGAATATTGTTACTTCACGCTGGGTACATGCTGATGATGAATGTCCTATATTACAATAAAAGTTTTGTGAACAAGTGAAATAACAAATACATGTAAAGATAAATATAACAACAACACTAAATATAATCATTTACGAATTTAACATTTAATGTTAAAAAGCTTTATGCCTTTTAATTTTTATCTGCAATTATTAAATTCTTGTATCAATGAATAAATGCAATAAATATAAAATGTTTATAATTCACTGTGAACAATTTATAATTACCATAATGACAGTATGTAAAAAGTAGCCTTTTATAAAATCACAGTAACAGCTGGCTGATCCAAGACTCTGGTGATCATACCAGATGGTGAACCATATCTACCTACATTATCAGTACAGCACACGATGATGTTGTTAGTCAAGGCTCCACCATCATAGCTGATGGGTCCCTCCATAACTGTGCCAGTAGCAATCACACAAAATGTCCTTCACTGTCTTATTGGAAAACTAGTGAAAATCTTGTCAGTCTCAGCAAAATCATGTAGCTTGCACATGCAAAGTAAAAATGTATAAGGCAGCTGTTAGATGTGCCAATACTAATCATCCCACACCGGAATTGCAGCTCACTATTGGGCCAGACAGTCAGTCACGGAAGCCAGTTTTGAATCTACAAAAGTACATGCCATTCTAAACATTATTAGCTACGCCTAATTTTAGTGCGGTCAACAACACGCCATGAGCACAACAAAAAAACATTGCACATAAAATCTACAGCTCACATGTCACATCATGCGCTCATAAGCGGAACGAAACCTTTAGACTCTTGATCCAGTAAGGGGGAGTTTGCGTCAACAGAAAGTAGCTGGAAACAATAAACTTTTCAAAGCATCAGTGATTAGCCAATTATCATCTTTTTGGTCTGAAATTCTTGTTGTCATAAGGATGATAAACAAGAAGCTATACAATTTTTATAATTTACTAGATTTTAGTATTTAATATGAACTGTTTATAATTCACTACATTTTGGTGTTTACATACAGCTTATAATTTACTAGAATGCAGTTTGCAACATAAACAGTTTATTGTTTACTAGATATCATTATGGCCATCTTAACGCATGAGCCTGCTGGGCACTTGCCCTGGGTCCAGAGAGCATAGGAGCAACATATTAATCTGTGTATATTGAGCGGAAATGTGCCGATGAAAGAGACACATGAACCACGGATGCGAAGGTCAGTGGTCGTTTTTCACTGAGATTTATCACCACCGAGAACACTGGCCAACCGAGAGACGTCCCGCAAGTGTCACACTAAAAAATGGAACATGTGGGTCAACAATAGAATTGAACGGTTTCAAAAGATGGTAATGCTAGGGAAAAGAAGAGAAAGACAAAATGCTAGAAGCTGGACTAGCACACTGAACTATAGGCATCCGGGCCATCCCATTCTCTGGGGATACTGCGTAAAACATTATACGCGCAGTATTTCCAGCGGCGTAAAGGCTACTTGCCTGCTGCTATCTGTGTGAGAGAGAGAGGACAATAGATTTTACACCGGTGTAATGTGGAACATGATACTGATTTACTCTACATTAGCCATCAACCAGTATACGCCCCGTTCCCTTGGACACCTAGACACTATTTAATGGAGCAACATTTGTTCTGATACAGGCGGGTTCGTGAATGGAAGAAGAAATAATTACAGACATTTGGAGTTCTCTTTTTACAAATAGTTCCCCTTTACCTCATCAGGCTACACACACGAAGGTAGTTATGTCGTACAAGGGTGACACCGTGCTGATGGGCATTACGTCCCTGGCCCCTTCCCCAGCACGAGGGCACCACTGGGGTGACAGTTAATAAACCCTCACTATTTTTTTTTTTAAAGTAAATATGGTAGACAATTTTGATGAACTCGATCCTCGCCAGAGCTACGGATTTCGTGCGTCTGTGCTGAGATCCGATGCAGCAGCATTTACAAGGTACAGAAGGAGAAAAAGACAACATGATAGAAAACGGCGCAATAGATGGGCTGGTGCATGCAAAAACCAATTGTAATCAGAACGCCTTAGCAAGGGAAATCTCCGCATTCTTTGCTGGAACTGCAGGAGTGTTCGACAGAGAGGCCTAATCTTGGAGAAACTGATATATGATGCTCATGTAATCCCACTTCAGGAGACCCGGCTGAATACAGAAGAATCTCTGAATGTCTCAGGCTTCCAAACCTACTACAACAGCAAACACCTAGGCCAAGCGATTCTGGTCAGGCGCGGAATAACATCCTCAGTTGTAGACACGAGTGCATGGAACAACAGCGACATTCAGGTCCAGGCCGTAATGGTAGACGGGAGTAAGCCTTTCATTCTAATCAACATCTATGCCTGTAATGATCAAGTTGACAAAGAAAAGTGGACAATATTAAGTGACATGTGCGAGCAGATAACCACCGACATCATTATGTGTGGGGACTTCAACGCCAAAGGTCGTCTATGGGGCAATCCGACGGTCAATAAACAAGGCGAGGCATTGGAGGAAGCACTAACAGACACGAATTTAATCTGCTTGAATGATGGCAGACCCACTAGAATCCCCGACAGAGAAGGTGATACTGACAGTACCCTTGATCTCACGCTGGTCTCTCCAAGTATGAGTGCACTCTGCCAGTGGGGCGTACTGGGACATCATGGAAGCGACCACCTTCCATGTTGGATTCTGGTCAAACAAACAATCTGCACAAGGTATCAGAGACCAGCCACTACTTTCCAGTACACTGCACATCAGCCTAATGTAATTGGGCATCTGTGAGACAGGTCACGCAGAACACCGGGAAAGAAGAAAGCTATCTTTCAACAGCTCCTGTGGTGGACACCTGAAGTCACAGAAGCCTGGACAGAGAAACGAGGTGCCACCAAAGACTGGGAGAATTTTACTGAGGCGCAGAAACAAGACATTAAACACACAAAAAGACAGACTTACTGAACATTTTAAACAACTCGCAATGGAGTCTAAGAACTCAATGTGAGAAAATTTTTGCAAAGAAACAGGTTATAAAAAATCACTCAAAAAATTCTGGCGGCTCCACCAAAAGATAAACGGAGGCAAACAAACCTCTGTTATGCCCGAGCTAAAGATGGACAACGGGGTGGTGTAACAATCGGATAAAGACAAAGGCGAGGCTATCCTGCACAGATTTCTCCTGCAGACGGAAAAGAAAGATAGGGAAGAGAGGGAGCAGATGAGACAGAGTTTACATGATATTCAGATGGCTGAAATGGAGGAAGTCGATGATACAGTATACATCTCAACGGACTGCATCAGAGCAACACTGAAGACCTGTCCCGACACAGCTCCAGGGCCTGATGGCATTAGATACAGCGACTTCAAAAGCCTCGAGGCAACAAATATTGATGAACTATCCATGATTTTTAACAACACCATGAAAACTGATGACTGGCTCCACAGCTACCTCAGACTGGTTCCTAAGCCAGGAAAAAACCACACGAGAATAAATGGCTACAGAATCATCACACTCCAGAACGCTATAGAAAAACTCATGGAAAAAATCGTTGCCAGAATGTTTACCCAAATATTGGAGTCGGGTGGCCTATTCCCCTCTACACTAGGTGGGTACCGACCAGGAAGAGATACATGGTGCAATGCTGCAGTATTTGCCTACGACACATATGAGGGTTTCCAGGAGGGAATAGAAACAGCTGCAGCCGCTGTTGACTTAGAAGATGCGTACAACAGCATCCCATACAACATGCTCATCAGACTGCTGTTGGATATGCAGATAGAAACAAATTTGGTCAACTGGATCGCAGCAGCACTATTTGAAAGAACAGTGTCGCTTTGATGTGGTGAATGGGCAACCGAACCTCAACATGGTTCTCTCTGAATACCCACATCGTTAGTACACCAACGCGAGTCGTAAGCATCTGTGGTGTGGACATCGAGAGAACGGACACCATGAAATACCTGGGCATAACATTTGACAGATGCTTGTCATACAAATGCCACATAGACAACGTCATACTTAGAGCCAGGAAAGGTTTGACAGCACTCAAGGTGCTAGCAGCAGCTGATATTGAACAACGTCTACTTTTCCTTCACTATCAAGGGCTTGTGCTTAGCGTCATTGACTATTGTCTTGGCCTCCTCACTGTCAGCAAAACCCAGCTAGAAAGACTGGACCGAGTACAGAATGAGGCCATGAGACTCATACTAGGCTGCACAAAAGACACCTCCTGCAACGCCATGTGTTATGTCCTGGATCTGTCGACTATGACTAGCAGATACAAAGTGGCACAGGTCAAGGCTTACATAAGGGTATCGGCAGACATTAACCACCCATTACACAAAGCTATACACGACACAAAATTCCTGCGGCCGTAGACACAGAAGTAGGGGAACTGATAGATCAGCATTCAGACCCAGAAGATATCATCATCTACACAGATGGATCTGTGAAGCGCGGATCAAGGTCAGCATGGGCATACACAGCGCAAAGAAAGGGCAAAACAATACATGAGGACAGCGGCGCTTACTAGACAACCACGTCAAGCTTTAGCATGGGTATCCGAGCAAACCGCCACACAGGCACTAATTGTCTCAGACTCAGCGAATATGCTTCAGAAGATAGCAACAGGCAGTGTGCGCTCTGAATGGATAGAAAGCATTCGGAAATCACACTTAACATCCGTAACCTGGATCTACACACCGGGTCATGCGGGCGTGAAGGGAAATGAGCGAGCAGACCTACTGGCAAGCACTGCACTAATGGTCGCGGGAAAAAGTATGGACAGAGCAGATATAGTCAACGCTGTACGAACTGGGCTAGTGGAGAATGAGGAATCCCTGACACTAAAACGATTGCGTGACATGGGAGTTAAGCATGGTGATGCACATCTTTGCCGTCTTCGAGGCCGAGAAAGGAGACAATATAACCAGCTTCTTATGGGGACAATTAGTAGAAGTACTTTGGAGTGGCTGCTGCTTCGGAGAACTGAGCACGCATGGGTATGCCCAATGTGCAGTGACATCAATTGTGATAACAAAACATAAAATAACATCTTGTAGGGAGTCGGCAGTCCGAAACCCAAGTTCAAGGTGTCTCCTTCGTGATAAAGAACTGCATGGCTGTTAGGTGAACAGTCGGTAACGATGGCAGGCAGGTCGTTGTAGGGGTGACGCCTGCTGGGGGATGTAATGTCCTAAGCTAATAATGAGGGTACTGCTGGGGTGACCGTTTATTAACCCTCATATAATACTTCCGGTCAAAATGGACGCTAGGCACGGCCACCTTTTTTTTTAAGCCGTGGCAAATTTTTTTTTTTTAAATCTTCCGCCAGACGGTGGCCATTGCATTTTTGCTCCATTTGTAGACTGGAAGGATGTAGTTTCATCGCCCAGCTTCTGAGTTGAGTGCATGGCGTGACACTGTGAGCTGCGTTTGTTTTTCGTTGGCACAGGAGCGGAGCAACTGTGGGGTGACCCGTTTGCTATGAAGCTGAAACTAGGATTACCAGATTATCAGATTAATCTGTGTATGTCAAGTGACCTGTCACAGATAAAAATATATGTATCTTTTAAATTAATTCTAAGTAAAACCAAAAAGTTATGCCCCTCGCCCCACACACTCACACACATGCACACACACACACACACACGCCTGCCCACCCAAACCCCCTCTCACCCCCCAGTGTTGTTTAAGTGCCAGTAAAGTTAAAATATCTTTAATATTATTGACCGTTTAAATTTCCTTCCTGTAAGTGACTGTCAAAGGGGCCCAGTACACTGGTTTGTCTAGGGGCCTATAGTGCTGTTAAGACAGCCTTGGATATCAGTATGTAACATTAAGAGTTTATAATAAAGTAGATTTTAATATGCAGCTACTAACTATAAAGTTTTTATTTTGCTAAGTATTAGTAACATATAGGAAACAGAGAAATATGTAGACAGTGTTTATCCAGACGAGACCTGGGAAGGCACAGAGATGTCACCATGGCAGGTGTTAGATATGAAGTTATGAGTCAGAATGCTATAAAAGTGAATACATAGAAAACAGAGATAGGGGAAGATGGTGCAAAAAGATTCTCTAAAAAGATTCTCCGCAGCCTTTTCTCATGGCATAGAAAATTGTCAACGCGGAAACTGATAGATGCTGTTGAAGATTGCCAGTATTTTTGTGTGTATGTGTGTGTGTGTGTGTAAACACACACTTATATATACCTACACATGTGTGTAGTAAGATACGCATACATATATATATACACACACTGACTGCCCAATCCAGTCTCCAAGGCAGTGATGATTTAAGTGAAGCAACAGAACAACCAGCTTTAAGCAGCAGGCTCTTCCTGTGTATGCTGTATTAGGGCAAGTATAGTTATCACTTGTGTTGTCGCTGTTTTTATAATAGTTTGTATACATCAGATGTCTATTTCATAAATTCTGCCAACTTTCTGAAAAAATAATCTTCTGTCCTACTTAGGAACTACAGCTGAAGCGGCGGACAAGTCTTGCATCCGACATCCTTCCTGAAGAGATTTTCTCTGATCATTTTGATCCTAAAGAAAGAGCACGGAAGATAGAAAGAGAGATGAATGAACAAGCTAAAATAGTCCAAGAACTGAAGTAATTACACTGACTTAATCACTATTTCCTTTGTTGTTTGCAGTAGGTTTCATATGAATGTGGATCATCACTGGCAGGTGGTTGTATTATATTTACTGTATTGTAAATGACATCAAAACTAAAATAAAGAATACTAACATTCCCCACTCTTGCCCTTACAAGACTAAGTGTAAATTACTTTCCACATGTTTAGATGTGTTCATGTGTATGTTTATGTGTGTATGTGAACACACACATATATACACATAAATACACACACACACACATAGTAATATGAGCTGTTAGTTTTGTAAGGTTATCACTTATGTAGAATGTTCATACTGTGTATTCTTAGGAGCAAAATTAAATTAACATTAGCAAAGAATATTTACATACTGAACAAGTTTTAAGAAGTGATAAAGAGGTTTGGAGAGGGACAGGCTACCTCATCGCATAGAAAACGTCAGTGGGAAAAACCCAGGGTCAAAGAAGAAAACAAAAACTCAGCCCTCTTTAAGAGGTATTAATACTGTGTGGTCTGGATCATAGTCTGACATTTTTTCACTTGGGAAAATCACCAGAATTAATATTTAAACTGTTTGTGAATTATAAAAGACAGTGTGAGCAGTAGAGAAATCAGAGGTAAGATTACTTCTTCTTCCTTCACCCTTAGAAAGGCAGTTGGTATGTTGTGTTGTGGTTTACAGGAAGGCTGAAATATCTGTTCCTTTGGACCAACACATCACATTTCTGCAAACCCTTAATTAGTCACCATTTACCACAAGCTTAACTGACAGTGGGGTCTTTTGCTTGTATATTGTCTGATTTACCGATTGATAGAAGGAATTGTCACATATCTGTTAATATTTAATAGTATAGTCTATGTCATGTCTATCCTTGTTGTTTTTTAATAGGGAGTGTGGGGCTACAGAGGCAACAATAGAGATAGAGAGAAAGAAGTTGGAGGATCTACAAGCACTGCTGTTTCAGGACTTTAGACGAGACTTAATGGAGATGCTGAAAAGAAAAGGAGACAGGGTAATGTTAGATTGCAGTGGTTTTTCCTTCTAGTCTTTGTCCTTATGGAAGAAATATTTCACGTTTAAATGTAGCCAGGTTGTTTCTTCTTCTTCCACTTTGTTCATTGGCTTTAGGCTCCGACCGAAAGTCCTGATTGTTCATCCACTTGGACTTTAGCTTTGTGCCAGGACCTGAGTTTTGCGTGTACATCCATTTCAGTGGCTTATTTATGTGCAGTTGGTTGTACCTTGCTGCTCTGGCAGATGAAATCTGACTTCGAAGGAAGTCCGCAGTTAGTCGACACACTTGCTGCGAAGGCAGAGGTCTATTCTTATTTTTTCCACAATGGAACACTGGAACCCACGTGAGAGAGCCGGGTGATTTGATGTTTACTGATAGTTTGGAATAATAATTTTGACATATTAAATATTTTAAAATTATCATTAAGTGGCTAACACCATTAAATTGAATATTTTACAGGGCAAATACCATTGAAGAGTTATGGTGAAATGTATAGTATGCTGTGTTAAAAGGGCAAATACCATTGAAGAGTTATGGTGAAATGCATTGTATGCTGTGTTAAAAGGGCAAATAGCATTGTATGGATATTCTTATATATAACTAATTTATCTGTGTACATATTTTGTTTATTGTTGTTCTCTAGGCTAGTCTGATTAAAGATAAACTTGGACTGAGCTCACGACCTTTGACACACATGCGATCTCGATCTACAGGAACACATAAACTCACTAGGTACACTCTCATGCTATTTTGTACGTCTTGCAATGTGTGTATGAATGGTCTCGATTGTGAACTTGTGTTAGATTACACGTGAAGATGGTATCAAGCACAGAGCACGCACTCCATAGCTCCGGCGATGATTCTTTTTATAATTAAGTAAAAAATCCAAAGAAAATATTCTATTTTGGCAGGAAGTAAACGGTCACCCTAGTATTGCCTGCCCGCTAGGAAGAGGCATGGGAAATCCTGACAGAGTCTGTATGCCTATGTTCACGACTATATATCCCACAGTCATTCAGCCAGAAGGCGCGTAGGTCCCCTGTAAGGCTTGGGGTTTCTTACTGAGGGTGTCTCCTAGATCTGGTGTGTTTTGTGCCTCTTCGGTCATGCCCAACAGTCTTGACTGTGGAAGGGTTTTCCTGATACAGGATTTCCTGATCAAGGGACTTACGACTTAAGTGTGCCCCTTTCACTCTGTAGCTACAAGAACTTATAGGGCTAGACCAAGCTCTCAAGGGAGTGGAAAGAATCACTTGGAGGTCCTGGGTAGTTAGCATCCTTTGGATATTTTCTCCAGGTCATGCCCGTGTATTGGGAAATGGTCAGGTGGATAGACTGGCCCATTCTGCACCACTTAGTGGTGAACTGATGTATGACAAGCTAGATGTTGGGAGCAAGTGAACAATGAGGAGGCACAGATAGATCAATACGGTCTAAGGAGAATGGCACAGCAGGGAGTTACCAGGGAAAAGGCGAGACGGATATGCAGTCAGACAGTTAGTGGTACCATCGGAATTGGAACTCTTCGCTTGATGTTGAAGATGGGGACAGAGTGCTAATGAGAGTATCCCGAGCTCTGTGATGGGGATTCTTAATTCAACATTGAGCAGAAAAAGTACAGAAAAGTGGCTTACAAACTGCATCATATCTCAGAAACTCACATACTTAATTTATCCCTGTTTAATATGACATGGTTCTCTTGGGACAAGTTTCCTCATACAGGTCAACCTGATGATGGGTGTGGTGTGGAATCATTCACTCCTTATTGAGTTGAGTCAAGATGAGTCAAGAACTGACATCACAGCACTCATGACATTTCCATATGTCCTCCAGCTTCATCTTTCATCTTCAGCAACCTATACTTAATCAGGTGAGAAACTGGGTGGGACAAATGCCCAAAGCCATGGGAAATTATGTAATCTATATATGGTGAAAAGTTTCATGTAGAATCTGTTTATGAAGAATTCTGTGTCAAGATTACTGAATGATTTCTCTTGCGATATTAAACAGATCGTACACAGATCGTCAGACAACACTTTGTGCTGGTGATGAGGATGACAGACGGCTATCAGACGACTTGAGCCGGGTGCCCAAGGTTTCATTTTCTGGTTCACAACTGAGTACTTATACACCACCAGGGTATGTAAGGACTTTTTGCCTTGTCTCTTTCATCAGTTTGCCTTCTTATTTCCAATCCTTCCATTGACTTTTGTGTTCAGTCCTGTCAGAATTGTCAGTGTTCAGAAACAATTTGGCTGTCTAGGATGTTTTCATGTGTTTCATTCTTAATTTAGAAACTATGTGAACACCAACATGTGGTCCTTTTATACATCATTAAAGTATTTAATCTGTATTCATAAATAACATGATCTCTGTTTATCATCTGCTTTGTATCTGACATCATCATTGTCCCAATATTTTAGAGCATGAAGTCATCATTGAAATCATACTATTATATTATGTTATACCTTAGATCAGGGCAATTCAACTGGCAACCCACAGGCCAAATCTGGCCAGTGGAGGCCTTGCAAGTGGCCCTTATATCATTTCTGTTTGTATTGTATTAATGATCTATGTATGTTCAAGCTCAAGTCTCTGTCCTGTGACGCTCCCCATTTTCACAACTGTATCCCCTGAGTCAACTCAGTTGAATAGCCCTGCCTTAGATAATATTTATTATAATATTCAATGTACCGTAAACTATATTATCATCATCAGTCCATGACTTTGGTCATGTTATTACCATCTTCCCTGTACTTTAGATTATTTATCGTAATCTTCTCTGGTCATGGCATCATCATCTCTTGACCACAGATCATTTTATCATCATCCTCTCTGAACCACAGATTATTTCATCATCCTCTCTGGACCAAAGATTATTTCATCCTGCTGTCTGGACCATAGATCATTTCGTCATCATCCTCTCTGGACCACAGATCATGTAATCATCATCCTCTCTGGACCACACATCATTTCCTCATCATCCTCTCTGGACCACATATCATTTCATCATGCTCTCTGGACCACAGATCATTTCCTCATCATCCTCTATGGACCACAGATCATTTCCTCATCATCCTCTATGGACCACAGATCATTTCATCATGCTCTCTGGACCATGCATCATTTCATCATCATCGCTGGACCACAGATCATGTAATCATCATCGCTGGACTACAGATCATGTAATCATCATCGCTGGACTACAGATCATTTCATCATTATCTCTGGACTACAAATCATGTAATCTTTATCATCTCTGGACCACAGATCATTTCATCATCATCGCTGGACCACAGATCATGTAATCATCATCCTCTCTGGACCACAGATCATGTAATCATCATCCTCTCTGGACCATGCATCATTTCATCATCATCACTGGACCACAGATCATTTCATCATCATCACTGGACCACAGATCATGTAATCATCATCCTCTCTGGACCACAGATCATGTAATCATCATCCTCTCTGGACCACAGATCATTTCATCATCATCCTCTCTGGACCACAGATCATTTCATCATGCTTTCTGGACCATGCATCATTTCATTATCATCACTGGACCACAGATCATTTCATCATAATCTCTGGACCACAGATCATGTAATCTTTATCGCAGGACCATAGATTATTTTATCATGCTGTCTGGACCATGCATAATTTCATCATCATCACTGGACCACAGATCATTTCATCATCATCTCTGGACCACAGATCATGTAATCTTCATCGCTGGACCACAGATCATGTAATCATCATCCTCTCTGGACCACAGATCATTTCATCATGCTCTCTGGACCATGCATAATTTCATCATCATCCCTGGACCACAGATCATATAATCATCATCCTCTCTGGACCACAGATCATGTAATCATCATCCTCTCTGGACCACAGATCATTTCATCATGCTCTCTGGACCATGCATAATTTCATCATCATCCTCTCTGGACCACAGATTATGTAATCATCATCCTCTCTGGACCACAGATCATTTTATCATGCTGTCTGGACCATGCACCATTTCATCATCATCACTGGACCACAGATCATTTCATCATCATCACTGGACCACAGATCATTTCATCATCATCACTGGACCACAGATCATTTCATCATCATCACTGGACCACAGATCATTTCATCATCATCTCTGGACCACAGATCATTTCATCATCATCTCTGGACAACAGATCATGTAATCTTCATCGCTGGACCACAGATCATTTCATCATCATCTCTGGACCACAGATCATGTAATCTTCATCATCTCTGGACCACATATCATGTAATCATCATCTGTCTACACCATAGATCATGTTATCATTATCTTCCATGGGCCTTAAATCATGTAATATTCTCTGTGCCTTAGAAATTACGGTCGTCTTTTCTGTGTCTTAGATTAAATTATCATCATCCTCTCTGTGCCTTAGATAAATGGTCATCTTTTCCGTGTCTTAGATTAAATTATCATCATCCTCTCTGTACCTTAGATCTTGTTATAATTTTTCCTTAAACTTTGAGTCTTGTTTATTAATAATTTTAGAAAAGCATGTGATTTAAACTTGTGTTCAACAGCACCCCAGTGAGGTCTGCCTATACAGAGTCACTATCAGATGATGAGGATGATGGTGATGCTTTTCATCGTAACAGGCAGAAGTCTAGATCTCTGGAGGCCATCCCCAGCTCTGGCTCTGATTCACAAAATGATGAATCAGCTCCGTATAGAAGAAGACTGAATGAGTAAGTTAAAGGAAAAACCCAACTGTGTATGCCATTCTAGCTTGTCTAATCAATCATAAGTTGACTTGGAGGCTAACTGATACTCTACATTCAGAGAAAAGGCAAGACAGGCATGTAAGCAAACTGCCTCCAATACCACTGGATTTGAAATTCTTAACTGGCTGCTGAAATAGGTATCAGAGTGCTTATGGGCATGTCCTGAGTGTTGAATGCCAATTTTTATCGCAGCAGTTCACTGGGACACTCAAGTTATCCATTGTAGCTTGCATTAACGGTCGGAGTCTACACACAGAAGTCATCCATTTCACCTTGCGTAAGCAGTCATAGTTCACTTAGACATGAAAGTCTGCCATGCTACCTTACAAAAAACAGTTCACAGACACAGAACTGGCAATTAAGGCAACAGTTGAAGCAGGATCAGGGACTTGTAGACAAAAATAAGTTGATGATGCCTACGGACTACATGACATATAAGTAAAACCGGGTGAAGCTCATTTATGCCATCCTTGAAGTCAAGATATTTGTTACGACCGCTTTATATGGGAAGAATCATTGGAGGTGCCTTGAAATGGTTGTTGCATTGGAGGACTGAGCACCCATAGACATATTCAACGATGTCAGTCAAAATAACGTAACACAGAATAATAAATTAATGTTTGGGGTGAGGAGGGGAAAGGAAAAAAAAGAGTGTGAGCGCTTTAAAAGTTAACATTAAAAATGTGATAGAAATTACCATAACCATGCCATTGTCTTGTAACGAAAAACCTTAAAATGTGATAGAAAATACAAAAACCATACCATTGTCTTGTAATGGAAAACCTTAAAAATGTGATAGAAATTACAATAATCATGCCATTGTCTTGTAATGGAAAACCTTAAAATGTAATAGAAATTACAATAACCATGCCATTGTCTTGTAATAGAAAACCTTAAAATGTGATAGCAATTACAATAACCATACCATTGTCTTGTAACCTGTCAATGTTGTTGACAGACTGTTCTTGACCAGGTCAGACACACACACAAGTCTTGCCATTTTGAGACTTCCTACCACACTCATACACATACTGGACTGACAGGGATGCATCGTCATATACTGGACCTTCATTTGCAAATGAATTTTTATGGTGTCACCCCTTCACTGACCAAAAAGTTGATAATAGAATGGCGCTCCTCTTCAGTGCATATCAGAGGTGGGGGAGCCATCTTTAAACTGTCCTTGTTATATCACTATATTCATCTGCATCGTGATGTCATGTGCTTAACATTCTTGATATCCTCAGCAGTTACAAGATAGAGGCATAGTTATTGTAATATCTGCTACACTTTTCATGTTTTATTTGAAGCCCCCTCTGACATGCATTTGCTTTGCTTGAACACTCCTTTGTATAAACTGTCTCACTCGACAGAAAGAAAAGATCAGAAGACTCAGGTTCTGGAAGTTCTAGAGAACAGAGCAACAAACTTACAGAACAGAACATTGACTTTGAGCTTGATGTCAAGGTTTTCATTGACAGTGGAAAATGTGTGCTGTATCCTAAGGAGGCCAAAGAGGAGGAGGTTCGAAAGTAAGTCATTTTAATTTTCTGAATGTGTGTCATCAGTTATCCCAGATTTCATATCAAAATCTGATTTATGAATCACAGTTTCACAGCCTAATCTAGTTCTGCTCCACTGTTGTAGTGTTTAGATGTGTGACCAATTCATTTCAGTTTGTTGCTGACATTCAGGAAGGTAAAAACATCATGATTAGCAATCTAACCCACTGACTACCAAGCCCATTAACCCTTGCATTTCCCCAGATACCACGTATTTTAGTGTTTACTAAAAATGCCATAGCTTCACAATTATTTGATATAGTCTCACAATATTTTGTATTTTTGCACCAAACTGAATGAAGAACAGATTTCAAGAAAAAAAAGTTGTTTATTTTGTTTTGCATCATCATCATGTGGCTGTAGATTGGTGCAAAAAAGGCAACCGGAAAAATCTTTTATCTGACAACAATAAAGACAAATAAAAATGTCTTATTTTACAAAATTATTTAACAAAAATGTATAATATTTTGTATTTTTGCACAAAATTAAACCAAGAACACATTTAAAGAAATAAACAATAAGGTTTACTCTGACATAGTCATCATCATCATGTGGCTGTAGATTGTTGCAAAAAAGGCAACTGAAAATCATTTATCTGACAACAATAAAGACTGATAGTGATGATTTTTTTTCAAACATTTTCAACAAACATATATAATATTTTGTATTTTTGCACAAAATTGAACGGAGAACAATGTGAAGACAAAAAATGGGGTTTACTTTGTCTGACATAATCATCATCATCATGTGGCTGTAGATTGTTGCAAAAAAGGCGACTGAAAAATCCTTTGTCTGACAATAATTCAGACTCCCAAAAAATGTCACAGCTTCACAACTGTTCAGTATCACTTATCCTATCTGATATTGTTATACACAATTAAATAGATAACAAATATCAAGACAAATGTAGATTTACTGTTTTATATCATCATCATGTGGCTGTAGATATGGTGCAAAAAAGGCAACTGAAAAATCCTTTATCTGACAATAATTCAGACTCCCAAAAAAATGTCACAGCTTCACAACTGTTCAAAATCACTTATACTATCTGATATTGTTTGCACAAAATTAAATAGATAACAAATATCAAGACAAATGTAGATTTACTGTTTTATATCATCATCAGATATGGTGCAAAAAAGGCAACTGAAAAATCCTTTGTCTGACAATAATTCAGACTCCCAAAAAAATGTCACAGCTTCACAACTGTTCAATATCACTTATCCTATCTGATATTGTTTGCACAAAATTAAATAGATAACAAATATCAAGACAAATGTAGATTTACTTTTTTATATCATCATCATGTGGCTGTAGATATGGTGCTAAAAAGGCAACAGAAAAATATGTTATCTGACAGCAATATATAGAAAACGCTCCCGTGACATGATGGTGGCAGCAAATGATGAGTGGAGAGATGGATATAAACTCTGGTAGTCTGAAATAGACAGCTTTTTCACAACACATGTGACACAACAGTACAAGAGACCCTGTCACTTCATTTGAGGTTGTGTGTTTCCAGTTCCAGCACTAATCTTTGTCTCAGCATAACGGTTTGTTTCTTTAGCAAACACAGCAAGTATGTCTTTACTGAAGAAAATATCCAGTGGTTCATTTGTTCCTTCTGGCAGAAATAAAACAGAAGTGCCAGTAAATGGGGGTACTCCAGGAAAGCCTTCTAAATCACAATGCCAGTCATCAACCATTTGGGGGCGTGGCATATCTTCTCCGGACTCGTTAGATGATGATGATTCTGAATCAAAAGCGGCAATATTTTCGTCATGTGCAGACTCAAGCACAAAATCTTTATAATCTGTGGGCTTTGATTGAATACTCTTACAAGAACTATCAGCATCATAAACTGCAGCACTAGTGCTTTCAGCCGAGAACACTGTGACTGTCTTTGTCAGACTTGACTTCGAAGTGTCATACTGTCGTTTTACAGTCGACGATGTTTTGAATGGCACTTCGTTAGATTTATTATAGTCATAGCCATCAAACTGTTCAGAAGTGTCTTCAAATGCACTTTTTGAAGCAAAATCAAGAAAATCGAATGCATCATTAGAAAGATTAGGAGAGATATGTCCACCACGATAGTTCCGATAATTTGACGCCATGATGAATTTTTCGTCAATGTCTCACCGTAATGGGAGCTAACTAAAACAATTCGTAAAATATTTACTTCAAGCACTACGGAGTTATTTCCCTTAATTAACCATACAGAAATGAATAAGCTAGAGGTTACAACTAAATCCATCATAAAAATCGCAATTTTAACATGACGGCGAGCGTCCAAAGCTAAAATCGCAAAGGGTGTGACGTTGGCAGAAGGAAGTAAACGTCGCCTCGTCGCATTACGTGCGATGTTGGTAGTCAGTGGACTAAAGGAATGGCTGACACTATTAAGAATAAAAAGAGGTATGGTAGAGCATGTTTACTCATATCTTGCACACATAATAACAGGCCATGGCAGATAGAAAAAAAAAAAAAATTTTGAGTGCCCAGCACAATACACTGAGCAACATGAAACCCATATTGAATCAAAGGAGACAAATGGTAAATAAAAAGGGAGAGTAGTCACCTAAAATCTTTATCATGAACAACAAGCAGCCATCAGAGCAGCTGGTGAAACATCTGATTGGTTCGAAGTGCAAAAGGGGGTGAGGCAGGGGTGCATTCTCTCACCATACCTATTCAATATATACTCAGAAAATATAATGAGAAATGTCAAAAATGACCAGACTTGTGACAGTTATGATCCGCTCAAAATTGGTGGCAACCCTATTCTGAAACTCCGCTACGCAGATGACACCGTCCTCATTTCGAACAGCGTAAAGGGAATTGAAAATTTAATATTGTCTGTCCAAAAGACAGTGAAGATCAAAATCTGTTCTTGAATTTAAAGAAAACGAAAATAATGTTCACAGATAAAACTGGCTGTCACCCAAAAAATAACAATAAATAATGAAGAAATTGAAAATTTCACAAACTTTGAATATCTAGGATCTATAATAAACAGCAATGGAGACTGTTCAACAGAAATTAAAAGGAGGATGACCTTGGCAATGCAAAGATTGAACAGTCTATGGTTAAGCACCAGCAAGGAGATAAAAATTAGAATTTTGAGAGCATGCATCTTCCCTGTGGCTACATACGGATGTGAGTCGTGGAATATCTCTCAGTCCTTAAGAAAGAGAATAGGGGCTTTTGAGCTGAAATGCTATAGAAAGATTCTCAGAATATCTTGGACAAAGAAGAGGAGAAATATTCACATCTTAAAAGATCTGAACATCAAGGAAGATTGGCTAATAAACAGCATCCTTTCTCAGAAGCTGAAATATTTTGGTCATATCAAGCGCCACAACGGATTGGAAAAAACTATAGTAGAAGGCATGGTACCAGGAAGGAGGAGCAAGGGCCGACCGACACGAAGATGGGCACAGGATATAAGTGACTCCTTGAGTATGAAAGTATATGAGGCAGGAGAACTGGCGAGAGACAGAGTTTCTTTCAGGCAGACTGTGATGAGAGTGATGTTCTGCAAAGGACCTGCTACATGATGATGATGAGTCATCTAAAAATTTCACAAAACACTGCTGTTATTTCAGTACTAACCATTCCTACATTTCGCTATGCTGTAGCTCTAAAATTGGGTGGTGGTTAAAACACGGAAAGAAAGTAAAATGCATTCAAATACAAATACCTGAGGAAATTGATCAATATTAAATGTGATGAAATCAAGAAAGGTGAAAAATCTGAGAAGCTTCTAGATAGCTACACAAATTTAAAAACGGTCACTGAACTGAGAAAGAAATTAATTTAGCGAAGTGAGAATGTCTAAGAAAATTCTACAAAGAATGATGATAAGAGAGACCAAAGGTGCTATACTGGGTTTCATACATGATATCACAAGTTGTGCACAGAAAAGAACAGAATGGAGGAATCATCAACTACAGGCCCTGTATATGTATAAGGGGCACAGGATTGTGATGATGCGATAATGGTACTGCTGTATGGTAGAGAAGTGTAGACAATAAAAATGCAGTTAAAACAGAATCGATTACCACAAAAATTAGATGTCTGGAGCAATGAGAACAGATCAGGAATGAGATTATAAAAGAAATAAATTAACATAGAACCAATACTATCTTACAAACAAAGACAGCAAGAAAATGGTTTGCCTACTTGAATGGAAATGTCTTGTAATGCCCTATCATAAAAGCATAGGCCAAAAGACTTACAGCCTAAGTTAGACATTGAACACGATGGAAAGATAACATCAGAGAAATTCTAGAACAGTATTAAGTGTCTTTGGTTGAGATGGCCAGAAGAGTACAAACCAGAACTGAATATCTCCCTCCACACCCAAAGTAGTACAAGTAGAAACAAAATTAGATTGATTTTACTCTGGTTTTTGTTCTTCTTAGTACTTCAGTTGTTGAACATTGTTTACAGACTGGATACTTGTGTTTATACTGGACAACTGAGCCCTGCATGTTGTTTTGTTCCAGACAAGCCAGGAGAGAAAAACAAGGAGGCAGTGAGCCCAGCCTATTGACCTCCCCAACAAACAAGCGCAAGCTGAAGAAAGAATTGTCAGGTGGCAGTATTGCCAATCAGAGGAAGATGTCAGCAAATCCTGATACAACTATTTTCTTTGTGCCAAGTTTGGCTGTAAAAGTAAGAGCTGTTATCTAATTTCCTTTTCACGCTAGAGTGAAACATGTTTGTCTTATTTATTAAACTGTAACACTAAGATACATATATTATCAAGTATAATTCTACATTTGTTAGATGAATATTATAGTAATAGTATGTGTGTTGATGAGTAAAGATCTGGTAGTAGAAGTAAACTACTTGTATTGATGAGTACAAAGCTAGTAGTAGAAGTAAACTACTTGTATTGATGAGTACAAAGCTAGTAGTAGAAGTAAACTACTTGTATTGATGAGTACAAAGCTAGTAGTAGAAGTAAACTACTTGTATTGATGAGTACAAAGCTAGCTAGTAGTAGAAGTAAACTACTTTGTATTGATGAGTACAAAGCTAGTAGTAGAAGTAAAAACTACTTGTATTGATGAGTACAAAGCTAGTAGTAGAAGTAAACTACTTGTATTGATGAGTACAAAGCTAGTAGTAGAAGTAAACTACTTGTATTGATGAGTACAAAGCTAGTAGTAGAAGTAAACTACTTGTATTGATGAGTACAAAGCTAGTAGTAGAAGTAAACTACTTGTATTGAGTACAAAGCTAGTAGTAGAAGTAAACTACTTGTATTGATGAGTACAAAGCTAGTAGTAGAAGTAAACTACTTGTATTGATGAGTACAAAGCTAGTAGTAGAAGTAAACTACTTGTATTGATGAGTACAAAGCTAGTAGTAGAAGTAAACTACTTGTATTGATGAGTACAAAGCTAGTAGTAGAAGTAAACTACTTGTATTGATGAGTACAAAGCTAGTAGTAGTAGAAGTAAACTACTTGTATTGATGAGTACAAAGCTAGTAGTAGAAGTAAACTACTTGTATTGATGAGTACAAAGCTAGTAGTAGAAGTAAACTACTTGTATTGATGAGTACAAAGCTAGTAGTAGAAGTAAACTACTTGTATTGAGTACAAAGCTAGTAGTAGAAGTAAACTACTTGTATTGATGAGTACAAAGCTAGTAGTAGAAGTAAACTACTTGTATTGATGAGTACAAAGCTAGTAGTAGAAGTAAACTACTTGTATTGATGAGTACAAAGCTAGTAGTAGAAGTAAACTACTTGTATTGATGAGTACATAGCTAGTAGTAGAAGTAAACTACTTGTATTGATGAGTACAAAGCTAGTAGTAGAAGTAAACTACTTGTATTGATGAGTACAAAGCTAGTAGTAGAAGTAAACTACTTGTATTGATTAGTACAAAGCTGGTGGTAGACGTAAACTACTTTTATTGATTAGTACAAAACAGCATATTTGTTAGTTCATATGTTTATTTAGACAATGGCCTGGGTTTGGTCTCTAGTGGTTACATAATTATGGTTTCTGACCAGTGTGGTTCTGGGTAATTGAACTGCATTGTTGGATTTAGAATGTGATAGCAGAAGTATACAATTAATTGCTCTGATTTCAAAAACTAATAATTTTAATCTTATAGCATTTGAGTTGTACTTTCATTTTCCCTAGCATTCACAGCTGGCAGAAAGTTCTGGTTGTTCATCCACTTCTGGACTTGAGTCTTGTTCCTGAATTTGATATTTGTGTCCACATGTGTTTTAAAGATCTGGCTTACTTGTATGCAGACTGCTGGTTCCTCACCTCTCCAGTAGATGCGCTCCACTTCAGAGGAAACATTCCTTATTAGTTGGCTCTTACAACTTACTTGTTAGGGAGGCAACATGTCTATTATCCCCCCCCCCCCCCCCCCCCAAAAAAAAGGGCTTCAGAACTCACATGGGGATGAGTTAAAACCGAGTTAAGAACCCACATGACAGCACTTGAGACCTTCTATAAGACACTCCAAAGTTATCTTCAGAAGTTACGCAGAGTTCCAAAACCGATGGGGTCGGTAGCTGTCTGATTATGTGTCCATCTTTTCTTTGCTGTGAGTGTTGAGTGTCTGCTAGATCCACTAGTCATGCTAGATCAACTAGTCACACTCCTTTGTGTCCCATTCTCCCCGATCTTGATGATATATTTTCCAATATTATAACAGTTATGGTACATATGCAACTAGTACCAGTAGTACAAAATTACTGTTTTGATAAATTTTAAATTAGTAGCAGCAGTTATATTTCCAAGTTATAGTGTTTTACTTTTATATATCTCCTGCTATCATGGTTATTTATGCCAATGGATTTAGTATTGCCTAACTTACTTTACCTAGGTTCACTACAATTCCAAGACCGACCATACAAACTATGTATCTCCCAATGCCACAATAGTAGAGGAGCCAGAGACTACAACCCTCCATGATGAAAGTCGGTATCCTTTTGCGCCTGAGATTATGCTGACAGCACCACCGGCATCCATGAGAGAAGATCCAGCCTCTTATCTGGAGTCTGGCAGTCCTAGAAGAGCAGGCCAGTTAAAGAGGGCCAGTCTGTACGCTTGGCTCACATTGCAGACTTTGCCTGAGGTTTGTAGGTTTCTTGTTGCAGATTTTATAGATATATAAACTTCATTTGTACAAATATTTACATTTGCAGTTTTTAATAGCTTTATGAATGTTTGAGTATATTTGTGTATTAAAGTCTGGCAAATGCTGTCTTCATAAATATAAGCTGAAATAAATCTCCAGCCGTCACTTCTCATGACTTTGGCTGTAAACACTGTCATACAGCTGTTTGTCCATATCTTGATCTTATCCTCACACTTGTATTTGACGGCTAACTGTAAGGTGAGGCTCCAGTTTCTTCCATGTTGGCCAGCCAGTTCTCTGTCATGTCCTGAAGTCACTTTATGTGTGCCACATATTCCACTGTTTCTCTTTACAACACATTATGTGTGTCACATACTCCACTGTTTCTCTTTACAACACATTATGTGTGTCACATACTCCATTGTTTCACTTTACAACACATTATGTATGTCACATACTCCACTGTTTCTCTTTACAACACATTATGTGTGTCACATACTCCACTGTTTCACTTTACAACACATTATGTGTGTCACATACTCCACTGTTTCTCTTTACAACACATTATGTGTACCACATACTCTGCTTTTTTGCTTTACAACACATTATGTGTGCCACATACTCTACTGTTTCTCTTTACAACACATTATGTGTACTACATACTCTGCTTTTTCGCTTTACAAAACATTATGTGTGTCACATACTCCACTGTTTCTCTTTACAACACATTATGTGTGCCACATACTCTGCTGTTTCTCTTTACAACACATTATGTGCGCCACATACTCCACTGTTTCTCTTTACAACACATTATGTGTGCCACATACTCCACTGTTTCTCTTTACAACACATTATGTGTGCCACATACTCTGCTGTTTCTCTTTACAACACATTAATGTGCCACACACTCTGCTGTTTCTCTTTACAACACATTATGTGTGCCACATAATCTGCTATTTCTCTTTACAACACATTATGTGTGTCACATACTCCACTGTTTCACTTTACAACACATTATGTGTGTCACATACTCCACTGTTTCTCTTTACAACACATTATGTGTACCACATACTCTGCTTTTTTGCTTTACAACACATTATGTGTGTCACATACTCCACTGTTTCTCTTTACAACACATTATGTGTGCCACACACTCTACTGTTTCTCTTTACAACACATTATGTGTACTACATACTCTGCTTTTTCGCTTTACAAAACATTATGTGTGCCACATACTCCACTGTTTCTCTTTACAACACATTATGTGTGCCACATAATCTGCTGTTTCTCTTTACAACACATTATGTGTGCCACATAATCTGCTATTTCTCTTTACAACAGATTATGTGTGCCACATACTCCACTGTTTCTCTTTACAACACATTATGTGTGCCACATACTTCACTGTTTCTCTTTACAACACATTATGTGTGCCACATACTCCACTGTTTCTCTTTACAACACATTATGTGTGCCACATATTCTACTGCTTTTCTTTGCAATCCATTGATTTGTACTGATTCTTCTGCCTTGTTAACAGTCCCACTCTTTTTTGTACATAAATCTGCTTTGTTGAGCTACAGAGAAATTACTGAAGCAGTAATGTGAATTTTTAATAAAATAATAATCTTTACCAGTTTTTCTTCTGAAAGTCCATACCGTGTGGCATTGGTGGCCATGTTTGTCTACAACCTTCTGTCTAATGTACTATCAATCAACTCTGATACAGATGATCCTCCCTGCTATGATGTCAAACTGTCCAGCATCTTTACTCTCTACCTCTCTTCCCCTTCCAACTTTCCCACTGTCATGATGTACTCCAGTTTTCTACTTCACATCACATGACCAGATAATGTTGATTGTCTCTTTCTGATGTGAGCAATCCTCCAGAGTTTCTTTCAAGACATACATTACTCTTTTTATCCGTCCAGGCTATTCTCATCATTCACCTATAAAACTACATCTCCCCATCTTCACTAATCTGCCAACTGTCCAATATTCATGTCCATATATCAAGATAGGATTTAGTTAGCTTTTGAAAATTCTCTTTCTTGTCTCAATTGAAAAATAAAGATTGCATAAAATATTCTTTGTTTTGTAAAATGCTGCCTTTGCTTGAGTTATTCAACATTTAACTTCTATAATACATCTTCCATCTAATGTTATCAGGATACTGAAGTACTTGAACATATCAGCTTGCTTGAGGTTTGTCCTGTTTACTTTAATGTTACATTTTGGAGGGTCTGTTTTCTTTGTAATTACCATTACTTCTGTTTTTCTGCCGTTCAAACTGAGACCCTTGTTTTCACTTTCTGTTACCAATTATTTCTTGCAGTTGTGTTTCATTTTTAGCGATCAAAACTTTATCGTCAGCATATTGCAAGTTGTTAATAATATGCCCACAAACCGATATTTCTGGCATTCCATGTATGGATCTAGTTATTATTTCACTGTACAAATTGAATAAATCTGTTGATAGTACTCATCCCTGTCTAACAGTTTGTTTAAAGCTTTGATTATAACTTAATTTTCAATCCTTATGGCTGCTTCTTGTTGCCAGTATATGTTTTTTATTATTAACAGACAGTAAAAAAACAATGTTTAAGGTTTCCAAAATTCTGATAATGTCTTCATGTTTCACTTTATCGCCTGACCATACTGGTAAATGGCAAAAAAGCACAATATATTAACAGACGGCAGTTTTTCCTATTGTACATTAGAAGGAAACAGAAAAACTGTTGGAGTTCTGTTGCAGCAATCCTTCATTCTATTCTGAAAGGTCTGCGGTTCCAATCCACATTGACCCAGATTTGTATAACTGACCTGAGCTTATATGTATACCTAGTCTGAACTGTCAATAAATATCTGGGGAAGTTGACAGCATCACTCATCCAGTGCTGACTATGAAAAGATGGCTTTTACTGAATGCATTGTTTAGTGTGCCAAAGGTAGGAAAAGGGTTCATTATTTTATAAGCCTGAAGGCAAGCAACAGATTTAACGTGCAACAGCAAGTTCATTTAATCTTGTAAAGTGGTCCAGCATTTAGGTTTGTCCTATCTTCTTTATTTCTTTTTTAATTTGTACAGCCAGCAATAGGAAGCCATTAGATTGTCTCTGGAACATTTATGTGTAACACTGTTTCATCTGTGTTCACAGGAGATGATTATTAGTCCCACATTTTTGGACTTTCTAGAGCAGGCATTGGAACCTTTACCTGTGACATCCAGTTCTTCACCATCCATTTTAAAAAGAGGTATGTAAGAGACTGACTCCTGGACAATTATTAAATAAGCCAGACAATTTCTTGAGGCCTCAGAGATGTGTTTTTACCAACTGAAGCTTGCAATTTCCTGGACAGCCAAAATGAGTCACCAGATGTTTTGAAAGATGTGAGGGCCTGAAAGAAAACAAACAGGTGGTGGAGAGGCTTGATCATCAACTCCAGCCAGTTAGGCACTTGATGATGATATCCTATGTTTATAATTAGAGTATTTCCTAAAACATTACAGATTCCTTGTGCCATCTCTGGGGTGCCGGTCAAAGGTTAGGATAATTGTTGCTTACAGGGAGGATAAATGCTATGACCCATACTATTACAGGGAGTGAACTGTTGGGTTGAACATGCTACCTAGTCAGGTAAAGTAGTCCAATTACAGTTTTTCCAGGCATGGCATAATAAAGTGAGCTAGCCAGTTTCCTTCCTCGCTTACTTTCCTTTGTAGAAAATTATAAAACCTATCCAGTGTCAGTTTGATAGGGCTGGGTTCAATCGCAGAACTGTACTGGTTGAGAACATTATACTGTTAATGATGAAGATTGAATCCATACAACTGACTTGCAAGAGAAATAAGTGTAATGCTTGGTTGTAAATAAATGGTCAATAGAAGTAGTCCACCTGTGGAAGCCTCTCTACATGGTGAAAGGCAGGAGATCTCCCACTTACATTTTGTATACCCAGCACCACCCAGCCACCAATCAGCTTACATTCATGACTGCTGACATTAGCGAAGGATAGGAAGATTTGGTGTAAATTGGTTGAGGGTTTACGTGCCATTTGAGAATTTAGAGCAGAAGAAATAAAAAATGAGTTTAACTGCAGTCCTGTTAAAAAGGTTTTTCTTGTCCAAGAAGGTTTTTCATTCAATCCACTGCAGTAGTATTCTTGTATTCCTTGCATTGAAATATGTAAGCACTTACTTATCCTAATAAGTTTCCATGAGCTCTCAAAAACTTGACAGAAAATACAGAGATGTGAATATTTCAACAGATGTAATGGACAGTCTAGTCAACAATATGGAACTGGATGCTTCTCAAGTGTCTCTGGGGCAACAGTCCATGGCATTCTTTCCAGTTGATGTTGTGGTGCACATTAAGGTAACACTGACTATTTAATGAGTTACAGGAAACACAAAATACTCATACCCACATTATACACTTACCTTACCTCTTCTTAATCATGATGTTGGTTCAGTGTCAAGAGGCAACAGAAGTGCTTGGGGTTTCTTAGCAAAAGTTGATGGTCGATGTTTGGTGATGGAGAGCCTAGCGTATGATACCACAACATCCAGCTTAATAATGGAGGTGGAAGCGGTCACTGCAGCTTTCCACTGGTTAGAGAACATGACACACACATACATCTTAATTGTAACTGACTCAAAAAGTATGCTGAGAAAGGTCAGGACAGGCATGCTTCGTGAAGAGTGGCATGCTTCACTGCGGAGGACATGGGTGAGGAGTATTGTCTGGATTTTTTCACCAGGAAATGCCAGTGTGTTGGGAAATGAACAGGCGGACACTCTGGCTGTCTCTGCACAACTTGGCGGAATACTGATACATGATAAGGCAAACGTGGTTAGTGCCTTGCGGGAGAGCGTGTACAGTTCAGAGGAGCAGATGGATCACCACAGTCTGGTGAGGCTGATGCAGCAGAGAGTAACGAGAGATTCTGGCAGAAGCTCGAGGCTCAGAGGAAAGGCAAGGCGGACGTTTAATCAGAATGCTACTGATACCATTAGTATCGGAACTCTTCACTGGCTGCTGAGGATGAGGATGGAGCGCTAATGGGAATGCCATGAGTGCTGTGATGTCGGTTCTTGAATCAGCTCAACTCATCTCTTACCTCTTCTTCTTCTTCCTCTCCTCTTCCTCCCCTTTCTCCTCCTCCTTCTTCTTCTCCTTCTCCTCCTCCTTCATCTCCTTCTTTTTCTTTTTCTTCTTCTTCTTAGGAATGATAAAATCAAGAGGAGAGTCTGCACAGAACTAATACTGAACTTCATTGGTTTACAGAAGATCAGATCTGGCTAAGTAACAAGATTGGCAACAGACAGGGTGCCACAGAGAGCAGTGTTGTACAGATACAATGGAACAGAGCTCGAGATAGACCGTGCAAAAAATGGAACACGGAAATGTTGGAGACGCTGAAAAGTACCATATACAAAGTGAACAGAAGGACCATTCCAGAGATCTCTTCTTGCCCTAACACCATGAGGCATTTCATGATTAGAGAGAAGAAGAAGAGAACAATTAGAATTTAAAAAACAAAAGCAGCTAGCTTATTTAATCTATACAGTATAGAATTTCAAAAAGTATAACACCATGAACAAGCATTATTTTTAAATCAAAAACATTTTTGTCCAATTCAGGTGGATCCATCTTTCATTAGATTCAACTGTCACCCGGTATCACGAGTGGAATGTCTGCTCCAAGTCCCATCTCTGGACTTGTTTTTCTCCACCAAGAAGACAGACATCAGTGAGAACATGCTGTCAGACAGTGCACAGGCAGCAAAGACAAATAAATGTATGTTGGCTTCTGTTATTATCTTTTTGTTCAAGCAATCTTGTTTCTTTTATGCATATTTTCCATAGCTGGACTGACCTTCTTCATCTTCTGTAGCAGAATCAGTAGTTTATTTGCTGTAGGATTATTTTGCTTTTCTTATATTACATGGTATACAGTTTTCTGCATAAATAGTGTTTTCTTTGTATGGTGTGTGTGTTTTTTTATTGGTAAGCATATGATGTGTAGTTTTGGGCATATGGGCTTATGGGGTTTTCTGCAAACATAACATTCTTGTTTACTCAGTTTAAAGAATGATTAATTTTTTAAGAGAATCAGTGTATTTACAAGGTAGAGTGAAGCCGACCTGAGTTAAGAACTGTCAACACAACACTCAGGATATTCCCATAGGTTCTTCACCCCCATCTTCAGCAGCAAGCACTGTTTCAGTTCCGATGGTACCTGCAGCAGTCTGATTCTATGTCCACCTTGTCTCTCTTCCCTCCCGAGTGTTGAGTGTCAGCTGCATCCCCTGCTCACTCCCCGCTGCTTATATACTGTTGCTTAGCAACAACATGCACACCTTATACCTACCATATGTGAATTCGGCAGTATATGATTCCCGCTCTTGCAGTGGAATCTGTCAAAGGGTCAGGGAGATTCAGGGTTGTAGTGGCCAAGTCTCTTGGACACACCAGTTGTTTCCTTTTTGGTTGTCTTTGATACAGAAAACTTGTCTACAGTCAAGACATTTGTGCCTGACTGAAAACTTATAGATAAAAACCCCAAGTCTAAGATGGACCTACATACTTATGAGCTGAATGGCCGTGGATTTTGCAAGCATGGATATTTGGTCAGTTGGAGGGGCAGCACCAGGCATGCGGTCTCGTTCAGGACATTCTCTTCCTTTTCCCTAACAAATAGACACTACTAGAATGACTGTTTACTTTCTGCAGTGAAATAATTATTTCTACAAATCTTGTATCTGTAAATAAACAAGGTTTAGTAAATGCTCATCCTTCCTATCGGGATGATGTAAAACTGTGGAAGCAGGTGGCAGGGTGAGCTGGAGAGCAGCTCACAGTTGTTGGTCATGGTGTCAAGTTCCCTGATAGTGTGAAGATGATCACACCATAGTGGTAATGGCTGTGGCCACCTGACCAGTATGGTCACTGAAGGAAAGAACTAGCAAACAACTTTCTTCAAAGATATAAAAAAATAAATCTTGATTCAACCATGACCATCATTACATGGCACGTGATGATTATAAGGGGAAATAAGTATCTTTATGAAATTCCCCTTGACATTCACCAGCAATAATATTATGTGCCACTATGATGAAAGTTTTATTGAGTTAGAAATTAATGTGCAGTCTTGAACAGATCATGGAAGGATTGTTTCTTTATTGTTCCCCTTTGTCAGTTACAAGTTTTTACTATTAGTTTTATTTTTAAGCAGATAAAACATTCAGGTGATATATAGTTCTTGTTTTATCTGGAGAATATTTTGGTAGCATACCTTATTTCAAAATTATGATGAACAAAAGTTAGGAATTTCTTTTAGACTCAAGTATAATTTTACAATAGGTTCTGCTCATTCAAATACCTGTGTGACTCTTCACATTATTTTTGTAATTTGATTGCAGTTTACATTTGTGATATCACTTTATTTTCATTTGACTGTTTCAGTTAATGTAAAATAATGTTTTATAATAAAACAGTCACAATGTGGCAGAAATTAAGTTTGTGGCAAGGGAAGGGTTACTTCTGATAAAGCATACACTTGGGAGAAAGCATACACTTGGGAGCTGCAACAGTTCTGTAGTTTGATGATTGTCTGCTAGCCTGAAAGTCTTGGGTTTGAATCTGTATCAGGACAGATTTGGTATAAATCAATTTTGCAGTCAAGTAATAAATTATAATTAGTACCAGGAAATGTCCTGCAAAGTAAAGGCAGCCAACATGATGTTCACCACACTTGTTGAGTGCCAGTTTGTCAATACGAATTAGTCTAACATCGTTTGCCCAATTCATTACTGGTGGGGAAAAAAGGACCTTTGTTTTATTAACTGTAATATTTCTGCAGCCATGAATTTAATGTTGAATATTTTATTAGGAATTGACTTAATGGTGAACTTGAGATGACTTAGTTCTAAGTATATTTTGTGCATCTACAATATCCTGTTTTCTGGTGTCTGTGACAGTCCAAGGATTCAAACAGTCTGTGCCCAGCCCCAACAACAATCAGCAATCTCCTAGAAGCAGACACACCAGTGGCCTGTCAGACAACTCCTTCTACCCAGGCCCTGGCTCTGGAGGTTTGAGTGTCACTGGCTGCATGTCAGACTTCTCCTTGTACATTTTCCATCCTTATGGCACAGGAGTCCAGCGTAGGATGCAAGGACAGGCAGACTCTCCAGCATTCAGAGGTCAAAGTGGTCTTGGTATGAAGATGATTTTTATTTTTAAGCCAACTGTTGTGTGACAGTGTAACTTATTTGATAATTGAGAATCCATTGATATTTCTACAGTAGCTAGCACACATGCCTGCAAGTCCAGTCATCCTGCATTTGATTCCCTCTCAAAACAAGTTTTTTTTTTTTTTTTTTTTTTAAATATAAGCCATTGTCTCCCAGTTTAGTTCAGAATAAGATTAGTATTACAAAAAGTGCAGAACTGCCCCCTACAGCAAAGTCTGAGAGAAAACACATGGCCAGAAGGTAGTGGCCTCCAGGACAAATTTTGGGAAATCCTTTGAGACTTGCTTCTGATGTACTGGTTCATGGAGGCAACACAACTGATAACCTGAGCATACAAAACCCATCACAAAGTAGAAGAAGTAGAAATTAATATTAGAAAATGTTTTGGGAAGAAAAGGTGGCTGGCAAGTTCCAGCTGGTCTTAAAAAATATGTGGCTGGCACAATATAGTCGGCACTCTTCAAGGCATAAAAAAGTGCTTCACTTTAGTCAAATGTGTTTGTACTCTTGCCCATCTTTTCATGTTATCTTCAAAGTAGTTTTGGTAGTTTTATTGGAAGCGTCAGTGCCCCCCTGACACTCTTTCTGTTCATATAGTTTCTCAGCAGTCCCATCATATGTTCACAATATTTTACCTTTCTGACTTTATTATCACTCTTGAATTTCTTTTCTTTGCTATGAATTCTATTTTCTTCTCTAACGTTAAGATCCTTTCTTTTCTTCTCTATAACCACATATCACAAGCCGCAGTTCTCATCTGAAGGTTTGTTTACTGTCCATGACTTTGCACTTCTTTGTTTTAATACGATCATTGGTTTCATATTATTTATAAATATTTATAAATTAATAAGCAAAAATTATAAACAATTTAATGTAACTTTCATGAAAATGAGGAAATTAGTTAATTTAGGTTTGTTTACATCTATAAACAAATTTCACTACAAGCAGGTGGACCTGAAAAATTTTACATGATTACTACATTGTTGAACCACAAACCATTTGCTCTGAAGGTTGTATGTTATGTCACACACTCACTTGTCTCTGAAGTTGTGGAGTTTTATGGTTTGTGTGACATTCTCAGTGGACAGTTAACAATGCATAGAGAGATTGACCCACATTTTGACACCAACTGGCGCTGGTTGGGTTGTGTGGTCAACATAACTTCAGCCAGATAGGTATGGGAAATATCTCTTTGTATATTATAACTTGGAAGCCTCTGTAGCCTAACAGCTAGATATTTGCCTGCAGGTCTAAGGTTCCAGTCTGCATCAAGACAGATTTTTGTAAAAATTGACTTTACATCTGAGTAACCCAGTCTAAAATTGGTACTAGGTAATGTGCTGGGAAGTAAAGGTAGCTGGTATGGTTTTAACCACATCACTCATTGATTGCTGATTTGTCTGTAAAAAAAACATCAAGTCTAGCACTATCTTCCCATTGTGCTAGAGGTGTGAAAATGGCTCTTTACTTTGTAACAAAATTGAAATTATTTATACATATTTCTTAAAATTAGGTCATCATTTTACTAAGACACATGGACTGAAATGTAATCTTTTTTTTATTCAGAGCGTATATCAGAAAATGCAACAAATGCCATTCATGATCTTGGTCGTAGAGATTCCCTCAGTCTCAACGTTGAGTTCATTCGTGTGAACATATCTCGTACCCGTAAACTGGAGTGTTACAGTGAGTCTGGAGAAGCATCAGTCATGTCTGACCAGCAGACTCGATCCAATGTGGTCAGGTTTTCTGGTAAGCATGGCCAAAGTTTGAGCCCATTATAAAATTGTGTACAGTCCATTTTAGAACTAAAGGGAGAGACATGTCAGTCATCCAGTCTTCTGTTCCTGGTTTATCTCATCTTGTACATAAATATTTTATACTGTGCTTGGTTTTAATCTGCAGATATTATCACACATTTTCTTTAATATTATTCTTGATAGTTAGTGAAGTATAACATATTATGTTGGGAAGTGAATCATGGACAGTTAGTATTTTGTACTTCATTTTTTTTTTTTAATGTTTCATGTCTTAAGAGAAGGAAAGGATAAAAACTCTGGTGTCCAGATACAAATAAATAATATAAAAAGAATATAAATATGCCAGAATTTGGGTACAAACTTCAACTGTTCTAGGATACTAAGATTGCAGTCTAGAATACAGTCTTCCTATCGGGGGTTCCAAGGCCCCATTGTAGGGGAAAATAAGAATAGACCCTCTGCCTCCCCAGTGAGCATGTCGTAAGAGTCGACTAATTGGGGGCTACCATTGAAGTTGCCTGAGAGGCAAAGAACTAACAGTCTGCCTAGAAGAAAGAAAGTCAAGTATGTAAAACTGATGTGCATACCACTCTCAGGTTGTGTGGTAGATTTTAGAATCCAACATCTTATTGGTGAGTACAGGTCTGTCAAAGATCCCTGGGTGTTGTTGCTAGAGCTACAGAGTTCATGATTTATAAAACACTTCTGATAGACCAGTTGTGTTGCCATATGGGATCAAACCTGGTGTACTAAAGTTTGTCATCTTGTCTGTAAACACACTTTAAGTAACTCTCTGTTTCTTTTCTTATTCCCCCTTTCCCTCCTCCTCCTCTTCTGCTTTTGCCCTCAAAAGAGTGTTTGGCACATTATACCATGCTTTTCAGCTAAGCTGTGATATCTGTGCCGTTCAGCCAAGATATCTGATTTCAGAACATCCTTGGTTAGTCACCTGTTACAACTTGCTTGTTAAGAGCAGTAGGTCTTCCCCCCCCCCCCCCCCCCCCCCCCCTTCAGAATGGGAGCCTGTGACCCACAAGAGGGACTGTCTGTTTTATTATGCACACTATTGCCATTGCCAGGTTACTTACTGTAATGTTTGGTATACATTGTTTGCTATCTGTCTCCAATGTACTCGGCCTTGTGGCTCCTCATAAACGTATTCTTGAAGAATAAATATAATGACTCCTCCTGGTCTTCTAGAAATATCTAATGACATTTCGATGTAATCAACAGCCATCTGTGACATTGGCACAGCTTCATTCAAGTATGACATGCGTCGCCTGTCAGAAATTCTGTCACTGCCCAAAGCCTGGTACCGGCGCACCTTGGCACGACGTCTGTTTCTGGGTGATGAGAGTGTCAACCCAAACAGGGGGGATGGTAAATATGCTGACAGTCTTCAATTGACTTGTTCCCTTGTGTTTTGTTGACCGATTTCTTGTTGCATGTGCCAGTGTCCTTAGAAACTGTGCAATCTGGGTTTTTCAGTACCTGTAGTAGTAGATTAATTACTTTGATGTTTGTTATCTCAGGCAGTGGGTTTTAAAACGTATTCTTCTAGATCACACTTTAGAATTTGCTTGACCCACACTACCATGTTTATTAATCAGGAATATTGTAAACACACCAATGGAATATCTCTTAGAAGTCTTCATTTTCATTTAAAAAATGAATGTTTTTTCATGATCAGAGCACTTATTAAATAACACAACGTTTTTTAGGCATTAAACAAACAGATGTTTTTCATGATTAGAGCACTTATTAAATAACACAACGTTTTTTAGGCATTAAACAAACAGATGTTTTTCATGATCAGAGCACTTATAAAATAACATGTTTTTATAGGCATTAAACAAACAGATGTTTTTCATGATCAGAGCACTTATTAAATAACATGTTTTTATAGGCATTAAACAAACAGATGTTTTTCATAATCAGAGCACTTATTAAATAACACGTTTTTAAGGCATTAAACAAACAAATGTTTTTCATAATCAGAGCACTTATTAAATAACAACGTTTTTTAGGCATTAAACAAACAGATGTTTTTCATGATTAGAGCACTTATTAAATATAACATAACGTTTTTTAGGCATTAAACAAACAGATGTTTTTCATGATTAGAGCACTTATTAAATAACAACGTTTTTTAGGCATTAAACAAACAGATGTTTTTCATGATTAGAGCACTTATTAAATAACACGTTTTATAGGCATTAAACAAACAGATGTTTTTCATGATTAGAGCACTTATTAAATAACACAACATTTTTTAGGCATTAAACAAACAGATGTTTTTCATGATCAGAGCACTTATTAAATAACACGTTTTTTAGGCATTAAACAAACAGATGTTTTTCATGATTAGAGCACTTATAAAATAACACAATGTTTTTTAGGCATTAAACAAACAGATGTTTTTCATGATTAGAGCACTTATTAAATAACACAAAGTTTTCAGGCATTAAACAGTTTTTTTCTTTCTTTATATTTATTTAATATAAATCATCAAATGAGGAAAAAAATACATGTTTTATACAGATTGTTGGGACTTGTGTACCCCAAGAACTGCAAATTACTGCCTTTATTAAACCATTTTTGTGGTGTAAGCAGGGGGGGGGGGGGGGGGGGGGGGGTGGGGGGGGTAGGGGGGGGGCTTTGAGCATGAGGATTTACGGCCGCATGGCTAGTGCTGTCGCCATGACTGTGCAGGTGAGGATTTCATTTTGCGCCCGAGGATTCAAACCCAGGTCTCCTGCTTGAGAGCCAAGCGTTCTAATAGTTTGGTCAGCCACAATTCGACTTGTATACCAATGAATGTAAAGTATTGCACATCATTTGAAATTCGTGATAGAGTTTTTATTTGGGATGGTGCATACAACAGACTTGGGGGAAGAGATTTTCATTTATAAACTGCATTGTCTTGCTTGCAGCTATATTATAATAACATTACTGTAAGCAGCTCACATGTTAAATACTTTGATTACCCTCTTATGTTGGTCTGTTTGGGAACTGCTGACCTTAGATTTAGTGTTAATAGATATTAATGAACTGTTTTTCATTATTTGTATATAAGTGTGTATTAACTGTTGTATGTCATAGCTGTATGTTTAGTAAAATGATAGATGCATCTGACCCTGCCAATCTCCAAGTCTATTTATGTCAAGAAGTCAATCATATGTTAACTGATAACATCCAGAGATGAAATTGCCACATTCTGTATCATATACGTATGATAGAAATCTGTTCCGCTACTACCTGTATCCACTTGGTTGTGGATGGAGTTGTGGATATGCTGAATCAGTGGCCACGGACTGACACACACAGCATTTATTATGGACAGAATATTTGACTTTCCAAGAAATGTTAAATTATGAGTTCAGAGTCTATCATGAGACAAAGAAATACAGTCAAGGATCGTCAAGGATCACATTATACTTTTGAGTGTACTTGTATGTTTATCATACCAGTAGACTGAAACCAGTCTGTCGAGTAAACAGAAACCAGTCTGTGGAGTAAACAAAAACCAGTCTGTGGGGTAAACAGATATATTATTTGTTTATTTATATTTATCTGGGTTTGTTTGTTTGAAAAAGAAAAAGCTAATACATTTGTGAAGTCTCTTCTGGAAAATTTCTAACAGTTTAGCTAAGCAAAGAGTAAGGGTAGGGAAAAGGAATATAGCCTGAAACCTGCGTGGGCTGCGTGGATTTTTATCATGGTATGGGATGTCGCAGGTCGACCCAGCCTCAAATGGTTACAGGATGGGCTGTCCTGGGAAAGTAAAGACGGCCGGTGTAATGCTAACTACATTACCCACCGAGTGCCGATTGGTCTGTAAAAATATGGGTGCTCTTCCCATATGCCCGATGCGCCTAAGGGCGTGTAAAGGGATCTTAACTTTACTTAGTGATTAGCATATATAGTGGATGTCGGAACACATTTGAAGTGAAGGCTGTCCGTAAAGAATAATTAATACATCGGTTGATCAGAAGACTAACTCTGCATGGTGTTACTTTCATGCCTATAAACTCTAGCAGTAACTAGGATAGTATTTCACTGAGTCTTTTGACAAGAGTATCGCTAATTTTGTGGGGAAAATTTGTTTGTGCAAGGAATGACAACACTGTCATACATTAGACATTCAGGAGCTTTCTATTTTAGTTCTTGCATTTATTAACTGATTTATGGATATCTTAATTGAAACACAAGAGGATTAACCAAGAAGACAGCTTCAAAGGATGACAATACAGAGGAGGTCTCTCTGGCGAAGTAGCCAAGCTGTTTGCCTCCTGCTCCGAAGGTCATGGGTTCATTTTATGGCTGTGAGTTCAGTTCATAAGTGACATTTGTATGGAGATCACTGGGTGGTCGCCAGTGTGATGCTGTCAGCAGACGGCTTGCTGTTCTGTGGAGAGGCAGAGCCATGTGGGATACAAATCCAGTGCAATGTAGCCAATCCTTTCAACTGTAACCTTTAACTAATGACATCATCAGCAACAGCCAAAAACCAGTCTTATCTTGTTTAGTTTCAGTAAACTGGTAAACAGCCTTTTGAACTATAAAAAAATGAATGTGACAAAGCTATTGTTTGAACACCCCAATGCATGTACACACAAACACCCAACTGCATTGTGTTTTCACTCACCTATTTTGTGATCTGTTGTTGTGAATATGATTTCAGCAGCACAGTGCATGAATTATTTTTCTGTTTTCTTGTTTAGTTGTAGCAATATTTGAACCACTGCTGATTTAACACAACTTTTGACCTTTTCAGAAGCAGATTCCCCACTCCCAACCAATCAAATGCCCCTGCACTCAGGTTTCATGTCACAGAACTCCATGTCTCACCCATCCCTCAATGTGATTAGTGCCCCTCTGCCACTGAAAAAGCATCACCGGCGTGGCTCCTCTGGTGATAAAGTTCGTGTCCAGTTGAGCCCAGAGTTTACAACTGAGATAGCTTCCAGACGAGGTGTGATTTATTTTTATGTTCTACTGTGGGTGTTCAGTCATTTCTAGATTTCAATTGATTGTTTAAATCCGTTCAAAGTCAGCAGTAGGCGATTTAGTACAAGCGGCTTGACATTCATGTTGACAGTGGTATCAGTGTCATACTGTTAAGAAAGTAATGGTTAACTACTGAATGTAAAATTGCCTAGTAAACCCACACAACTGCCAGTAAATGATGAGAATGATTTTCAAAATCCTGGAAAGAATATGAAACTAATTTGTAACATGAATATCATAGTAACAGGAGATCAAATGATCACTTTTAGTTTCATAACCTGCCGCTGCACGATTCGTTCAACAACATAATTAAAAATGCAAATTACATATGTGTTTATGTAGAGAGGATGAACAAGCAGTGTGACATGTCCCATAAGAAGAACATAGTGGAAGAATGGTTTAACCCTAGCCCTAAAGTATCTGTAGGGGATTGAGAAGTACTTCTGACTGCCAATTTTATCAGATATGTGTTTGCGAACAAAGAAGAAGGGAAAATGTTATTTTAACATATGAAGAATGAAGCATGTGTCTCTGGAGGTGAAAGGGGTTTAATCCTGTGGTTATAAACCTAACTGATGAACTGCCTTTGACATCAGAGGAAGCAGTGTTCTAATTGTCTGTGTTTTTGTAACTTGAATTACTAACTGTCATCCCTCAACCTAGTTCAATGTTGTGTAAGTGGAGGCCAAAGCTGTTGGTGTAACAGAAGTCTAATGGCTTAACAGTCTACAGACAAGTGTTGTTAGAGACCTGTTTTCACATCTTTGACCTAATTCTTTAACAGAACCTTAGTTAGACATAATAAACAAACCTGACAGCCTGGATGAATCAAATTAAGGACTGAAAATATTCTGCCAGTTCTCAAAATGGTCAGCATTGACATTAACCCTTTCAAACAGACTGTGATGAATAAACACAAGCAAAGTTAATATCCATCGCTACTTGTCCATTCCATCTCTTACTTCCTAACTATCACTATCCTTCTATCCCATCAAGCTCTAATTGCATGCTTGTGCACAAATACAGATCAGTGCACAGACCTGTGCATTTCAGGCCAGTGCACAGCTGTGTGCCTTTCATCCAGTGCACAGATGTGTGCTTTTCAGGCCAATGCACAGATGTTTGCCTTTCAGGCCAATTCACATATGTATGTCATTTAGGCCAGTGCACAAATGTGTGCCTTTCAGGCCAATGCGCAGATGTGTGCCTTTCAGGCCAATTCACAGATGTGTGTCGTTTAGGCCAGTGCACAGATGTTTGCCTTTCAGACCATTGCACAGATGTATGCCTTTCAGGCCAATTCACATATGTGTGTCATTTAGGCCAGTGCACAGATGTCTGCCTTTCAGGCCAGTGCACAGATGTGTGTCATATAGGCCAGTGCACAGATGTGTGTCTTTCAGACCAGTGCACAGATGTGTACCTTTCAGACCAATGCACAGATGAGTGCCTTTCAGGCCAGTGCACAGATGTGAACCTTTCAGGCCAGTGCACAAATGTGTGTCTTTCAGACCAATGCACAGATGTGTGTCTTTCAGACCAGTGCACAGATGTGTACCTTTCAGACCAATGCACAGATGAGTGCCTTTCAGGCCAGTGCACAGATGTGAACCTTTCAGGCCAGTGCACAAATGTGTGTCTTTCAGACCAATGCACAGATGTGTGTCTTTCAGACCAGTGCACAGATGTGTGTCTTTCAGGCCAATGCACAGATGTGTGCCTTTCAGGCCAATTTACAAATGTGTGCCTTTCAGACCAGTGCACAAATGTGTGTCTTTCAGACCAGTGCACAGATGTGTGCCTTTCAGACCAATGCACAGATGTGTGCCTTTCATGCCAATGCACAGATGTGTGTCTTTCAGACCAATGCACAGATGTGTGCCTTTCAGACCAATGCACAAATGTGTGTCTTTCAGACTAGTGCACAGATGTGTGTCTTTCAGACCAATGCACATATGTGTGCCTTTCAGGCCAGTGCACAAATGTGTACCTTTCAGACCAATGCACAGATGTGTGCCTTTCAGACCAGTGCACAAATGTGTACCTTTTAGACCAATGCACAGATGTGTGCCTTTCAGGCCAGTGCACAGATGTGTGTCTTTCAGACCAGTGCACAAATGTGTACCTTTCAGACCAGTGCACAGATGTGTACCTTTCAGACCAATGCACAGATGAGTGCCTTTCAGGCCAGTGCACAGATGTGTGCCTTTCAAAACAATGCACAGATGTGTGCCTTTCAGACCAGTGCACAAATATGTACCTTTCAGACCAATGCACAGATGTGTGCATTTCAGGCCAGTGCACAGATGTGTGTCTTTCAGACCAGTGCACAAATGTGTACCTTTCAGACCAGTGCACAGATGTGTACCTTTCAGACCAATGCACAGATGAGTGCCTTTCAGGCCAGTTCACAGATGTGTGCCTTTCAGGCCAGTGCTCAGATGTGTGTCTTTCAGACCAGTGCACAAATGTGTACCTTTCAGACCATTGCACAGATGTGTACCTTTCAGACCAATGCACAGATGAGTGCCTTTCAGGCCAGTGCACAGATGTGTGCCTTTCAGGCCAATTTACAGATGTGTGCCTTTCAGACCAGTGCACAAATGTGTGTCTTTCAGACTAGTGCACAGATGTGTGCCTTTCAGACCAATGCACAGATGTGTGCCTTTCAGGCCAGTGCACAAATGTGTACCTTTCAGACCAATGCACAGATGTGTGCCTTTCAGGCCAATTCAAAACTTAGAAAAAAAATTTTATAATGTGTTTATCCTTTATATACATAAAAAATACATTTTGAAAACAGTAAAGAACTTGAATTATGGTTACTTTTGGACACAGGGTCATCCATAAATACTTGACACAAGCAGACATCAACAGTGTAAATATAATTATATAAAGATATTAAGTAAAATACACACTAAAATACCCCCCCCCCCCCACCCCCACTCCCCCCAACAAACAAAATTGTAAATGTAAAAACATTATATAGCATTAGAATCACTATTATTACATTTCTTTATCATCATCTTCTTCTTCTGCTTCTTCTTCATGATCAGATCATGTCCATGTCACTCCACTGTCACCATTCTTGGTCATTCTCATAAACTCTGAGCCCAATATACCCAGCCCTAACCCCAGTATTCTCCTATTGGTGTGGATCGTGTGTACATCAAGTCAACTGTTCAATCTGACTATACCTCAGTATTTTATCATCTTAAATTGTGGTAATTATTGTCATACCCGTTATAAAATGGCTTTATTTGTTGTAACTCCTTTTGTGTAGGCACTTGTGTTAGAATTGTAAGCACAACACTGACACTCTAGTAACTATAAAAGTGCAATCATTCCTTGATTGTTAGCAAAGAGACACATTGTCGTCATGTAGCTCTGCATGTAACACCATGATTGTCATTGTCTCAATGATTGTAAAGCACACTGATCCATATTGATATTTGATAGCTAATAAATAGTTACAGTTTTAACCTTAAGTGATAACATTGATTGCCTGAAACTCATAGATCTGCAGTTCATGCTGGATTGTGATATTACCACTGTGCAAGTTGTCCACATACTAAATACTAATTCCTGCTTTAAATTCGTTAAGTGGATTCTGAATACCTTTATCTGCAACCAGAAAATATTGTATATTTATAATTATATTGAGGGTGAAGGTGCATGTGACTGAGAAAATATAATACCTATTAGTTTCATTTTGTTTAAAGTGTATATCAGTTTATTATTACTGAATATATAAAGTAGAGTGGTCAATTTTCTTCTGGTCACCTTTCCTTCCCAGACAACGTCCAGAAATCATAAAAAACTTTCAGGTCACAGTCTCCCCATAAAAGTGCTTGGGGGGGGGGGGGGGTGTGGGGGGGGGGGGGGGGGGGGGGGGGGGGGTGTTCATTTGAAATTTGATGTACTGGGACAAAAGGCAACCTAGCTGTAAAGCACAATATGGCAGCTGCCCTTTTAAGGACAAACATGGAAGAAGATCTCACTGTGCACAACTGCCATTCTGGTTTACGGCACTGGGGATACCAAGTCTGCCATTCTGGTTTACGGCACTGGGGATACCAAGTCTGCCATTCTGGTTTGTGGCACTGGGGATACCAACAAAACTGCCATTCTGGTTTGCGGCACTGGGGATACCAACAATTATACAAAGATGTGGCTATTTTGGACACATCCTGAGAAGAAATGAGAAAAGAATTAACAAGGAGGCACTAAGGTGGGAAATAAAAGAATTAAGGAAGTGAGGATGTCCACAAGAAACCATAAAACAGACGTTGATGAGAGACACCAAAGGTAGTGCACTGAATTCCATCCATGATGTCAAAATGATGGCACAGGATAGAGGTATGGACTTTGAGCCCTGCATGCACGCGCCCACAGACAAACATGTACATGCTCACAGACATACATGCACATACTCACAGACATACATGCACACACACAGACATACATGCACATGCCCACAGACATACATGCACATACTCACAGACATACATGCACACACATATGACAGCCCACACATATGACAGCCCACAGACATATATTACAAGCATGTGCTCACAGACCTACATGCACACGCGCACAGACATACATGCACACACCCACAGACATACATGCACACACACAGACATACATGCACATGCCACAGACATACATGCACACACCCACAGACATACATGCACACCCACAGACATACATGCACACACACACAGACATACATGCACACACACAGACATACATGCACACACCCACAGACATACATGCACACCCACAGACATACATGCACACACCCACAGACATACATGCACATGCCCACAGACATACATGCACACACCCACAGACATACATGCACACACCCACAGACATACATGCACGCACACAGACATACATGCACACACCCACAGACATACATGCACACGCCCACAGACATACATGCACACACCCACAGACATACATGCACATGCACTCGCACACAGACATACATGCACACATCCACAGACATACATGCACACACCCACAGACATACATGCACACACCCACAGACATACATGCACACACCCACAGACATACATGCACACACACACAGACATACATGCACACACACAGACATACATGCACACACCCACAGACATACATGCACACACCCACAGACATACATGCACACACCCACAGACATACATGCACATGCCCACAGACATACATGCACACGCCCACAGACATACATGCACACACCCACAGACATACATGCACACGCCCACAGACATACATGCACACACCCACAGACATACATGCACACACCCACAGACATACATGCACATGCACTCGCACACAGACATACATGCACACACCCACAGACATACATGCACATGCCCACAGACATACATGCACACACCCACAGACATACATGCACACGCCCACAGACATACATGCACATGCCCACAGACATATATGCACATGCCCACAGACATACATGCACACACACAGACATACATGCACACACCCACAGACATACATGCACATGCCCACAGTCATACATGCACATGCTCACAGACATACATGCACATGCCCACAGACATACATGCACACACCCACAGACATACCTGCACACACACAGACATACATGCACACACCCACAGACATACATGCACATGCCCACAGACATACATGCACATGCCCACAGACATACATGCACACACCCACAGACATACCTGCACACACACAGACATACATGCTCAAACACACAGACATACATGCACATGCCCAGACATGCATGCACATGCACACAGACATACATGCACATGCCCAGACATGCATGCACATGCACACAGACATACATGCACATGCCCAGACATGCATGCACATGCACACAGACATACATGCACATGCCCAGACATACATGCACATGCACACAGACATACATGCACATGCCCAGACATGCATGCACATGCACACAGACATACATGCACATGCTCACAGACAGACATGCACATGCCCAGACATACATGCACATGCCCACAGACATACATGCACATGCACTCGCACACAGACATGCATGCACGTGCCCAGACATACATGCACACGCACACAGACATACATGCACATGCCCAGACATACATGCACACACACACAGACATACATGCACATGCCCAGACATACATGCACATGCACTTGCACACAGACATGCATGCACATGCACACAGACATGCATGCACACGCACACAGACATACATGCACATGCACACAGACATACAAGCACACGCTCACAACAGACATAAATGACATGCACAGAGACATACTTGCACACGCTCACAATGCAGGATTCTTGTCACCTGTTGAGGCATATTTGGTATATGGTGCTAGTCCCATAATTGTATAGCCTAACTGACACTCATTGAGTTCTATAGTCATAATTGATGGGTTCCTTTTCTTCCCAGACATTTTCTACTGGGTACCTCAAGAGTCCAGGTCACATTTTGATCAGTTCTGTAAAATCCCACCTTGATAAGGATTCATTCACATGACCACTGAGCAGTGTGCTGTAGTGGCACCTTACAGACATTCAGACACACACATTTACACACAACCATATAGGTCGCGAGTTCATTTCATGGCTGTGTCGCTGACTTCATGAGTGAAAATTTGATGAAGATACCAGGGGATCATCCCTGATGTTTTGTTGCTTAGTGTGATGTTCTCAGCAGACGGCTAGTCCTTGTACTCAGAGAGACTGAGCCATATGAGACAAAGCCAGGTGCAATGAAGTCAGTCTTCATGACTTGAATCTTTTAACTCTAACCTTTGTTAGTTTGTCCGTACTATTGTTACCCTAACCCCTTAATATGTTCTGTATCGGTAAAGGTAATTTATAAGTTTAACTGTACTTTTGTTATTTTAATTCCAGTAATATGTTGTATCTCAGTAAGGGTAATCTGTTAGTTTGACTGTACTGTTGTTATTCTAATTCCAGTAATATCTTCCGTATCATTATCCGTAATCTGTTATTCTGTCTCTACTGTTGTTACCATACTGATTTTCTGACTCTGTTAATATGATATACCATTGTTACCATTTGATATTCTAACTCTGAAATTAATCTACCCTTTTAAAAGGTGCTCATTCATCCCAGCAAGCACCTGCAGAACCATCCAGTCGGGAATCAACAATCCACCGCAAGAAGTCCAGAACTCTGTCCTCTCCAGATATGCCAAGGCATCGCCACAGCATTGCAGGATTGACAGCAGCCTCATCGTCCTCACCTACCACCACCAGTGTCAGCAGTTCCTGGGAAACTCTGGTTCTGTTTGCTGTCAACCTCACACAACTCAACCTGGAAGTCAACATGGCAAATGTCATGGGCAACACAGAGTAAGTTCTACACTTGATTTTTTTCCAAGTCTGGTAACAAGAAGAGCCATATAATTTCCAGAATATTGTCTCAGAATGAAAGGGGGACAAGGAGGGTAACTAGACTGCCCATCCCATCACTTATGGTCTGGAATTTGCGAAGGCCTATTATATCATACCCTAATGGCAGTATCTGCTATTATCATCATCATACGCTCTGCTGGCTGACATGGGAGATCATGTCTCTCTACAATCAGCGATCTTCAGCAACATTAATCAGTTTGTGTGCTCACACCCCTACATGCCAGAACAAAAGGTGTCAAGACTCGACTTGTGTTGTCTTTCTCTGTCTCTCTTTTCCACAGATCTTTCCAGTGGTCACATGTTAAGTTTCCTTCTTTTCATAATTTTTTTTTTTTTAAAACATCACTTTTTCTTTTTGATGTTTGTGATAAGTTGTCTTTGAGCCCTTGTTTCTTTGAAAACATCTGGGTTGATCCTTTTGTTTTGGCTGTCCAAGGAATTCTTCTATAAAACCACATTTCCGGGGCTTTAGTTTGGCTTTTTTTAAAAATTAATTGTTGAGGCTTCACAGCTATATGTTTAAAACTATCTCTCTTTGCATGTAGGCATTTTTTTTGTTCAAACCATCAGTGACATGAAAGAATATGCAGTAGGACTACCTTTGTCTTGTAAAGGTAAATTATGTTAATAAATTAAAGAAACTACAATATCTAACAGTTAGGCCTGCTCTAATTCCCTAATTTAATTTAATTTCTCTAATTTACCCACATGGGACTGAATGCATCACCTAAGGCAGGCTGGTCTAGCAGTTATGGGTCCCCCAGTTATAATTTATTTGGGAGCTGAAGGAGGTATCTGGGATTTGCTCTGTTAGCTTGCTATTCAGAAAGAGATTATTGCAAACTTCCATGTAGCAGCGCAGAGTGGGAAATGGACGGAAGACTCTTTCACTGTCTCTCTCCAGCCTTAAATGGGTACCAGATAATGACTGGGTAGTGAAGGCAGCGGACAAGGTGTCGACCACATCACTCATTGACTGCTGATTGATCTGTACAAATGTGTGATTCTTGCATCACGTTCCTGATGTGCCACTGGCATAAAAAAGGTCCTTTCCTGTTCTCTTTTTCTCTCTCTGTCTTACACTCTCTCTGTCTTACACTGTCTCTATCTTACATTCTCTCAACTTACACTCTCTCTATCTTATACTTTTTCTATCTTACACTCTCTCTATCCTTCTATATCTCTATCTTACACTCTTTCTATCTTACACTCTTTCTATCTTACACTCTTTCTATCTTACACTCTCTCTATCTTACACTATCTCTATCTTACACTCTTTCTATCTTACACTCTTTCTATCTTACACTCTTTCTGTCTTACACTCTCTGTCTTACACTCTTTCTCTGTTTTACACTCTTTCTCTGTTTTACACTCTCTCTGTCTCTCTTTCTCCCTCTGTCTCTCTCTGCCTCTCTCTCTCTTTCTGTCTGTCTCTTACTTTCTCTCTTTTACTCTCTCTGTCTCCCACTCTTTGTCTCCCACTCTTTCTCTCACTTTCCCTCTCTGTCTCTCACTTTCCCTCTCTGTCTCTCACTTTCTTTCTGTCTCTCATTCTTTTCTCATCTGTCACTCTTTCTCTGTCTCCCACTCTCTCTGTTTCACACACTCTCTCTTGTCTCTCACTCTCTGCCTGTCTCTCCCTTTCTCTGTCTCTCCCTTTCCCTCTCTCTCTGTGTCTCTCACTTTCTCTCACTTTTTATCTTCATCTCTCTCTGTCTCTCACTCTCTCTAATTCTCTATCCCACTCTCTCTGTCATTCTCTCTCTTACTCTTTCTCATTCTCTTTCTCACTCTCTCTCATTCTCTTACTCATTCTAACTCTCTTGGTCACTCTGTCTCTGTCTTGCTTACTCTCTGATTGTCTCTCTCCCTTTCTCTGCCTCTCTGACACACACACACACACACACACACACACACACACACACACACACACTTAAACCTAATTCAGGAAAACTGTCATTAAGAAAGACATGTAGAGATGACAGAAACCTCACCAGGCCCTGATGGCATCCAGTATGCTGATATGCTGCAGATGTCAGAGAAAGATATGTCAGAACTGGCAGGAGAGGAGTAGCTACACAGCTACCTACTACCTTTACCAAAACCAAATAAAGACCATTCCAAGATCAGTGGCTACAGTTCTCCTTGAACACGCATATAGCAAGCAAAGGCAGCGAGGAAATTTTGATGAGAACAAATGTGATGACATACCTTGGAGTGAGGTTTGATCGCAGCCTATCCTTCAAAGAACATGTTGACCATGTCATAACAAAAGCACGCAAAGGCCTGTCAGCAATGAGGGTCCTGGCCACCGCTAACACTGAGCAAAGACTGCTTCTGCTTCTGTTCCAGAGACTTGTACATTCTCCCATCGAATATGCTCTTGCCATCTTCAATGTCAGCCATACTCAGATTGAAAGACTTGAGAAGGTGCAAAATGAAGCAATGTGCATTATTCTAGGTTGCACTGGAGACACCTTTGTGTAGCAGTGAGGAATCTTCTTGACTTCCCTACCATGAACTATAGGATCAAGATCTGGAGGCTCATGCATACCTCAAGATATGCTCAGATCTGAAGCACCCTTTGCACCACATGCTCTTCACAAAAAATGGCAAAAGGCTTAAAAGGGGCAAATCATGGCTGGGTAGGGCAGAGGATGACATCATGCAGGTTTGCTGCCTTAAAGACATCCATCCAGGTGAGGAGTGGATACCAGCATCTAAAAGCGTCCAATCTCACATTCTCCTGTGTCATGCTGCTCGATAGGAATTGTCGGGATCAGAATCCAGCTGCTGTCAGTGCCGATATATGCGCGTTTTTCAGTGACAAGTCAGATGAGACAGATGTGGTGATCTTCACAGACGGGTCCGTTATACGAGGATATAAGAGTGCATGGGCATTTACAGCTCGCTCTTCAGGCAGAACAGGTAAGGAAGGCAGCAGTGCCTTCTCCATGACCACCAGCATCATGACGATGGAGGTGATGGCGGTGACACAGGCTTTCATTTGGCTGGGATCACAGGACTATTCCCGCGTGTGTTTGGAAGGATTTTGGAAGCAACGCGTCCACATCGCTGCTAAGAATATGCGAATTGGGAGTAAAGATCGGCACAGCCAAGCATGAGAAGCACACTGGACGCATATGAATTCTTGTTAACAAACATAGGACTGGTGCTATTAACCGCATGACGCTGATGAATATGTTGAGAGGGGAATCTAAGCGCCTCAAGCATGAGAAGCACACTGGACGCATATGAATTCTTGTTAACAAACATAGGACTGGTGCTATTAACCGCATGACGCTGATGAATATGTTGAGAGGGGAATCTAAGCGCCTATAGATGTGTCCGGAGTGCTGTGAAAGTAATCTCATAACTGTATATACTTGATTATGTCAACAGATGGTGTACCAAAGCTTTGAAAACACAGGGCAGGTTATCCATCAACAGCAGCGGTCACAAGAATTTGAAAATTGAGGCCGGCTTTGGCAAGTCTTCATTTGAGTCTAAAGGAGGGATTGTTGGTGGCACTATTGATATCAATAACCTTCATGGTTTCTGTGAGTATTGGCCATTCTGTCTGTCCGTATGTCTCTCTTCTCTCTCTCTTTCTCTCTCTCTCTCTCACAGACATACATGCACATGCTCACAGACATACATGCACATGCTCTCTCTCTATTTCTCTCTCTCTCTCTTTCTCTCTCTCTCTCTCTCTCTCTCTCTCTCTCTCTCTCTCTCTCTCTCTCTCTCTCTCTCTCTCATACACATGCATGTGTGCACACACACACACACAAACTTTATCAACAAATTGAAGTTCACAATGTTACTGGGTTCTACTTTTTCTTCACAGAATAAAGAAAATTAAGACTTTTCTTAGTGGGGTACATTTATTAAAGTCTTGTCTTATCTCACTCTCAATGGTTAAAAGCTGCAGTTTATGTCAAGATCATTGCTACAGTTGGCTTTACTGACAGATCTTCAGCCGCTTCCAAATACTAATGTTTAAAGTATAGAACGGTTATGTGTTGCTGAGTGTAGAATTCCAAACAAACTAGAGAGCAGAGCTTCAGGCAATCTTGTAGGCTGCAAAGAAACTAGAGGGACATAAACTCAGAAGATCAAACGTCTTGTGTGACTACTTATCAGTCTCCAGACTTACCAGGAGAAATTACACAAATTGATGAAACCAGATAATAGGAAGCAGTTACCTACACGACCTTATCCTAGGCTAGATAGAGTACAGAAAACAACCATTGTGAGACTGCACATGGAGCACTGTAGACCACAGCAAACCACCACTGTGAGACAGCACATGGGACACTGTAGACCAAAGCAAACCACCATTGTGAGACTGCACATGGAGCACTGCAGACCACAGCAAACCACCATTGTGAGACCGCACATGGGACACTGTAGACCACAGCAAACCACCACTGTGAGACAGCACATGGGACACTGTAGACCACAGCAAACCACCACTGTGAGACAGCACATGGGACACTGTAGACCACAGCAAACCACCACTGTGAGACCGCACATGGGACACTGTAGACCACAGCAAACCACCACTGTGAGACAGCACATGGGACACTGTAGACCACAGCAAACCACCATTGTGAGACAGCACATGGGACACTGTAGACCACAGCAAACCACCACTGTGAGACAGCACATAGGACACTGTAGACCACAGCAAACCACCACTGTGAGACAGCACATGGGACACTGTAGACCACAGCCAACCACCAATGTGAGACCGCACAGGGGGCACTGAAGACCACAGCAAACCACAATTGTGAGACCGCACATGGGACACTAGAAAACAAGCAAGTCTCTGCAAATAAAAGAGGCTCTGACTGATGAAGGCTTGACAATGGGACCCACCCACACTGGACTACATGTTATTTCCTACCCAAGTTCCAATATAAATGTGCTACATGGTTGAACAGGGTTTCTGGGATTTATACCTGTTTGATTCTCAGCATTGAGATGTTCATCCTACAGGCTGTAATAATTGAGGGAAACAATACAAATTTAAAAAAAAAAATTTTCAGAGAAAACATACTCTTATGAACATGGTTCCTAGACTGCAAAACACATATTTTGTGTTGGTTTGAGCGCACAGACCTGGGCCTAGTAGGCAAAAGTGGAAGACAAATTTTGAGGCATGCTTGAACTGACTGTAAACTCATGGAGCCAACTAGTCTCTAAGCAGTACCTTAATATGCATAGAAGGATGGTTGCTTAGTTTAGAGTTATGTATATTGTATGGTGAGGTGGGAGAGGGGGGGGGGGGGGGGGTGGAAACATTCTGTTTGTATGTGTTAACAAAGAATGTTCAGTCATGCTAACTGTAGATGTCTAGATGCTAACTGTAGATGTCTAGATGCTGACCTGTGTTCACAGTTAGTGTGTGTGAAGACCCAAAGCTTGGCCAGGATCCTGACCATCAAGCAGGCCTGAGTACTTCTGCCCTTGAGACTAAAATTGACTACATGGGCTCCTCCATTATCATGACCAGGCTGAGCGACCTGGACTTGTTGTTGAAGGATGAGTGGCATGTAGATTCTGATGCACAGATGGACACTCCACTGGCTACCAACAGGTTCCTAATATGTCTTATTCAATAATCTTCTTTGTGTTGCTATCTTCAACTCCATTGTTGTATATAGTTTGTTTTCTAACTCTCAATACCAGGCATTTTGTTATCATATACGAGCCTGTTCAAGCGGCTACTGCCCCGGACTAATCAATGTTGAGTCTAAAACAAGTTCTTCTGAGAAAAAGCAGAGAATCATCAGTCAGACACTGAAATGAGAAACGGAGAAACAAAATGATTGAGGAAACACAGATGTCCCTAAGACATACATTGATGAGAGAGGTCAAAGGTTCTAAACTGGATTTCTTACATGATATCAGAAAAATTGCCTAGACTAAAACAGATTGGAGAAATAGACTGGGTTCTCCATTCAACAAATAAACAGCACAAGAAGATGCTACTGACTACCAGTTTGTGGTCAGACATAGTTAAAATAATGTTTGTGATGGTGTGGGCTAATGTAACAATCAGGTGGGACACACAGATTTCAGAAGTACATACTACTCATGGTGAGCTGCTTGGTACTGAATGGTTGAAACCATTTCTGATGTGGATTCGTTTCTCTCTGTGTTTAACCATAAACAATTTGTCAAGAGTGTCTATTGATCTGGATTGTTATTTTGTTCCTTATTATTGCAACTAGAGGGTCTGTAGTTAAACTGATCCCCAAAATGACATCATTAATTACCACTTTTGCCATTAAGCATTATGGGAAGGAACAGTTTGCAGTCTAGCATTCAGTAGGTAGGACTAGCTGTTGTCATTCTGTGTTGGTGTATCATGTCTTTCATTCAGTAGGTACTAAAATGTTGTAATGATTGTCTATCAGTGTGTACTGTAATATAGTAATTGCCACACTCCTGTAATGTTATCGTAATTGTCACTTAGAGTGTGCTATACTGAAGTGTTTATAATTTATTTCCTCACAGGTCAGCATTCCTGTTTGTTAATGGCAAACTCTCCTGGTCCCATTTTCATCTCATGATATCCCGGTCTACAACTCCAGACTTAATCAAAATAATTTCCAAATTGGACGAGTTTTTCTCTCAGCAAGTTATGAGCAGTCGTAGAGTCTTCCAGCATACTACTTCTGTCTACCCAACAAGCACCCAGACCAAGGTTCCTCGAAAAATATCAGAGAGTGGTGAGTATAGAACATCCCTGTGAAAATGGGCCCCATTGCTAGGACAAAACAGAATTAGACCAACCCCCCCCCCCCCTTTTTTTCCCCCTCCACAAGCATGTTGTGAGAGTCAGCTAATTAGGGGCTGACTTGAAAGTCGGAGTGCATCTGCTTGAGAGGCATGGAACCAGCAGTTTTTTCACACAGATATGTCAGATCTGTAAAATGAATGTGCACACAACACTTAGATTTTGGAACAAGACAAAAGTGGAGAGATAGATGAACAACCAGAACTTTCACAAGAGTTTACCCACATAGTCAGTGTGAAGAGGGAGTAATGAACATACAATATATATATGTGAGTTAGTAAAAGTTATCTTTGTAATGTGTGTGTTTAGAAAAGAGTGTCGTTTACTCTTGAAATATAGATGTACATTTATTGGTTGACTAATGCACAAGTGTTTGTGGGGGTCTTCAAGCCAAACCATTTGTCTTCCACTCATTTGTGAGCTGCGTCATTCACTTCACAAGTTCAGTTCCAGGGATCCCTCAGAGAGGTGATGGGGGTCATCAGGAGTCACAGTGTAATGGCTTGATGGTAGCCAGCTGACTTAAACTTGAATCTACATTGTGGTGCTTTTTGTAGCAGACCTTGGTTCTAGGTTGGTCCAGCCTCCAGGGGGTGCCAGGAAGTGTCCTAGAAAATCTAGGTTGGCAGCATGATGTTGGCTACATCCACTTGTTAGATGAGGGTTTTCAATGTTGAAGTGGTCATTTGCCTGACTCTATAAAGGTTTTTGGTTTGCCTCATGGTTGTGTCGATCGGTTCTTGATTGCAGTTTTTGCGGACACTTGGAGCTATGGTGTTTGTGTCTTGTGCAACACACTTGGCAGTGACTAATCATTCCATTCTGTGCAAAGAGACGAAGCAGTAAGGAATAAACCTTGGTGCAATGAGATCAATCATCACAACTCTAACCTTAACCTCTTATTTGTAAAATGGAAAACTACCAGAGTGAAGAACTTGTTCCAACAGATTTCATGTGTTTAAAATGGTCATTGCACAAGAAGCAATTGTTCATTCAAACATTGTTCAATCTCAATTAAATTGTACATTGTTCAAGTCCACCCAGCCGAAGCACTAGAAATATGCCAGAGAATCTAAGAATATGAGAATGAACAGGTGACAAATGGCAGCGAGGACAGATCACAGACACTTGCAGTGGAAATGAGTTAATGAGGAACGCTTGCCGGACAACATCCTGCTAGATACAGACAAGAGGGGCATATTATTCTTTCAGTCAGATGAAATGGTACAGCTGGCCGAGACTCGAAGGATGAGGATGAATAGGTATATAGGTGTCAGGATTGTGAGAAATCGCCCAGGCTTGGAGAAGAAAAAAGATAAGGAAATAATGAGAAAGGGCAGAAGCAGAGTATGAGGGTCAGAGGCCACAAGCATTGAGCCGAGAGGTCCAAGTCGAGAAGGAGTTAGGTCACAGGCGTTTTAGCCAGATGATCGCAAAACAAGGGCTGTAGTTTGTGAGCATAACAGTTTACAAAAGTTAAACTTGGTTAGAAGAGAGCTATTTCTCCAGTGAGTTAGAAGTCTTCTGCTTCTTCTTTATCCACTGGCTGTGAATTCCAGCAGAAGGTCCCAGTAGTTCATCCATTTGGACTTTTGGCTTTTACCTGGACCTGATTTTTGCTTGTACATCCGTTTTACTGGCTTATTTGTTTGCCATTCCCTGCCTCACCAGCAGAGGTACTACGACTTCCAGTTAGAAATGACTTTATAAACAGTCAATAACAGATAATAACCTGTTAGAAGTGTGAAGCAAACATCAAAGCAACCTATATTGAAACATTTGTATTATTGGTAATGAATAATGTTTAAACTCTCAGTTGATAGGTGATCAACTAACTCTCAGTTGATAGGTGATCAACTAACTCTCAGTTGATAGGTGATCAACTAACTCTCAGTTGATAGGTGATCAACTAACTCTCAGTTGATTGGTGATCAACTAACTCTCAGTTGATAGGTGATCAACTAACTCTCAGTTCATAGGTGATCAACTAACTCTCAATCCTGAGTAGACTTATTTATAATTGCTTTGATCTTGTAGGTCTCCTTAGGCATCATCTCTTATATTTATTAAAGATTCGGTGTTACTCATCTTTGCTTTCCCTATTGGCACTAGCATCACACAGGTTGTTGGCTTTTGGCTTGGCACTAGCATCACACAGGTTGTTGGCTTTTGGCATGGCACTAGCATCACACAGGTTGTTGGCTTTTGGCATGGCACTAGCATCACACAGGTTGTTGGCTTTTGGCATGGCACTAGCATCACACAGGTTGTTGGTTTTTGGCTTTGGTTTTTTATCTTTCACTTTTTGTATCATGAAAATCGACTTAGTTTCAGACACCTAGCAGAAGTCAGTCATTTTATACACTATTATTATGAAGAACACTGTAATAACTCATGTTGTTGTTATTATTAGAAGCAATACTGCTTCACTAACTGTCCCTCCAATAACTTGCAGCTGTGATGGATGAGCTCCGCCATCACCGCCACTGGCAAGAAGCTTTAGGTCATCTGATGGGATACCAATTTTCCATGCTGCCATCAATGCTACCACAGCAGGGTATGGTTCTTGGTGGCACAATGACCTTGGAAGGTCAAGGTCTTATGCTGGCCTCATTTCATGGAGTTAATTTCCGTGCTAAATACTGGGCACTGTTCAACATCAAAGACCCATATATTTACTTTTCTACAGAAGCTCAAAAAATTCCAGAAGGAGGTAAGAAACTCTCTACATGCTTATTTTCTCAGATATGTATGGAAGTCTCTTCTGTGTGTAGCTTAGAGTATTTTTTGTTGTTACTTTTTTTGGGGGGGGGGGGGGGGGGGGGGGGTGGGGGGGGTGTTGGGGGGGGGGGGGGGGGGGGGGGGGGGGGGGGTGTGTTAAATTTATGTGGATGCCATTGTAACAATGTTGTTTCTGCACCTGCCACCAGCATAGTAGCTGTACAGGAGTGTCTACACACATAAAACACGGAGAGGAGGGGGGTGTGCGCTCAGTTCTCTTACACATTCTCTAGTGGTGGGACCCTCTGGGAGGGGGGCTTAAACCTTATTTGCAGTAGTAATAAAAATGTGCTGTGTAGAAGCTGAATATGATACATCATTTAAAATGTTTAAAAACAAATATCAAAGAAAAAAAGCCTCTCTATATGTTTTTTTTTTAAGTGGGGGAGGGGGGGGGGGGAGTATTTAGCCTGCTTAAACATTTTCAGGTGGGGGAATCTGCCCCCCCCCCCCCCCCCCCCCCCCAAAAACCACCTAAAAATTGTATGGGAGCTCAAGGGGCAGAAACCCCAAAGTTTTTGCAACCATGACCCAACATCACAAACTGAAAAGCATCAGAAATAGCCAGGTATGCAAGTATAATATTTCAATATCAACATAATACTAAAGTAATGCAATGAAATTAATGTCATTGTTTCTATTTTCTGTCATGTGAATTACTCATACTTTACCATGAGATTTTGATCTTTTTTGTGCAGTTTGTGTTGTTTTGTTTGTTAATATTGATGTTGCTAAAATTTTTGCATTGTTATCTGTCTGTCTTTCTTTGGGCTGAGCTCCATAATTGCATTTTGTGTTGATTGAATCATTCAGACTATACCAGGGATTTATGAGAGATGCTTTCATGTAAACTCTTGTTGTGCTTGTTTCATATAAACTTTTGTTGTGCTTGTTTCATGTAAACTCTTTTTGTGCATGTTTCATGTAAACTCTTGTTGTGCTTGTTTTAGTAAACTCTTTTTGTGCTTGTTTCATGTAAACCCTTGTTGTTCTTATTTCATGTAAACTCTTGTTATTCTTGTTTCATGTAAACTCTTGTTGTTCTTGTTTCATGTAAACTCTTGTTGTGCTTGTTTCATGTAAACTCTTTTTGTGCTTGTTTCATGTAAACTCTTTTTGTGCTTGTTTCATGTAAACTCTTGTTGTTCTTGTTTCATGTAAACTCTTGTTGTTCTTGTTTCATGTAAACTCTTGTTGTGCTTGTTCCATGTAAACTCTTGTTGTTCTTGTTTCATGTAAACTCTTGTTGTGCTTGTTTCATGTAAACTCTTGTTGTTCTTGTTTCATGTAAACTCTTGTTGTTCTTGTTTCATGTAAACTCTTGTTGTGCTTGTTTTAGTAAACTCTTTTTGTGCTTGTTTCATGTAAACTCTTGTTGTGCTTGTTTTAGTAAACTCTTTTTGTGCTTGTTTCATGTAAACCCTTGTTGTTCTTATTTCATGTAAACTCTTGTTATTCTTGTTTCATGTAAACTCTTGTTGTTCTTGTTTCATGTAAACTCTTGTTGTGCTTGTTTCATGTAAACTCTTTTTGTGCTTGTTTCATGTAAACTCTTGTTGTTCTTGTTTCATGTAAACTCTTGTTGTGCTTGTTCCATGTAAACTCTTGTTGTTCTTGTTTCATGTAAACTCTTGTTGTGCTTGTTCCATGTAAACTCTTGTTGTTCTTGTTTCATGTAAACTCTTGTTGTTCTTGTTTCATGTAAACTCTTGTTGTTCTTGTTTCATGTAAACTCTTGTTGTGCTTGTTCCATGTAAACTCTTGTGCGAAATAATTTGATGGCTAGGTGGTGATGCTTCACATTAGGTGTGGCTCAAAACACTTCATTTTTCTGGCTGAACTCACATGGTTGTTTTACTTGTTTCACACCTGTCACCTTACATTTTCTGCAGTGTGTTCTGTGAGGAATTTACTTCAGTGGTAATTCAGTCATTTTTTTAGTGACACTGAAATCTGATATTTCTGCAGTGTTGATGAATCTTATGTGATTGATGACTGTTGTATTTGTGTGATTGATGACTGTTGTATGTGTGTGATTGATGAATGTTGTAATTGTGTGATTGATGACTGTTGTAATTGTGTGATTGATAACTGTTGTATGTGTGTGATTGATGACTGTTGTATTTGTGTGATTGATGACTGTTGTAATTGTGTGATTGATGACTGTTGTAATTGTGTGATTGATGACTGTTGTATTTGTGTGATTGATGACTGTTGTATTTGTGTGATTGATGACTGTTGTAATTGTGTGATTGATGACTGTTGTAATTGTGTGATTGATGACTGTTGTAATTGTGTGATTGATGACTGTTGTAATTGTGTGATTGATGACTGTTGTAATTGTGTGATTGATGACTGTTGTAATTGTGTGATTGATGACTGTTGTATGTGTGTGATTGATGACTGTTGTATTTGTGTGATTGATGACTGTTGTAATTGTGTGATTGATGACTGTTGTAATTGTGTGATTGATGACTGTTGTAATTGTGTGATTGATGACTGTTGTAATTGTGTGATTGATGACTGTTGTAATTGTGTGATTGATGACTGTTGTAATTGTGTGATTGATGACTGTTGTATGTGTGTGATTGATGACTGTTGTATTTGTGTGATTGATGACTGTTGTAATTGTGTGATTGATGACTGTTGTATGTGTGTGATTGATGACTGTTGTATGTGTGTGATTGATGACTGTTGTATTTGTGTGATCTGCAGTACATATAGTCCAAGACCTTCAGTTCATTGTTGGGCAGCAGGGGAAAGAGCCAACAGGAGTCACATCTCCTCAAGCCATTCACAACCACATGGCAACAATCTGCAAAATCTCCCGCACACAGCACATGCCTCCCAATTTTACCACAGTGGATGAATGGTTCACTTACGCCATGACATCCTCAGCAACAGATCCCAAAGGTTAGAAACAAGAGAAGCGTTTTAAATTTCTTTACCATTGTTTAGCATTTGACATAACAAATCTTAAACTTTATTGTTTATTTGATTATAATGTTCCAACTCATTGTGCCTATAACTCTACAATTTCTTGTTCCCTTTTGTTAGTCATTATTTGAGGTTCTGACTTTACTGCAGATGGCTCACCCCATAACTGCTCTGTCCTATGCCATTAGAAAACACACACAAAAATCCTTCACTGTCTCATTAAAAAAAAAAACTAGTGAAAAACATATCAGTTGCCTGATGTGCCCTCGTGCATCTTATACTTTCCCTCTATCTTGTGCCATTCAGTAATCATAAATATATGAATGTGATTTTCTAGTTCATGGTTTTATCAAGGTGCTCCTCCCTCCAAACTTCATGAAGGTGGGATGGGAGAGAATTGTTATATGTGTGGGAGGCACTGATTTATGCTTGGTCTAAACCAACATACTTGTAAGAAAGTGTTCATATCAATATGATAAGACAGGGTTGGTCTGGTACCCATCTGATTCAGGCTTGGTCAGTTCTACAGCTCTTTGATTGGAACAAATGTTACACTTATAGATGAACTTGGATTACTTTTATAACAAAGTCAGTAGGTTAACAGTGATGTCTCGGTGAAGATCTTGAAACACAGCAGACAAGGATGGCATAGCTTTGCTCACTGGCTTCATTCTGGTTATTAAGAAGCATTAACTAAGCAAGTCTCAGATGCAGAACCAAACAGAAAGTAAGTGTTGATTGAGAAGTTCCGATTTTCTGAGTTCATTTTAGTGCCATGAATACCAACCTTCCAACCACAAGTACAGGCCGCAAAATTAGTTTTTCTGCGGCCGAAACTCAGAAATTGTTTCAGTCTGATTTGTTAAGTTCTGATAATTATGATAATAAATATTTAGACTTTTAGGAAAGTGATTCGGATGGTGAATTTATATCAGCAGCAGCTGAGTGATCATCTGTTTGGGAATCAAGCGATTCTAATGAGTTAACACAATGTTCCATTGCCACCATATTTAGGATGTCAGAGAAGGAAAGTGATCCAAACAAATAGTCAGTACTATACTATGCCTAAGCTACATTGAAATCACTGCAGCTACAGTCTGTATATAACTGTACACAGTCAATAGTAAATACTGTGTGAGTAATGGCCATTTTTCTGCCATTTTTCTCTGAAATTTTGCTCTGCAATCTGTGAAAACAAAGAGCCCTGAATGCTAAACTAACCCAGAAACTTATCATAACTTTGGAAATTGTTAGGAAATTACCAGACCTGAGGCCCTGAACCTAACTGCCCCCTAAACCTGAGCTCCTGGCCATCAACACGAAAAAACCAGCATGATATACAATAATATTAGTTACATGCAAACAAGTGGTTAAAATAAGATGAAACAAAGACATTGTAGAAAATAGGTTCCTTTTATCTAGCGTTATTATTCCACCTGTGTGTGCCAAATCTATCCAGCAGGATCGCCTTCTTTTATAAAGTGAGCACTAGATGTTGCTGTTTGAGGGACATGCCCCCTTCTCTTACTATCGATCTAGTTTTAAACCTATAATTTTCAAGATTCTCCTCATCACTCTAGCTCTCACTGACTGTGTCACTTCAACTGTGACTGTTTTCTTCATGAAATTCGGACTCCTCAGAGTCTGAATCATCCAAAATATGGAACACCTGTTGGACTGTGAAAAGCCTAGACCTATTTCACTTTCCTGTCAAAGTGCCTGGTTCATCAGCCGCTCGCTTAATTGTGAATTTTCAGAATTTTTTCAAGTTAAATCACTCAAAGTAAATCCAGACACGCGCGGGCAGCGATTTGCAATGAGTAACTATGAGGTCTAACCACGATTGGCTAGTTACTTTTAGTTTGTGACACATTGTTTTCGAATAATACGCAAAGTACTGACAATGAGGGACACCGGTTCAGCGGCAGATTAGGAAATTACTGTAGTAGCGGGGCATTGGTCTGGTAGAGTTAAACAAACTGTAAAGTGTTATACTTAAATTTGGATATTTACTGGTAAGTGAAGAAATTATTTTATAAAATTATGTTGTGAAATAAACACCTACTGAATTCTTCTTTTCTACCTACTTTAACAGTATTAAACATATACTTATCATCACATTCAAAATGTATAGTATTTCTCTTTTAAAAAATATTTATAATTTTGAAGGGATTAGAAGTATATTACATTTTCTATTGCCTTTTTTTGTACATGAACCCCTCTGCCATTTTTGTACAGGGAAATTAATGTGGGCCAAGACTGTCAAAGTTCATGGACCTGAAAGAGTTAAGGAGCTGAATTTCCTTGCTTTTATGATTGCTATTCTGTTTATGCATCAGCCAATGTGAAGCCTGCATTTACTTGTTGTCGTTAATACCATCATAATGTATATTACGGATTGGAGCCCTTACATACCCTTTACAACTAATCAATGATTTGCTTGTTCCAGTTGTTACTGAGTTCTTTGGTGAGAGAATTGAAGAGGAAGCCAGCCATAAATTCAGCAAGGTGAAGGCTACATACTACAGTCATGAAACAGAAGTCATTTTTGCCTTTCCCTCGTTGTACATGAATCTCAAGACATGCCACTTCCAGGAGGAACTGCCACCTGCAGAAGATGGTTTGTGGATATGTTTGTTATTCATTTTGTTTCTGTGATAGGGGTTGAAGATAAAGATATAATGAGTTGAGTTAATTTAAGAACTGACATCACAGCATTTGGGGCATTTCCACGAGCGCTTCCTCCACATCTTTAGCAGCCAGCACAGAGTTTCAATACCAATGGTGCCAGTAGCATTATGATTATACATCCTTCTTGCCTTTCTTCTGAGCGATGAGTATTGGCCAGATCTGCTCGTCACTCTGCTGCATCACTCTCACCAGACATGATCCATTTGCTCCTGTCAAATGTACACATTCTCCCACAAAGTTTTAACCCCGTCTGCCTTTTCATGCATAATTATTCCACAAAGTTGTGCAGAGCCAGCCAGTCTGACCACCTGTTCATTTCCCAACACACTGGCATACCGGGAGAAAAGATCCAGCCAGACAGTGCTTTTCACTTGTGACCTCCAAAGCGAAGCATGTCACTTTGCATGAAGCATGCGTGTCAGATATGTCCATTTTGTCAGACTGCACTTGGCTACTGAGGTGTAGGAGTGACTTGATGCTTGCAGTGCTCACCGCTAACTTCAGCAGACCTGGTTGAATTCATAATATGAACTGTATGCGATTTCAAAATAGGTAAATGATTGTATACACTCTGTGGGATTCTGGGGTGGGAGATCAGTTATCTAACCTTCTCAGACAAGATGTACAATTTTGAAGACTTGTAGAGATTTCTGTACACTTTAGAACTCTCTTACAGCTTGAAATGAGCAGTTTACCAAATAGGCCACTGCTCAGACTTGATAGCAAAATTTATAAAAACTGCTCATAAGTCAGAATTCATAGCTTAATCTGTGTCATTGTGGTATACTCCTGTTTGGTACCATCGCCTTTATTTTTGTCTTGGGAGATGCTGGGGTGAAAAGCAAAGAGGGTGAATGCCTTGCAGGCAGTGTTAGCCTAGGATGTGGACATTCTGTCAACAGAAAAGACATAACTCATGCTTTAAGAGAGGCTGCACACACCGAAAACCTCGTACACGAAGACACTTTCTTTCTCCCAGACTCAAATATTAACCCTACCAGACCGCTGGCCCAATTTTTCAGGAATTTCTTAACCTGACGCTATACCGCTGTCCCTTATTTTTGGCTATTTACGTAATGCATGAAAAAGACGCATCACAAACTAAAAATAACTGACCAATCGTCATTAGACCTTGTGTATAGACTTCCTTGATGTCCGCCCGCATGTGTTTGGATTAAATTTGTGTTGTTTTACGTTTAAAAATTCTGAAAATTCACAATAAAAAGACGTCTGATGAACCAAGCACTTCGACAGGAAAGTAAAGTAGGTCTAGGATTTTCATAGTCCAATAGGTGATCGATACTTTGCTTTATTCAGACTCTGCGGAGTCATAATTTCATGGAGAATACGTTCACAGTTAAAGGAAAGAGAGCGAATCATGAGGAGAATATTGAAAATTATAAATCCAGAAATAGAGCGATAGTAGGAGAAGGGGGCATGTTTCTCAAACAGCAACATCTGTTATTCACTTTGTAAAACAAGGCTGATCTGCTGAGTGGATTGGCACACAAAGATTTAATATTGGCACTAGATGAAAGGTTAACCTATTTTCTACAATGTCTCCAAGATTCATCTTATTCTAATCACTTGTTTGCATGTAATTAATATTTTTGTATATCATGTTGATTTTTTCGCGTTAATGCCCAGGAGCTCAGGTATAGGGGGCAGTTAGGTTCAGGGCCTCAGGTCTGGTAGGGTTAAGAGTTCCTGGCACTACATTGACCAATATAGAACAGGAGTTGCCAGCAAAAGCACTCTAAGAAAAACATGCTTGGAGAAAAAATTGGAGCGCTTATGGATATGCCTGAAATTAGTGAAGTTGATCCTGTATTGGATAATGAACAGTGATACTCACTAGTGCTAGAGAGTACAGGAACTTTGCTGATATTGACCTTGTGTGATTTAAGGGAGAAGATGGCAGCAGTTAGAGAGATATCCAGGTGCAGTGAAACATAATCCTTCACCTAAACCAACCTTTGCAACTGTTTAAACCACCTACACAAGAAAGGTCTTGGCATTCTCACATTGAAACTACATTTGCACACTCTGTTTTGGGGTGCAGGTTGCTAACAGCAAGAAATTGCATTTGTACTCCCTAGTTTTGTCAAACAAGAAGCTATAACTGGCCCTGTTAAACTTTGCTGTAGCTAAACAAAAGAAACAGTAATGAAAGACGTGGCCTGGAAGAGGACTCAAGAGTCAACTAGCGCACAATTAAATACAGGAGGACATAGAAGACATTTTGAGCATGAAAACGCACATAGCAGGAGAATTGGCAAGGGTTAAACTAACATTATGGCTGGCTGTGATGGAAGCAGTGTTTTGCAATTGATATGCTACCTGATGGTGATAATATTTAAAGGGTTAATAATAATCCTGTTGCCTTTTTGTTCTTGGCTGTCTGTGATATTCTGCAATCCTTTTATTGAACAATTTTTATATGTGTAAATAAAGTTAACCCTTGTGGTGTCTGCTATTCTAGGACCTAGGCCAGTTGTAGAGTGCAGTTTTGTGGCAGAGTTTTATGACCACATCTATGTCGCTATGAATGCTGAAGTGATTCTCTTCCTTCATGATCTGGTTTCATCATATATCAGGGAGAAGGACAGAGGTCAGTGCTCTTGCAGCAGTTGATTGAAGCATTTTGAGAATGAAAGATGTTTGAAACTTTTTCTTCTTCCTCTTACAGTTTATCCCACATGGCATTGGAAATCATGTCTGTCCACAACTTTCTGTGCCATGATACTAAACTGTTGGACACCCTCTAAGACTGTCTCTTTCTGTGCCATGATATTAAACTGTTGGACACCCTCTCTGACTGTCTCTTTCTGTGCCATGATACTAAACTGTTGGACACCCTCTCTGACTGTCTCTTTCTGTGCCATGATACTAAACTGTTGGACACCCTCTCTGACTGTCTCTTTCTGTGCCATGATACTAAACTGTTGGACACCCTCTCGGGGTTGTCACCATGACAACTCCCTTTTAGAATGGTAGCTATATAATATTTTTTATGTGAAAAACCTAGATTTTGTTAATCAAGATTTTAAGTGCTTGCTGTCTAATTTATATTTAAACTGATTTATTCCTAACACAACTTAACAATGTTATTATTCTTTTTCAACAAATACAATTTATTTTTGGTTCTTTCCTTTCATGCTGGTTCTTAAATTATGCAGATTTTGTACACTGACTGAACGGTCTGTTTTTGTGCTCAATAACTGTCAGGTTCAAGTTCAGGTGCTAGAGCATCAGCAACTAAAGTTGGTAAGGCAGACAGCAAACTGTCAGACCCAACATCAGCTCTCAAACATGACTACAGGAGCTTTGAATGCAAGACCTGGCAGCTAGAACCAACTTTGAGGTAGCTAGTTCTTTCATTGTCTGTTTCTTTCATTTCCTAGGTGTTTACAGGGTATCGAGTTGGCTAAAACCAACTTTGAGGTAAGTAGTTGTCAAGACAGGGCATTGTAAACCAACTTTGAGGTTGATAGTTCCTTCAGTAGGTTGTGGATAGACATGACTGCCAACGTCATGCAGTATGAACTATAAGATGAAGACTTCTTTGATGATCCTAACCTTAAAAAATTTACAGTCGATGAAAACTTTGGAAATATGAGGGAAAGTTAATAAGTCAGTCACAAATAGTTGTAAAAAAAAAAACGATAACTTCAAAACCATTTATTTTTACACATGCTTGTACACTGTCCCTTCATTTTCAACATAATTTCTACCAACATTGATGCACTTGTTTCTTTGTTTTATCAGTCCTCCAAAACCTGCTGCATAGAACTGCGTGCTGCGTTTTTTAAACCACGTTTACACTGCACATTCAACTTCTGCGTTATTTGCGAAATGTCTCCTGCCAAGGTGGGTTTTCAGTGGGCCAAAAAGGTGGATATCGCTAGGGATAAGTCAAGGATGTAAGATGAATGTTCCAGAAGTTCCCACTATAGATGGCTAACTTTCTTCTGTGTTAACCGAGCCATATGTGGACTGGCATTGTCATGAATTAGCAGTACTCCTCTATTCATCAGGCCTGGACGTTTTCTTCAAATTGTGTCATGAAGCTTTGACAGAACCTTACAGTATGAATAATCATTCACATTGTCACTTCTTTTTTTTTTTATTTGGTTAAAAGCACTCCTTGATAATCCCAGGACACTGTCAGCCTTACTTTCCCTGTTGATGGTTAAGGTTTAAATTTTTTAAACACAAGGTGAAGAAGGATGATTCCATTGCATTGAAACATGCTTTGATTAGGGCTGTTAGTGATGCACCCATTATTTGTTCCCAGTAGTGAGTAATCCTGTTTAGTATGTCTTCTCCTTCATCTGCGTATTGACAGAGATGCTGCAAGGATAGGCCTAATCAGTTCATTTTGTGTTCACCTGTCAATTGTCTGGGTACCCACCTTGAGCACACTTTCTTAAATTTCAATTCAATCAATCATGCATTATGTTGTATGTTGAACCATGTTAGCACCCTACTGCAGATGCTACAGAGTCAAACGTTACTCACCTGTTCCCTCATATCATCTCCTCCACCCACTGCACAGATGTGTCTGTTGCAGTCTTAACACCCAGCTATGCACTGCTTTGTAGGATGAGCATTTGTCAGCATAAACAGGAGGCCTTATGAATTTCCTTTGCAGGCAGCCCTTTTGTCTCCCAAAAAACACAGAACAGCACGTTGTTCTTTGAGGGTAAACTCTGTAAGTACAGTTGCCATTTTGTTTCTGTGTTGCGAATGCGCATGCAACACCTAGCACCACCTAACAGATGGAGACATAAAGTTTGATGTTGCTGTCACCTAATGACACCTTTAGAAACCACCAACTACATTCTCCTGCCATCCCACAACCATTTGTGACTTACGAACTGACTATCCCTCATAGTTAGTATTCTGCATTATTTCATTTTTTAGGTTATTTTACCCACTTATGCTCAGTTTTATCCTTGGACTGGTTATTGATTCATAAGAACAGAAACCACCATGGTAAAAACATTCACAGATGTTAATAGTGGCTTTCTGCTATTAGCCTACACAAAATACTAGGAGCTGAACACTGTTCCTTCTTCTTCTTCTTCTTCAGCGATCTCTGGTCATGCGCATAATCCACTGTGGGTCATAAACTGGGATGTCTTTTCAAGGTCTCTTAGGTTTCCCCAAAGCTTAGTTGTCAGTTCTACTGGGTGTTGCCATATGTCGCTCCGCAGCTCCGCCAGGAGAGGACAGTCTTGCAGGACATGTTCTGGAGTCTGTTCAGCACGAAGACACTGGCAGAGAGCTGTTTGGCTCATACCTAATTTATATGAGTGTTTATTGAGTCTGCAGTGTCCAGTGCGTAAGCAAAAAACTGTGACTTGGTCTGTTCTGTTCAAGTGCCTCAGAAAATCTTTTCCGTAGTCATAACCAGTGTTGTTTTTCCAATCTGTTTCTGATTTTCTCTTAATGAGAGTTTTGACTTCTGGAAAAGATAGTGGCTGGTAGGTCTGTAGTTTGTTACTGCCTTCCTTGGCTAAAGCATCTGCGCTTTCATTGCCTTTGATGCTGCAGTGAGACGGAATCCACTGCAAGTGAATTTCTGCCTTATTTGACAACATAGCAAGTTCCTGTGTTAGACTTTGTAGTGTGCTGTCGGTAGGTTTGGACTCAAGGGCCTGTACAGCTGACAGTGAGTCAGTGAGAAAAACTATCCTGCCTGCGGTGATTTGCAGATTGTTCATATACTGTGCTGCCATCAATAGAGCTGAGAGTTCTGCCTTGTAGTTAGAGCAAGTTCGTCCGGTGGGGGCTGCTAGGGACACAGTAGTGGCATCTGGGTGTTTTATGTAAACACCTGCCCCACCATTCGTAGTTGCCTCTTTTGCTGATCCATCCGTGTAGATTCTTGTCCAGCTGTCGTGTGGGAACATGTTGAGGTGTTCCATTGTGAGTGCTTTCTTCATTAAAGCGAGCTCAGCATCTTTGTTTCCCAGGTTCGGGATGGATGTTGACACATTGAGTCCCAGAGATCGAAAGATAGCTCTTCAGGTGTACATTGTTGGTTAAGTAGTGAAGAGAATGACTTTCCAAATTCCTTCGTTAGATGGTTTAGGCTTGTGCGCTTTATTCTGTTTTTTGTCCTGGCTGCCAATTTTTCGTGTAATGGGTGGTTTAGCATTCTCTTCATTTTTTCAGCATGTAAAATTGCTTTTGTCCTTCTTCTTTCTTCTAAGGGGATGATGGCTGCCTTTTCCATTTCTACAATAGGTGTAGATTTTATGGCTCCCAGAATTGTACGCTGACTTCTATTTTGCGTTTTGTCTAGTATCTGTTTATTGGGAACACTGTTCCAAAAACTCACAAAGATTACTAGGAGCTCAGACAAAGTGCTAAGAGCTCAGACAAAATGCTAAGAATTGACACAAAGTGCTAGGAGCTGACACAACATGCTATCAGCTGACACAAACTGCTAGGAGCTGACACAAACTGCTAGGAGCTGACACAAACTGCTAGGAGCTGACACAAAGTGCTAGGAGCTGACACAACATGCTATCAGCTGACACAAACTGCTAGGAGCTGACACAAACTGCTAGGAGCTGACACAAACTGCTAGGAGCTGACACAAATTGCCAGGAGCTGACATAACATGCCAGGAGCTGACACAAAGTGCCAGGAGCTGACACAAATTGCCAGGAGCTGACATAACATGCTAGGAGCTGACACAAAGTGCTAGAAGCTGTCACAAATTGCCAGGAGCTGACATAACATGCTAGGAGCTGACACAAAGTGCTAGAAGCTGTCACAAATTGCCAGGAGCTGACATAACATGCTAGGAGCTGACACAAAGTGCTAGAAGCTGTCACAAATTGCCAGGAGCTGACATAACATGCTAGGAGCTGACACAAAGTGCTAGAAGCTGTCACAAATTGCCAGGAGCTGACATAACATGCTAGGAGCTGACACAAAGTGCTAGGAGCTGACACAAATTGCCAGGAGCTGACATACCATGCTAGGAGCTGACAAAAAGTGCCAGGAGCTGACACAACATGCTAGGAGCTGACACAAAGTGCCAAGAGCTGACATAACATGCTAGGAGCTGACACAAAGTGCTAGGAGCTGACACAAATTGCCAGGAGCTGACATACCATGCTAGGAGCTGACACAAAGTGCTAGGAGCTGACACAAATTGCCAGGAGCTGACATACCATGCTAGGAGCTGACACAAAGTGCCAGGAGCTGACATAACATGCTAGGAGCTGACACAAAGTGCTAGAAGCTGTCACAAATTGCCAGGAGCTGACATAGCATGCTAGGAGCTGACACAAAGTGCCAGGAGCTGACACAACATGCTAGGAGCTGACACAAAGTGCCAGGAGCTGACACAAAGTGCCAGGAGCTGACACAAAGTGCCAGGAGCTGACACAAATTGCCAGGAGCTGACATAGCATGCTAGGAGCTGACACAAAGTGCCAGGAGCTGACACAACATGCTAGGAGCTGACACAAAGTGCCAGGAGCTGACACAAAGTGCCAGGAGCTGACACAAAGTGCCAGGAGCTGACACAAAGTGCCAGGAGCTGACATAACATGCCAGGAGCTGACACAAAGTGCTAGGAGCTGACACAAATTGCCAGGAGCTGACATAACATGCCAGGAGCTGACACAAACTGCTAGGAGCTGACACAAACTGCTAGGAGCTGACACAAACTGCTAGGAGCTGACACAAAGAGCTAGGAGCTGAAACAACATGCTATCAGCTGACACAAACTGCTAGGAGCTGACACAAACTGCTAGGAGCTGACACAAACTGCTAGGAGCTGACACAAATTGCCAGGAGCTGACATAACATGCCAGGAGCTGACATAACATGCTAGGAGCTGACACAAATTGCCAGGAGCTGACATAACATGCTAGGAGCTGACACAAAGTGCTAGAAGCTGTCACAAATTGCCAGGAGCTGACATAACATGCTAGGAGCTGACACAAAGTGCTAGAAGCTGTCACAAATTGCCAGGAGCTGACATAACATGCTAGGAGCTGACACAAAGTGCTAGGAGCTGACACAAATTGCCAGGAGCTGACATACCATGCTAGGAGCTGACAAAAAGTGCCAGGAGCTGACACAACATGCTAGGAGCTGACACAAAGTGCCAAGAGCTGACATAACATGCTAGGAGCTGACACAAAGTGCTAGGAGCTGACACAAATTGCCAGGAGCTGACATACCATGCTAGGAGCTGACACAAAGTGCTAGGAGCTGACACAAATTGCCAGGAGCTGACATACCATGCTAGGAGCTGACACAAAGTGCCAGGAGCTGACATAACATGCTAGGAGCTGACACAAAGTGCTAGAAGCTGTCACAAATTGCCAGGAGCTGACACAAAGTGCCAGGAGCTGACACAACATGCTAGGAGCTGACACAAAGTGCCAGGAGCTGACACAAAGTGCCAGGAGCTGACACAAATTGCCAGGAGCTGACATAGCATGCTAGGAGCTGACACAAAGTGCCAGGAGCTGACACAACATGCTAGGAGCTGACACAAAGTGCCAGGAGCTGACACAGTGCCAGGAGCTGACACAAAGTGCCAGGAGCTGACACAAAGTGCCAGGAGCTGACATAACATGCCAGGAGCTGACACAAAGTGCTAGGAGCTGACACAAATTGCCAGGAGCTGACATAACATGCTAGGAGCTGACACAAAGTGCTAGGAGCTGACACAAAGTGCCAGGAGCTGACATAACATGCTAGGAGCTGACACAAACTGCCAGGAGCTGACACAAAGTGCTAGGAGCTGACACAAACTGCCAGGAGCTGACACAAAGTGCTAGGAGCTGACACAAAGTGCCAGGAGCTGACACAAATTGCCAGGAGCTGACATAGCATGCTAGGAGCTGACACAAAGTGCCAGGAGCTGACACAACATGCTAGGAGCTGACGCAAAGTGCCAGGAGCTGACACAAAGTGCCAGGAGCTGACACAAATTGCCAGGAGCTGACACAAAGTGCTAGGAGCTGACACAAAGTGCTAGAAGCTGTCTCAAATTGCCAGGAGCTGACATAGCATGCTAGGAGCTGACACAAAGTGCCAGGAGCTGACACAACATGCTAGGAGCTGACACAAAGTGCCAGGAGCTGACACAAAGTGCCAGGAGCTGACACAAATTGCCAGGAGCTGACATAGCATGCTAGGAGCTGACACAAAGTGCTAGGAGCTGACACAAATTGCCAGGAGCTGACATACCATGCTAGGAGCTGACACAAAGTGCCAGGAGCTGACATAACATGCTAGGAGCTGACACAAAGTGCTAGAAGCTGTCACAAATTGCCAGGAGCTGACACAAAGTGCCAGGAGCTGACACAACATGCTAGGAGCTGACACAAAGTGCCAGGAGCTGACACAAAGTGCCAGGAGCTGACACAAATTGCCAGGAGCTGACATAGCATGCTAGGAGCTGACACAAAGTGCCAGGAGCTGACACAACATGCTAGGAGCTGACACAAAGTGCCAGGAGCTGACACAAAGTGCCAGGAGCTGACACAAAGTGCCAGGAGCTGACACAAAGTGCCAGGAGCTGACATAACATGCCAGGAGCTGACACAAAGTGCTAGGAGCTGACACAAATTGCCAGGAGCTGACATAACATGCTAGGAGCTGACACAAAGTGCTAGGAGCTGACACAAAGTGCCAGGAGCTGACATAACATGCTAGGAGCTGACACAAATTGCCAGGAGCTGACATACCATGCTAGGAGCTGACACAAAGTGCTAGGAGCTGACACAAATTGCCAGGAGCTGACATACCATGCTAGGAGCTGACACAAAGTGCCAGGAGCTGACATAACATGCTAGGAGCTGACACAAAGTGCTAGAAGCTGTCACAAATTGCCAGGAGCTGACACAAAGTGCCAGGAGCTGACACAACATGCTAGGAGCTGACACAAAGTGCCAGGAGCTGACACAAAGTGCCAGGAGCTGACACAAATTGCCAGGAGCTGACATAGCATGCTAGGAGCTGACACAAAGTGCCAGGAGCTGACACAACATGCTAGGAGCTGACACAAAGTGCCAGGAGCTGACACAAAGTGCCAGGAGCTGACACAAAGTGCCAGGAGCTGACACAAAGTGCCAGGAGCTGACATAACATGCCAGGAGCTGACACAAAGTGCTAGGAGCTGACACAAATTGCCAGGAGCTGACATAACATGCTAGGAGCTGACACAAAGTGCTAGGAGCTGACACAAAGTGCCAGGAGCTGACATAACATGCTAGGAGCTGACACAAACTGCCAGGAGCTGACACAAAGTGCTAGGAGCTGACACAAACTGCCAGGAGCTGACACAAAGTGCTAGGAGCTGACACAAAGTGCCAGGAGCTGACACAAATTGCCAGGAGCTGACATAGCATGCTAGGAGCTGACACAAAGTGCCAGGAGCTGACACAACATGCTAGGAGCTGACGCAAAGTGCCAGGAGCTGACACAAAGTGCCAGGAGCTGACACAAATTGCCAGGAGCTGACACAAAGTGCTAGGAGCTGACACAAAGTGCTAGAAGCTGTCTCAAATTGCCAGGAGCTGACATAGCATGCTAGGAGCTGACACAAAGTGCCAGGAGCTGACACAACATGCTAGGAGCTGACACAAAGTGCCAGGAGCTGACACAAAGTGCCAGGAGCTGACACAAATTGCCAGGAGCTGACATAGCATGCTAGGAGCTGACACAAAGTGCTAGGAGCTGACACAAATTGCCAGGAGCTGACATACCATGCTAGGAGCTGACACAAAGTGCCAGGAGCTGACATAACATGCTAGGAGCTGACACAAAGTGCTAGAAGCTGTCACAAATTGCCAGGAGCTGACACAAAGTGCCAGGAGCTGACACAACATGCTAGGAGCTGACACAAAGTGCCAGGAGCTGACACAAAGTGCCAGGAGCTGACACAAATTGCCAGGAGCTGACATAGCATGCTAGGAGCTGACACAAAGTGCCAGGAGCTGACACAACATGCTAGGAGCTGACACAAAGTGCCAGGAGCTGACACAAAGTGCCAGGAGCTGACACAAAGTGCCAGGAGCTGACACAAAGTGCCAGGAGCTGACATAACATGCCAGGAGCTGACACAAAGTGCTAGGAGCTGACACAAATTGCCAGGAGCTGACATAACATGCTAGGAGCTGACACAAAGTGCTAGGAGCTGACACAAAGTGCCAGGAGCTGACATAACATGCTAGGAGCTGACACAAACTGCCAGGAGCTGACACAAAGTGCTAGGAGCTGACACAAACTGCCAGGAGCTGACACAAAGTGCTAGGAGCTGACACAAAGTGCCAGGAGCTGACACAAATTGCCAGGAGCTGACATAGCATGCTAGGAGCTGACACAAAGTGCCAGGAGCTGACACAACATGCTAGGAGCTGACGCAAAGTGCCAGGAGCTGACACAAAGTGCCAGGAGCTGACACAAATTGCCAGGAGCTGACACAAAGTGCTAGGAGCTGACACAAAGTGCTAGAAGCTGTCACAAATTGCCAGGAGCTGACATAGCATGCTAGGAGCTGACACAAAGTGCCAGGAGCTGACACAACATGCTAGGAGCTGACACAAAGTGCCAGGAGCTGACACAAAGTGCCAGGAGCTGACACAAATTGCCAGGAGCTGACATAGCATGCTAGGAGCTGACACAAAGTGCCAGGAGCTGACACAACATGCTAGGAGCTGACACAACATGCCAGGAGCTGACACAAAGTGCTAGGAGCTGACACAAAGTGCCAGGAGCTGACACAAAGTGCCAGGAGCTGACACAACATGCTAGGAGCTGACACAAAGTGCCAGGAGCTCATACAACATGCTAGGAGATGACATAACATCCTAGGAGCTGACATAACATCCTAGGAGCTGACACAAAGTGCTAGGAGCTGACATAACATGCTAGGAGCTGACACAAAGTGCTAGGAGCTGACACAACTTGATAGGAGCTGACACAAAGTGTCAGGAGCTGACATAATATGCTAGGAGCTGAAACAACAATCTAGGAGCTGACACAAAGTGCTAGGAGCTTACACAAAGTGCCAGGAGCTGACATAACATGCTAGGAGCTGATACAAAGTGCCAGGAGCTGACACAAAGTGCTAGGAACTGACACAACATGTTTGGAGCTGACACAACATGCTAGGAGCTGACACAAAGTGCTAGGAGCTCAAACAATGCTGAGAGCTGACCTAAATGCCAGGAGTTGACACAGCATCTAATCCTAGGGGCTCACACATGGCTAGAAGCTCACACAAAGTCTTAGCAGCTCACACAAAGTCATAGGGGCTCACACAATGCTAGGAACTCACACAATGCCAGGAACTCACACATTTTTAAAGAAAATGTCAGTTGATTTTTTTCCCTTATAAAATCAAGAGCAGTTGCATAAATTAATGAACAGTTAACTCGTTGAGTCCCAGGGAACTCACCATACATCAAAAGTTCCTGCCTAGAAGTCCGATGAATTCATGATGTGCTGATGTTATGTCTGTCTTTACTACCCCTTGGGCCTGTGATGCTAAATCCTCTGAGAGTTAATGGGGGGAAAAAAAAGGTGCAGTGAATCACTGAAATTACCAGACTTGATTAAATTAACATTCTATTCTTGAACTATTTTGTTGATCATCTTTCAGACTCATCCACTGGGCCAGTACACAGATAGACCCTGTTGGAGCCGACTATGTGCTTCAGAAGCTTGGATTCTCCCACGCTAGGGTGACCATTCCCAAATGGGTCCAGCGTGGGTTCATGGATCCCCTTGACAAAGTGCTTTCTGTTCTTGTGGACAAGCTGATCACCACTTTGAGGGATCAGCAAAGCAGTGCCATGATAGAAGAAGCTACAGACGCAGACAGTGCAGACAAGGCTTAAAATATGTTGTAGAATACCAGTTTTAGAGTGGCTCTTAATTATTTGTTTTAATGGTTTTATCCAAGCAATAAATACTTGGAGCACTTTATGAAAATGTAGATAATGCTGTCACACATGTTCTGAATATAGCAGTTGTATATAAAATAAAATTTCACATATACGGTTTATTAACTTGGTGTACTAAGGCTGATAAGGGTCTAATGAGTTCAGAGCATCAGAGCACTTGGGACATTGTCCTAAGTGCTCAGCCTCCATCTTCAGCAGCCAGTGCAGAGTTTCAGTACAAAATGTGCCAGCAGCAATCTTACATAAGCAGATTTAGGTATTGCTCTTCTGCTGAATGCTGAGTGTCAGACAACTTCACTGGTTACTTCCTGCTGGCCCTTTCTCACCAGATTGTGGTTATCTATTTATTCTTCCAACTTTCACTTGCTGTCTTAGGGCTTTGACCACATTGAACTTGTCATGCATGGATCTAGTACCAGGGGGTGCAGAATCAGCCAGTCTGTTCCTTGGGAAGTTGCTTGATACTATAGTTAAGTAGCAAGAGAAGGTCACCTTACAATGATGTGTGCTCCTTTGTTCCAGGTGATTGCTTGCCTGTCCAATGTTATTTACAGATTCACAATAACTTGCTGATTCTTATAGTTGAGTACTAAATGTTTGAAATTTTTCCTTCAGATTAATGTGTTGTTCAGAAACCAGTGATTTTGTCATTGTTTGCTTCCCTTGCCTCTTTGTTAAAACAAAATGTGTCAAATTTTGTTTCCAATTACCTGTTTGTAAAAACAAATGTGTGTCAAATTATGCTTCCCTCTCCTGTTTGTTAATTGTATGTGTCATTTGATTTCCTTTTTCCAATTTGTAAATAAATAATTGTCACATTTTGTTTCCTCTTTCCCTTATGTGAAGAAAATGAGTCGAAATAGTACTAAACATGTGATACTTGACATGTGATATTGTAAATATGCTGCTCACTGATCATATAGAGTAATGGATCTGTTCATGTGTAGTTCATTTATTCACATGGCCCTGTGTTCATTAAATTAACTACATGCTTTATTGTGTTTGGCTCTTTGAAGTAACATGATATGTATACATTTTTGGTTTTAATTTTATTCCTATTCTTCCACGCATTTGTTTATTAGAAGAAGGGTTCCTGTCTAATAAAGAGTAAGTTTTTTCTACGGAAAGTTGCTGTTTATATCATTTGTGCATATTGTATGTTAATGAAATACCATAGTATGTGCAAATCCATTTCAGGACATCGCAAACTAACCCCAGCATTTGTTGACATTTGTTTTACTAAAAAATGTTACGTTGAGTAGTTTATCATTGCTGCCTGACCAGTACAATGCTGATACAGTTGTCAAAGTCAACATCAAGCAGTCTGCTACCTAATCAGCTGCAGCTGGCTTCCAGGGTTGTCAAACTGCACTCAAAGACTATAAGCCACAGACACTGACCAAATGCCATTGGCAGTTTCCATATGTGGCTGCAAAGACAGTAAACCTAGTTTTTAGTTGATGCTGAGGAAACCCAGTATACATGTATCATTACTGGATGAGCCAGCCAAGTGCTGGACTGTGTCTGGTTCTACATGCCTGTGACAGCAACATTGCTGCCAGATTTGGGCGCTTGTGTCTTTCTGAATGATGTGTGTGTAAATAAATTAACATAGCACAGGCTGTAAATAGGAAGCTCAGCGAGATGAAAGGGGACAGACGGACGTGGTCACCCCTTTTTTCAACACCATTTTGTCATGAAAACAGTGGTTTAGCTGTTTTTGTTTATAACAGGGGTGCCTTGTGAAATCTCTGTCTTTAGTTTTTTCATGGTTTTAGTCATTGATATGTGTTTAGATGTGTGTTTATGTGTATGAGAGAGAGAGATTTCTCTTCTCAATTTACACAGCTGTGACTGTTAGTGTGAACTGGAGCTACGGACCTGGCTACTTTATTGAAACTCAGAACTGGGTAAATGTAACTTGCCATTTGTTTCCTTCTGTTGTAAAAAATTTCTAGTTCACTTCTGTTTAATGGATGTATCGTAACATTTACTGCAATACATGATTTTACGTGCAATATTTCTATGATATCAATCTCAAATACTTGGTCTGAGATTGCTTGTAATGAAAAATATGGTTCTTAGAAAAGATCAATGAGGAGACCCAGTGTGGTGATGAACTCGAGGCATCATACAACATCAGTGTAGGGTGCTGGCAGATACAGAATGCCTTATTTACAGTGAGGAAACATTCCAGCCAGCTGTAATGGAGTAAAGCTTGTGAAGACAATATGCCGCATGGTGCAGGCTCAGTTTCTGTGATAGTCTTGTTTTTATAACAATGGAAATGCACTTGATTGTAGTCAGCAGACCATTTGCACATGTCAGTGTTCATGTACTGATTGTATTTATAAGTATAATACTTGTAGCCTGAAAGAACTGCCCAAGGACAGTAGCTAGGAGACTTGCATGTTGATCTAGTGGCCTTGCATTTGATTCTCCCTCTAGGCAGGGATTTGTTTTTCATTGACCAAGCTTTTTGGGAGTAACAAGAAGTTTCCTGGCAAGCAGAGATAACCAGTGTAATAGTAGCTACATCACATGTCAAATACCATTTTGTTTATCACCTGTCAGGTAGTCAAATACCATTTTGTTTATCACCTGCCAGGTACCATTTTGTCTGTAATATTGGCTAGTATCAAATATCTATTAGGCTAAAAGGCATACAAACATCCTGTTGGTCTATTGTACTTACTTGTAGTCTGTGCTAGCAGTGGCATAGATATATTCTCCTAGTGGTGTTTGCGTTGTCAGTAATTAATATTTGCTCACCCATTGCAATAATAATAACTTTTATTATTGTTAGTTACAACATCACCAAAGTAAGCTTCATAGTGTCAAGTACAACACCCAAGCTTCTCCCACATAACACTTGCAATCTTTCAACAAAGTAGTGCTGTGTCCATCAACAGCATCCTCACCTTTTGAGCCAGAGACTAGTCATGTTTTATTAAACCTCTTGGAGCTTATTTGAAACAGTATTGCTGTATCTGCAAAATAAAGATCTGCAGTCTCTTTGAACCTAAGGGGGATGTTGCATAAAGGAAGGGAAGAGACACAATGAAGGATAAGATAAATCTATTCCTTGAACCTGTCTTTATAAGAGCTCCAAGAAAAAATGTTGTGGTAGGCAGAAGCCATAACCCACACCCAAGCTGCCTTAGTAACAAGAAACAAAAAAATAAATTCATTAGGGGGAACTAAGACCTGGTGTGTCCTGGCCCTCACAAGGTATGTTCTTAATGAAGTCTAATTTGCAGTTACAGTAACCAGGCAGACTTAATCAATAACAAAAATGTAAGTCAACAATGACAGAAACTTTATTTCACTCAGTCAACTGTTGCAGGCAGATGTTACACCGATAGTCGACATAAGACAATTTATGATGACATACTCTGAACCATCAGAATACTAAGTGAACAGCTGAAATGTTGACAACTACTAGCAGACCAGCAATCAAAACTTCATATGTAAGGATACACACTGAAATCTAGTTCTAATCTGACTACTGATGGATGTCTAGGTCTAACACAGTCTAACTGCTGAATTTACCACCACCATAAAACCACTGAGACAATCCATCTCTCTTCACTCAGTCCCTGAACCCACATTGCATTAAGACCACTGCTGACTCACAACCCAATGAGCCAAGTCAAGAGAGAGAGCCTTTTTCTGCTGCATCAGGCTTTTTAAAGCCACTGTGACTTCCTTTCTGGAGAGTTCCTATCTCTGAGGTTGCCAGTTTTTAGTTCATCAGTACAGCCAAACCAAAATTATTATTAGGCTAAACAGATTCATCACCTTGTTTCAGAGCAAATTTAGCATTCTTCTTCTTCCTTTTCTTCTGCTCTCTGTCTGCATCTCCTCCCTTCCTCTCTCTATTTGTCTGCCTCTTTAATTTTCTCTCTCTTTCCATTCATCTTTTGCTCTCTCTCTCTCTCTCTCTCTCTCTCTCTCTCTCTCTCTCTCTCTCTCTCTCTCTCTCTCTCTCTCTCTCTCTCTCTCTCTCTCTCTCTCTCTCTCTCTCTCTCTCTGTCTTTCACAGAATAAAGAACAACTATTGTCTTATGTTGCTTTTAAATAAAATGGTAAAACATTGACTGCACCATGTCATAAATCTCCTACATATAATGTCATGAAACACTGGCTAGTCTTTCTGAATCACCAAGTGTCAAGCATGTCTCTAGTCAGACTAATGGCTAGAGCCTGAAGGTCCATGACACCCAACCTAATTACATGATAACAGAGCACTACCTGCAAACATCAGTATTACATAACTTCAAACTTTGCAGACTGTTTGAATCTTCACTGTTGTTATTTCCATTTTTGCATATTCTGTATAATAATTATTGTAGTTTAAATCAAACAGACAACATTTGTTTTGCTTAGTGGTTTGTTAGCAGTACAGACAGTAGTGTCAGTCTTCCGAAATCTTCACTAAGATGAACTGACTGTTTGCACATTTCTTGAAGTGAAACGAATTTTTTTTAATCTAACTTGTGTCCACTTTCTCAGATGTTAATAGCACAACAGTGTCAGATAGTTGACAAATTCATGGGGAAAAGCTAGCAGTATATTGGGCACCTTGTGAATCATAAAACAGACACTGAAATAGTAAACAAATGGATTGAGGAAGTGAGGCCATATGACAAGCATGGATGAAAGAGGCCAGAAGTGCTGAAATGGATTCTGTCAAAGATATCCAATGGATTGCACAAAAGATATCCAAAGGATTACACAGGATAGAACAGAATATAGACCTAGGTGCTGTATAAATGGCACAAGAAAATGATAGGATGATGGTGATGAACAAGACTTACAACTGTATGGGGGCAAACACAAAAGTTGTCACATATGTTTGCACATCGTTTGCTCAGGTCAACAATTGGATGATATTCCCACCAGTTTTCATTTCTATATTCACATATATTTTT